GTTAACTAATTTGTTTATTAGAAACATATTTCTCCATAGAAAGGAATTGAGTTTTTGCCACAAGCTCAAATTTTCTAATCTCTATATCTTTGCAACCTTATGAAATTTCAAACTTAGATTATTCATGGTCTAACATAATTCATAGTTTGAAATATTAAGGGTCTACGACATTGGGTTGCAAGGATATTGGGATCAGAAAATCAGAGTTTGTGGCAAAGACTCAATTCCTTTATGAAGAAATCAATGGTATAGAATCAATTCTTTCTTAATCATCATTATATTGAATACCTTATTTGAGATTCTTTAAATTTCGTCTTTTCATGAAAATTCCAGCAAATCTACCGAAAACGTTTGTGAACAATCAAACATTTCAGGAACTGATGTGACTTTATTTCGCAACCTCTTCCTAAACAACAAGTTAGTTAAAATTAGAATTTTTGTTACATTTTTCGTTACAGTTATTAAATAAATATAGAGAACGTTTCTTCTGCGGACCATTCCTTCTAAAGAAATTTTGCAAAAAAACGAATTTTCGCACTCTCGGTTCAATCTTTATAAGTCCATGTTTGCATTCATTAAATGTCAAAACGACATTTTTATAATTTCACGTGACCTTTCATTTAAAGATGGGGCAACCCAGATTCACAACGGTACCCTTCAAACCTTTGAAAAATCAAGGATTCACAATGGTACCCTTTAAACCTTTGGCAGATCAAGGATTCACAATGGTACTCTTTAAACCTTTGACAGATCAAGGATTCACAATGGTACTCTTTAAACCTTTGACAGATCAAGGATTCACAACGGTTCCCTTTAAACCTTTGACAGATCAAGGATTCACAACGGTACTCTTTAAACCTTTGACAGATCAAGGATTCACAACGGTACCCATCAAACCTTTGACAGATCAAGGATTCACAATAGTACTCTTCAAACCTTTGACAGATGAAGGATTCACAATGGTACTCTTTAAACCTTGGACTAATCAAGGATTCACAATGGTTCCCATCAAACCTTTGACAGATCAAGGATTCACAATAGTACTCTTTAAACCTTGGACTAATCAAGGATTCACAATGGTACTCTTTAAACCTTTGACAGATCAAGGATTCACAATGGTAACCTTCAACCCTTTGACAGATGAAGGATTCACAATGGTTTCCTTTAAACCTTTGACAGATCAAGGATTCACAATGGTACTCTTTAAACCTTGGACTAATCAAGGATTCACAATGGTTCCCTTTAAACCTTTGACAGATCAAGTATTCACAATGGTTCCCTTTAAACCTTTGACAAATCAAGGATTCACAATGGTTCCCTTTAAACCTGTGACAGATCAAGGATTCACAAAGGTACCCTTCAAACCTTTGACAGATCAAGGATTCACAACTGTATCCTCTAAACCTTTGACAGATAGGATTTACAATGGTACCCTTCAAACCTTTGACAGGTCAAGGATGACTGACTTTTCCCTATTGTATCTGCAGAAACGCCTGTAAAATGTAAAAGCTACGATTATTTCAAGGAAAAAAGGTGCGGAACCCTATAATATCCTTGAGTTAAAAAGATATGTATTTCTATTGCATATATTTATTTGCATAACGATGCAATAGAAACAGGATATATGGTTGTTGTGTGGAAAAGTTAAAAATTAGTTTCACCAACTTCATAAACCAATTAGATCCTTTGTAAGTTCTCAGGGGAACCAAAATAAAGTAGGATGAGGGCGATAGTAGGGGATAGGAGGGGTTTAGAGTGGGTAGGAGGGGGTTAGGCATTTATTTAACATTTTTGAATTTTGTTTAGTAATGTTTTTCTGCATTCAATCTCTTTTATTCTCTCTACTCCCTCTGCCCCTTCTCCCCTACCGGCTACCCCCTCCTACGCTCCCTTCTGGCAGATTTCCATGAGTTCTTGTTGAGCATGCTTGACTATTCATCAATACGTCAAACCTCCATCTTTTTATTAGATTTTTTATTCAAAATACATTATAACCATGTACGTGTACTATTCTGTTTAGAACCCTATAGCAATATAAGACACTTTTTTCTTTCGCAAGAATATCACAGTTCATCAAAAACTACTTGATCGAAAACTAGGGGTTGATCGAAAACTAGGGGTTGATCGAAAAAGTGTTTGCATCAGGATACAAGTTTGTTTAACCTTTTAATATAGAATTAGCTGTTATTTTCATCTTCACTTTTCAACTCTTTCTTTCTCCTTCTTTATCTCTCTTTCTTTCTTCTTTTTTCTTCTTCTTTCTCCTTCTTTATCTCTCTTTCTCTCTTCTTTTTTCTCCTTATTTCTCCTTCTTTCTCTCTCTGTCTTTCTTCTTCTTTTTCCTTCTTTCTCCTTCTTTCTCTCTCTCTTTTTCTTCTTCTTTTTCCTTCTTTCTCCTTTTTTCTCCTTCTTCCGCTTTTTTCTCTCTCTCTTTCTTCTTATTTTTCCTTATTTCCCCTTCTTTCACTTTCTCTTTCTTTTTCTTTTTCCTTCTTTCTCCTTTTTTCTCTCTCTTCTCTCTCTCTTTTTTTCTTTTTTCTCCTTCTTCCGCTCTTTTCTCTCTCACTTTCTTCTTCTTTTTCCTTCTTTCTCCTTCTTTCTCTCTCTCTTTCCTTTTCTTTTTCATTCTTTCGCCTTCTTTCTCTCTGTCTTTCTCTCTCTCTTTCTTCTTCTTTTTCCTTCTTTCTCCTTTTTTCTCTCTCTTCTCCTTCTCCTTTTTCTTTTTTCTCCTTCTTTCGCCTTCTTTCTCTCTCTCTCTCTTTCTTCTTCTTTTTCCTTCTTTCTCCATCTTTCTCTCTATCTTTCTTCTTCTTTCTCCTTCTTTCTCCTTCTTTCTCCTTCTTTCTCCTTCTTTCTCACTCTTTTTCCTTCTAAAGTTTTTAGGGAAAATGTTTTTTGTTTAAATAAAAAGATATTTGTTGGTAAACTTATGTTAAATTTTGACCAAACTATTAGTTAAGAGTCTAGAGACACAAATTCCGCAAACATCCGGATATTAAAGGAACTCAGTTATTGCCTTATGTGTAATTCCTGTATCTTCGCGACGCAATGTTGTAGACCTTTAATATTTCAAACCATGACTTTTGTTAGATCAAATAATCTAAGTTTGAAATATCGAAGGTTTACGCCATCAGGTTGCAAAGATATAAATTAATTGAGTTTGTGGCAAGAACATAGTTCCTTTCTAAGCCGTATAGGAAAAAAAACAGCCTCCGCTCCCGAGGAACTTCTTGGCAATTCTTTTTTTTTTTAATGTTTAGACTCAATCTACTTTAAACATTTTAAGTCCAAATAAAACATAATTGTAGATTTATTGTCATAATGGATAAAAATTGATTTTTTGTCGTTTTGTTTTCAACAATTTCTTGGATTTAATAATGTTAATGATCAAAAATAAAAGTATGAAATAGATTTTATACTTTGCACATTTCATCTGAAATTAGAAAGATAGAGCTTAAAAAAATTATCTTTTTTTGTAACAAAATCTTAATCAATTCTACAAAGTTGGCTCATTTGTGGTTAAGTTTATTCAGAAACGAATTTATGTTTCGTTCTTTTTTGCTATTTTAATCCCTAAATTTTCATAAACTTTTTCTTTATCTTGGAATTTTCATTTCTCTCTTTTCAGTTTAACAGAGTTCATTTTATCATTTTTCCTGGAACATATATCGTCTCAGTTTTTGTGCTGTGTAGAAAATTCAATAAATCCAAAGAATATTTATTACACCGGATAATTTGTCACCGTCCCCCCCCCTCCCCCCTCCTAACCCGCTGAAATATTTAATATAAAAGAAAAAACAATATGTCCGGACTGTTAATGTACGTATCCGTTGTGTGAAGTAGGCATTTATCAATAGTATAAAGAAATAACTAATTTATTTAACAAGACGTGTCGTCCACATTAGCAGTAATTAACACATTAGATCTTGAAGGCACTGTTGGCGTAATTTCAAGTGACCCTCCCTTTGTACAGTGACTTGTCCAATTCACAACAGAACTTGTTAACCCCTATATAATGAAAACTTTATTTGCAAGAATTTTTATATTCAAGAATTATTAATATTTACTTTCTAGAAGTCGTAAAAAATAAACAAGTCCATTCGAATGCTTGAAAACCGTGTTGGAGATAAAATTCTGGACTTTCAATGAATTCATGAAACGTCAGCTGAGTTGCGTTTACACTGTTCGCTTGCGTTCACCCCAGTTTTACGTCAATTTGAACAGCATTTCAGAGATTTACAGACGGAGTTCTCTACACTGGATGAAAAAATGAAAGGTTAAAAAGGTACTGTTGTAAATTTGTCGTTCCCCTCTTTGTCATATAAACTCACGCCTACGCCCCTCTAAAATTCATTCTTAAAACTATTTTTATTAAAAAAAAAAACTTTGAAAACATAATTTTGTCCACGAATCATCTTCAAAGACAAAGATTTAAAAATAAAAAATTTTCGAATGAAAACTAAAACTAATTCATAAAACCAATTTTATTCATTTTAGATTTGCATTTTCTTTTTCATTAACCGTAGAAGTCTTTCGTATATTTTTAACTAAAAAAGTGTTTAATAAGTTTACAAAAAATATTGTGAGGAATACAGATCTGGAATTTAAACGGAAAATTCCAGTTTTTTATTCAATGATGTGAAAAAAATGTTGTTTTTCGTTTTGAAAAATGTTTATTTCTAAACATTTCCCGCTTTATAACAATAATTGAAAATAAGCCTAATAGAAAAAACATGGATATCTCAGTGATTCTTGATCAGACGAAGCTTCTATATTGTAAATACCAAATGCCACTCTGTATATGATTATGCTTTCCTTTAAACCCATTTAAATGAAATTTGTAAAGGAGACTTGTTATCTGATAATTGAAGAAAAACTAATCGAAATGTGGATAAGTTAAATGACAGTTTTACACATTACTCTTTATTACCATCCATTAGTTTGCTGAATATGGTGGAATTATTTATTCTGATTATAATATTAATTTCTATAATGTTATGTGTGTCAACAGTAATATTTATTAGTAAATCTTTAAATACAATGTGATTGTGCTGGTGCTGGTGCTGGTGTTGGTGCAGATTTTATAATTTAAACATTTTTATTCTTGTAAAGCAGGAGGTTGGTATTCTGCAGCTTTAGGAATGTTGTCTAAAGATCCTTCTTCATTTTCTATTGTAGCGTCATAGCCAGACAAATTTTCTTCTATATTTAGGAATTTGCTTTCTTTTAGATGTTCAGCATTTTGGACAGCATTCGTGATCTGTAGGAATATATCTTCCAATGAGGTAACATCAATTGTGAATCCGTCAACAATTTTCAAAGACTTAGCCACACCCAAGAGACCGAGCAGATATGAGATTTTAGCTTGTATGTTGTAGCGGATCCAGTTTTGCTTGGTTTCAATAAACTTTGCTTCTGGAATGTTAGCTTGCATATACAGTCTAATATCCCCTAATGATGAATCTGTTCCCGCTTTTAAATTGATCCTGTACCCTTTTCCATACTTCTCTTTGAGCATACCTGGAGACCCAGAACATACTACTTCACTTTTAACCATTATAGAGATCTGATCACACAGCGTGTCACATTCCATTAGGCTGTGAGATGTCAATAGTAAGAACCCATCGGTACCCTAGGGGTAACATAGGCAAAAAAATCTAAATATTTTTTTTTTCAAAATTCAATTTTTTTAAAAGTGTACTTCAGCTGGTTTGTAATAAAAAAGATTGATAAAATACCTTTTTTTACAGCATTTTCAATGTTCCTCCAAACCAATCTCCTGCTTCCAGGATCCATACCACTGGTTGGTTCATCCATGAGTATTAGATCAGGCCTACCCAGTAAAGCAGTGGCTGTGCAAACTTTTCGCTTATTTCCACCGCTCAAATGTCCGCAAGCAACTTTCAAGTATGGCTCCAAGCAAAACTCTTTTATCAGTTCGGCTGTAACTGTAATTGCCTCGTTTCTGTTGTAGCCAGCTATTCTGGAGTAAATCCATATATGATCTTCTACAGTTATGTTTTCATCAATGCTATTATTTTGAGGACAGTAGCCAATGCGATTGCACCCAAAATCAATGCTTCCACAGGTGCAGTCCACTTGCCCTGTTATCATTTTAAATGTTGTGCTTTTTCCTGCTCCATTCAGTCCAATTAGTCCAATGCACTCTTTAGGCCCAACTGTCAAATTTAAGTTTTTAACTGCTTCAAATTCAGTTGTGCACGTTGAATAAGTCTTTGAGACATTTTTCAAAGTTAAAACATCTTGAGTTGATGCATTGATGTTAAAGTCAGAATCTTTCATAAGTTCATAAATTAAGTTTAATAAAAAGAAGATCATGATTTCTACTCCTAAAAAACTCAAGTTTTTTCCAATAATATTCCATTCAAAGGGATCAAAAGATGATCTGAACTTTTCTTTTTCAAATTGCTGATAAAGGTCCATTGAGATTTGATTAGTTATCAAATCCAGCAGTCCTCCGCCTGAAAATTAAAAAAGTTAGTTGTTTTCAATGTTTAGATTTTATTACTGTTTGATTTTTTACCTAATGCATATGGAGGAAGTATTAAAAACAATGTTTTCAATAACTTTCTTGCATCCGCCAAAGGTTTTATCCACCAGTACATTTGCATTAGCAGCATTAGAATCAATGTTAAAACACCAGTGAGAAGGGAACCAGTAAAGACAAGAACCTGACCAACACCTGGTTCAGTAAAAGCTTTCTCAATCAAATATATCATCGTATTAATCGACAAACAAAACAGAAAGAATAAAAGTAGAGTTGCAACAAAGTTCAGATCTGCTGAGAATGATTTTATCCCAAATATTTTAATTGTTGCGGCTGAAACCAAAAGAAAGACTATTGCAATCATTGAGTCCCAAACTAGATTTACTGTCCAATACATGATCGGTCCAACACCAAAGGTTCTTAGAACTAGCTTTTCTTCTGTTGTCCTTTCTTGGATAAGGTATATAATACTGCTGACAGGCACAAATGAAACTACAGTAAGTAAGAAAAGGGCAAGAGTATAATCGCTAACATGCTGTAGTATTGATTGTCCCAGAATTTGCCCTTGGGTACTTCTGAATGGGTGATTGTAAACAGTGATTCCATAGTCTTTGGGGTTCTGGTCAGATTTTAGGCCAGCTCTGAGTCTGGCATTATTGAGAGAATTTAAGTACGAAGCGGAAGAGTGGAATCCTTTATTGTTATAGTAAACAATACTTCTATTTTTAGATAATCTCCAGCCACCATACTGCTTTTCCACATATTGGTAATGTGTGTCTAAAATCCACTTGTTGGGATGAACAGTTTCTGACAAATAAACTAATATGTCCGAACTGTTCATTTTCTGTTTACTAAGCTGATATCCAGATGAACTTGACTTGCAATGCCAATTGTCTTTCGAGCAAGAGCAATCCTGATCTACCTTTTCTGTTGTTGTTATGTTCTTTTGAAAAGAACATTCTGTAAATGATGAAGAACTTTTAAATCCCTGCATGCAAGTTGTTCCTATTCCAGGGGGGTTTTTCAAAGCATCTGAAACCAAGTTATGTTCTGGTATTGATAGAAAAGTGTATGATTCCGGACCATAAATGGATGGAGTCATTAGTAAGGCAGGAGATGAGGTTTCAGGGCGTATTTTGCCTAAAATCATTGCAAAAATGAGCAGGATTGAAGGTAGCAAAAAGGATGTCACCATCATTTTTCTATCCCTTACCATTCTTTTGTACCGCTTATACAATAAAGCAGTGAAAGCATTCATAACACTGATTTCTCTTTTGCTGTGGATGAGCATTGAAGTTTCAAAATTTGACTCTGTGTCCGAAAGTGACTGGGTGTCAAGCTTGTTCCCAACTTGTGTATGTCTTTGCCAAAACTTTTGTTTTGATTTGATATTTTCTTTCATAACAAAATTTGCCTCTGAAGTCATTGAGAGAAAAATGTCTTCAAGGTTTGGAGATGCAATGGAGAAAGTACTTATTTCAAGTTCTTTCTTCTCGTTTTCCAATACTGCAAAGAGTTCATGATATTTGGAGTAATCTTTACCTTCATCTACTGGCAAGGTATATGATCTCTTTTGAGCTGAATGAGTTATTTTCTCAGCTCTTGGTACAATCCTGCTTATATGTGCATCAATTTGATCCGAATGGGACCTTAGCGAGCTCATTGACATTCGTGAGGAACTAACAGATGTAACTTCTGTTGGGGGATTAGATTTTATTCCTTGACTTATGTTCAATTGTAAGCCCTTCCCATACTGTTGTTGTAACTCCAGTGTAGGTCCTGAACTCAAAAGCTGACCTTTGTGTATTATTGCAATGTTGTCACACAAAATTTCTGCTTCATCCATTTGATGTGTGGTAATTATGATTGTCTTACCCTCTTTGCACTCTGTAATGAAGTCCCAAATACAGCGTCTAGCAGATGAATCTACTCCAGAAGTTGGTTCATCCAGGATTACAATAGTGGAGTCCCCAGCAAAAGCCATAGCAATTGCCAGTCTTCGTCTTAATCCTTCAGAGAGATGCTTGCAAAGAGTATTATTTTTTTCTTCAAGTCTCATTTTCATCAGTAAGGTTTGCACATTTTTTTCAACATTTGAGTGAGCACTAGACTTAAGCTTTGAATAAAGTCTTATGTGTTCTTCTGTATTTAGATTTTCATATAAAATACCTTGCTGTGGGCAAAATCCAACCATTTTTATGTATTTATCCCACTGATCATTGAAACTTGTTCCATCAACCAAAATGAACCCACTGGTTGGTTTTATGATACCAGTTAACATAGACATGGTTGTACTTTTACCTGCCCCATTATGTCCAAGAAGACCAGTTATTTCATTTTTATTAAAATGCAGATTAAGAGAGTTTACAGCGATTCGCTTACTTTTTCTTCCCAAGCGAAACTCTTTTGTCAAAGAAACCAGTGTGATCCCTTGATTGCTGTGTGTTGCGTCAAATTCTTTTTTTGTCTTAACAGATCTACCAGAACTACTAGAGCTCCATGTTCCATCCATGTTAGACAGCTTTGATATCACAAATCCAATAAGTCCATAGATTACACCATCCACAAGCAAAAATATTATATAATACAAAAAATTAAAGTTGTCATTATCCATTGGCGAAATCATTAACTTTTCCCAGCTTAGCCCAACCTGTTGCTGTTCATACCTTGTGATGTACATCAGAGTAAAACCAAACGCAGTATTCATGAAGAATCCAATTAGGAATTGTAGTTCAGAAATGATTTGTTCGTCAAGAGAGATGAAAACAAGAAAAGGGAGGAAAGCAAGAATGTGAAAAAGGAAGGCTGTAACTGCTCCAGAGGTTGAATTTTGCAGGATCATGGACAACATGTAAGTAAAGTTCATGAGGGAAAATGAATATGCCATGATTGTCAGTAAAATTATCTCAATTCTTGTTTTGGGCAAAACTTCTCCAAAATGCAATAGAATAGTAACCAGGATTGCATTGAAAGTAAAAACTACCCCCATTGCCATGAAGTTGGAAGTCCACATTATGAAAGACTTCATTCCCATCACCTGAAGGATTTGTCCATTCTTTGATTCTCTTTCCCAGACAAACTCTCTAACAAATGTAGCTATTAGAAGAGAAAAGGCAAAAATTAAAACAACTTGCAGTAGCTGAGCTGTATATATTCCACTCAAATAATTGTTTCTTACAAAGCAAGGATATGGAAATTGCTGCATCAAAACTTGATCCAAAGGTTTTGTTTTGGTCTGAATCTCAATCAGAGCACTATCAACAAGATCCTGAATCTGTAAAAATCCCCAAAAATATCTCATGTTGTAATAAAAATCTCCATCAGGTCCTGGTACCCACAACTTTTCCTTTAATGAGGATGTAATTGGCACATGGTCTACCTCCATACGTATCTTATACTGGATATGTTTTGAAATCTGAGAAGATATGTCTCTCTTTACAACTACATCATCATCATTTGGCAAAATAACAATGCCAGCTAGAAACTGTTCTCCTAGTATTCTTGACTTTGCTAGTATGTCTGATTCATTTTCCAGAAAATCAAATCTTTTGGTATTTAAGCATTTCAGTCCAAGAGATATTGTGTTCACCATGCTTAAAATGTTTTCATTTGCTTTAATAGTTTCATAAAGTTCCATAAGGTTTGAAAATTTTCCATTTGGTAGGCTTAGCATTTCACCAGTAAATGATTCCCGAAACTCCTGATAAAAGTTGGATTGAAATAAAGTTGAAAGAATTTTGGCTTGTTCTTCATAACCTTCAATGTAGTTTAAATATTGGTAGTTATCTCCTATATTATTTACTTTTTTGCGAAATTGTTCTATTTTAGAAAAGAACCATAGAGACTTAGCTACAATTTCCTCTGCAATGCCATTTTTGGGGGTGATGAAAATGGTTCCCTGTATAAATGGAGAAAGATACCTCCAAACTACTTGACCCTCCCAGGTTTGAGAAATATATTTATACAGTATTGAACAGTGGGTATCCAATGACTGAAAATTGCCACCGGTTTCATTTGATATTGGTTGTAACGGTTTATAAGTTATCTTGTCAGGAATCAGATCATCTCCGCACATAAAATTACTAGCAATGGCTGGTGATTTCAGTTATGTTAAGCTTTTCTTTTATATCAGGGATGTTTAGTTTTCCGAGCAAGTTTTCAAAGGATTGTGTAATGTTGCCATAGATCTTTGACATTTCAATCCAATTTTCTTGTATTTCTTTAAATTGATCCAACGTCATATTTCCAGCAGATGCTAGGTTTTCAGGATTTAGTGCATTTGACACAGTTGCTAGATCTTTAAGGTCCTGTATCCTGATATTTTGAAGTATTGTTGGCAGGATTGTAGATGAGGAACAGAGTTGGGTTGCCATACTTTCTATTGATATTCCTATTGGGAGAGGGTTGGAGTTAAGTTTGAGATATCTGTTCAATAGAGTCCCATTGCAATAATTAAATACTTGTCTTAACTTTAATGCAGCAAGCTGTAAAATATCCAAAGATACAGGTTGGTAGTACAGATCTTGTTTTTCATCATTGGACAGATTTATTCCAAAAACAGAGTTCTGTACAGATGTCCAGTTTGTAATGATGTTGTAGAAAAATGTATCATTAGGTGTCATGAACAGATTACTACTTTCTGCAAACAAAATATAATACTTATCAAACATTAAAATCTTCCACATTTGATATTGCATGTGAAGGAACCGAGTTTTGCCCCAAACTCTGATTTTTAATCTGCTGTAGACCTTTAATGTTTTAAAACTTCAGAGTCTTTTAAATTATAACTAAAAAAACCCTGATGGTGTTCAAATGTTAATTTAAAGAATAGAAAGATAATGGGACCAATTTCTGAAAATTGCATTAATAATGATTCAGCAATACAAAAAGTTTAACTAGTCACAGATCAAATAAAAGGAATATTCAAAACCAGAATAAACATTTTTTGAGTTTGTTTTAAAGAAATGAGTTTTGCCACAAATTATTTGATCTAATATAATTCACAGTTTGTGGCAAAATTCAATTGCTTTATCTAAAACCAGAAAAACTGGACAAAAGATACACATACATAATAATACCAATAAGTGAACTTAATAGGAATTGAGTCATTGCCACGAACTGTGATTTTCTAATCTCTATATCTGTGAAACCCAATGTCATAGACCTTCGATATTTCAAACTATCAATTGGATCAAGTAATATAAGTTTGAAATAATAAAGTTTTAAACCATCAGAGCCTGAATTCAATTAATTTGAGCAGCGTCTCAAATCCACCAAAAACTGGTTTCAATTAAGCGCCGGCTTAAATCTTGAAAATTGAATACAATTTTAAGAGGAACCAACCATATTTGAGCAGTGTCTCGAATTTAAGCTGCAGCTCAAATTCTTTAAATTCAGTCTCAGGTTGAGAATTTATAGGGACTAGAAAATTTAAGTTTGTGGCAAAGACTAAATTTCTTTGTTCTAAAACCAGAATAGGTGAACAAAACATGCAATATACACAATAATACCAAGAAAATATTCCAAAATCTTTGAAAATTTTCAATTTTTAAGAATTAACAACATTGTGCAACAGAATGTTAAATATTTTCTCACCTAATTGTTGAAGAATACTTGTGTAATTCTCCCATATATCAGTATTTTGTAGGAAGTATCCAGTCTCGTTGATTACAGATGTAACAGATGACAGGAGTAGTTGTCCACTGCTGGAAATAAGTAATTGTAGCACTTCCGGATCAGAGAGATGATCTTGCATCATAGAGACAGGAACAGATTCTAAACTTGATGCTATATTTGATAATTGCATTATAATGTTCTCAATACGTTCCTGAGCCTTGTTCATCCAATCCATTGAGTTAAACTCGTCTTTCCTCCAGTTCTCCAAGTTTTCAATAATCATTGTCAAGTTGAGATCATTAACCAATTCTTCAATTTCCCCAATCTGTCGTTTTTGGATCCGACTGAATCTTAGTATACCAGTGTCGATTTTTTTATTAGATTTCATTAGATAGATCAATCTATTAACATCAAGATCAAATTGTTTTAGTTTCTCATATTTTGCAATGCTAGAATCACTATTTAACAGACTAGAAACATTCTTCCAAATTGGAAATTTAGATTTCAAGATTTCATAAACAGGAGTTATAAATTGTGTAGCATTGCAATGAGAGATTTTGTCCATAAGAGTGTCAGGTTGTATTGTAGTGTTGCTAAGAAGGCATTGAACATTTGGGTCATTATAGAAATCAGTTAGACCTTCAATCATTTGAGATAGATCATTCAGAACATTTGACATATCCGGCAAAACTTCCGCTTGTCTTTTCCTTCTTGAAGGTGTAAAAATTGAACTGATTTCTTGCATCATCGAAATTGCTGATATCAAAGGATTCATTGCAGCAGAAGAGGAAAGGTTTGAATCTATATTTTTGTCCAGGTATTCCCCCAGATAATTATAGTTCAAATGAGTTTGAAGCATCTCAAGAAAGTCCTTTTGCTGACAAACGTTCTTCATACTTTTCACCAAAGATGGTTTGGCTTTTGGGAGAAACATTGAGATAGAAAAGCTAGAGCACTGTAAAATTTCAAGAGGAACGCCAAAAGATGCTAAATCTCCAGATACCATCCCCATTTTGATAGATGCTTCCAGGAAAATTTCAGCAGTTTCATTATCAAATGTTGAGTTTGTCAACACACTTCGAATTAAGTCTGGGTCATAGAATATGTCTTTAACAAGAGTCTCATTTGGTACATACTTGTTCATGATGATGGTGTCATTGAGAGCAAAAGCTGTGCTGTTTATAAACCTCAGAGTTCCTGGTAGTTTTATGCTGAATTCTTGAACAGTATCATTGTAAAGAATTGGTTCAATATGTTCCACAATATCATCAAGCTTTGAACCAGGGTAGGAGGGATTGTCCTCAAAATCCTTCATCTTACCGCAGTTGTTCTTTAAGTTGCAAAGAAAGGATTGTAACATTGGTAATGGTCCTGAACTAGGATTATGTCTGGCTCTAAACTGACAAGTTTCAAACTCACTTGGAGGAATTAAAAACTTCATCACCACAACAGCTAGGACAAGCAGAGATGGGAAGAATAGTTGTAAGAATGTTGTAATCGGCTGTCTTTGTCTAAAATTCATATCATGATTTTTATCGTACAAAGGAATTGCAAGTCTTTGCTACAAATTAAAATTTAAAAATCCCTAAATCTCTAATACAACCTGATAGAGTAGACAGTTGATATTTCCAACTACACTATTTAATCTAGCTGAATTTATAGTTGAAACATAGCAAAGATTTTAGGATTAGAAAATCAGAGTTTATGACAAGTACTCAATTCCTTTAAATGGAATTGAGTCTTTACCACAAACTCAAATTTTCTAATCTATATCTTTGATATTTCAAACATAGATTATTTGATCTGACAGAATTTATAGTTTGAAATGTCTAACGCTTAACAAAATTGAATGCAAAGATATAGGAATTAGAAAATCTAAGAATCAAATCCTTTATTTAAAAAATAACAGTAAAAATTTGAGTTATGTTCTATAAGCTAAGTGTACAGTGTTTACATCTGCAGGAAAAAATCAATTTATAGAGTTAAAAAACTGGGAATAGTTCGGAAATAAAGGTCTTAATCAAGATTTAGTTTGGATTAGAAAACTCAGGCAGGTTATGAGAAGGATATCATTTGTCAGCAAGAAAAAAGTGCAATATATTCATAATTTAAAAGACCTTACTTAGGGAATGCCAAACAATCTGAAAATGTTTGTGATAGATGGTTCAGAACTTCAGATTCACCACGGTACCCTTGAAATTATTTTTTCTGTGTTAAAAGTGTTGAATTTGGATAATTCCTATATATTTTTCTTGCTGTAGAAATGCGCAAGTCGCAAAGCTCAGTTAAAAATAATCATTTTTTAACATTAAATACATGGATGTCTAATTTATACTTTATCAGCTACAAAGCTTTTCAGTGTAACTTTGTGTTTAGGGCATTGCCATGCAGTATTTCCATGGAAGGTCCTTTAGCTTGAATTTACGTTATTTATAGTTCAGAGCCAACACTTTTCATGGTTTAACTGGAGAATTGAACTATTCAGGAAGGTACTCTGGTACTCTTTATACAAAGGATTTAAATCCGTCATTCCAATCTCAAATTTTCTAATCGCAATATCTTTTTAACCTGAAGATGTAAACCTTTCATTCATAACTTAGATGATTTGATCTCACAGAGTTCATTGTTTGAACAATCTAAGGTCTACGACATTTAGATGCGAAGATATGTTATTTAGAAAATCAGAGTTTGTGGCAAAGATTCAATTATTGTTAATCTTTCTAAAAAAGAGGCTTAATTTGAGTTTTAACAAAGTATTTTATATTAATATCAACTTAATGCCCTTTCTAAAAAAGAACAGTAATTACCCTCGATGAAGATTTTCTCTAATTCACTCTGTTTTGCACTCCTTCTTTCTGTTGATTTGCTCTGTCTTGTCCTCTAACTGTTAATTTGCTCTGTTTTGTCCTGTAGCTACTAATTTGCTCTGTTTTGTCCTGTAGCTTGATTTACTGAAATGTTCTGAATGTCCTGAGTAAACTGAAGACCATGTCTAATATCCTTATCTCTTCCCTCTGTTGGAAAACAGGGACTGAGTTTCTGAAATCACAATTTTAAACCTAGATATATACTCAAATCATAAACTTGTAAACACAGATCAAATACTAAAACAGCATTGGGGAAACTAAAGGTTTCAAGGGGGGGAGGAGATGATAAAGGAATTGGGTCTTTGCCACGAATACTTACTTTATAATCCCTATATCTTTGAAACCCAATGTCCTGCACCTTAGATATTTCAAAATAATTCTGTTACATCAGCTAATCAGATAATTTAAGTTTGAAATGTTGTGGAACACTATAAAAGCAAGTTTTATGGGTTTAGAGAAATACAAATGACAATTACAATGACAATTAAATATGTTTCTTGAAAAAATAAACAAATTTTTTACTAGAATGAAAAAGTGTATTAAAAGAATCATCATCAAAGAAACTTCTCATTTTAGATTGTTAAGAGGGTTTTATAGAAAGCATTCAACTGTGTCCCTGAACCCCGTGGAGAAAAATATAAAGCAAATTCTCTTAACAGAAACATCCGATTAAAAAAAAGCAAGGATCCATTTATAACTTGATTAATCTTATACCGGATATTTCCTTTTGTAAATTACCATAATACATCGATGAGATTTAAGAAATAACATTTTTGGACTTTTTTTTCTCCATAAAACTCGCATTTTTGTGAAATTTTACTTTAGAATTTTAACTTTTTAGAATAAGAGTGATGCACATTTTTAGCAAGAACAATAAATATTATAATAATTTATCAAAATATTAAAATTCTAGTTTTAATTTAATTTGCAATTACAATAGGAAGAATTTTAGATAGGCTTGAATTACTTTTAATAATAATAATAATGATAATTTTTTACATGAATTATTTCTAAAATGTTTAATGGCTCACCGGGCTAAAGCTTTAGTGCCCCTCGAATCAAAATTAAACATTTTTGTTTGTTAAATGCATTTTTTTAAAAGAAAGTACACAGGTTAGATATTGTAAGAACCTTACTTTTAAAGACTGTTTAATAAAGAATAAATGAATGGTTAAGAGTTTGCTCAAAACTAAATTAGATTTTTATTGAAATTTCTAGTTTCTTTTCAAAATTCTTCTTCATTTCCATTTTTATAGCAAAATTTTTACTTTTTAATTCTAAAGTACAATTTGTACTTCGAAAGGAAGGGGATAGAAAGGGGGGGGGATGGGGTTAAAGTTTTGGAATAATATCTATTAGTTCAAAGAGCAATTCATGCATTTGCCGCTTTGAGTAACCTTGAAAAAATCCTACTTTGCGGCGTAGAGTAATTAACAAAATATATACTTTGCCTTTAAAAAATCTAACTTTACCGTGCAAAGTAAGTAACCTTTAAAACCCATACTTTGCTGTGTAGAGTAATATTGATCATAAATCATACAATCCCACTTAAGCTAACCTTTAAAAATAATACTTTGCCGTGTCGAGTAATCTTGTTTCCTGATAAATCATACATTGGCGTGTACTAGTGAACTAGTGCTTCAAAAATCAAACCTTGCAGATGGAGTAATCAAAATTAACCAGTCTGTAAAACTCAAAGTATTTTTTTCATCTAAAATGATGGAAATTCGTTTGAAGAATTGTGGGTGTTAAAAAATCGATAAAATGTATGGAAGGCTTTGAAACTTTTAACAAACTTGAATAAACTCATGAACCTTTTGACCGATTTACCTCAAATTTTGGAATCGAGAACTTTTTAGAACCACGAGTTGTTCCTTGTTTGATTTAAAGGTTTTAGGTTTAGTTTATACAATTATTTTCAAGGCAAAGCTTGGTTTCCTAGCTAGTAAATAATAATAAATGAAGGTGTGTTTGTAACACAGAAACATATTATTCATCTATAAAGCCTGAAAATCCAGGCAAAAACTGCCTCAGTTTTGGGATATATTATACTTAACAGTTTTCCCATAACTTTTTAGAACGTTTTTACTTCAATTTGTACCCAGAGAGGGCGGAGTTTAGAATATATTCTTAACTTAAGTTAGGATTTCATATTTGTAATGAAAAATGGAAAGAATTTGGTCCAGATTTTCTTATACAGTGAAGCCTATCAAATTATTAAACTGTGGAATTGGAAAACGACTGTTTCAGGCCAAAATTATGATATTAAAACTATGTTTTGGTTGGCTTATAAAACTATGTTTTGATTGGTTAATAAAACTCTGTTTTGGTTGGATATTAAAACTATGTATTGGTTGGTTAATGAAACTATGTTTTGGTTGGTTAATAAAACTATGTATTGGATGGTTAATAAAACTATGTTTTGATTGGTTAATAAAACTATGTATTGGTTGGTTAATAAAACTATGTTTTGATTGGTTAATGAAACTATGTTTTAGTTATTGAAACTATGTTTTGGTTGGTTAATAAAACTATGTATTTGTTGGTTAATGAAACTATGTTTTGGTTGGTTAATAAAACTATGTATTGGTTGGTTAATAAAACTATGTTTTGATTGGTTAATGAAACTATGTTTTGGTTGGTTAATAAAACTATGTTTTAGTTATTGAAACTATGTTTTGGTTGGTTAATAAAACTATGTTTTGGTTGGTTAATAAAACTATGTTTTGGTTGGCTAATAAAACCATGTTTTGGTTGATTAATGAAACTATGTTTTGGTTGGTTAATGAAACTATGTTTTGGTTGGTTAATAAAATTATGTTTTGGTTGGTTAATAAAACTATGTTTTAGTTGGTTAATAAAACTATGTATTGGTTGGCTAATGAAACCATGTTTTGGTTGGTTAATGAAACTATGTTTTGGTTGGTTAATGAAATTATGTTTTGGTTGGTTAATAAAACTATGTTTTGATTGGTTAATGAAACTATGTTTTTGGTTGGTTAATGATATCGACCCGATCTTGAAAATTGATGCATAATTTGCATACTGGTTTGGATCTCTAAAAACAAAATAAATATATACATACATACATAATTAACGTTCTAATTAAATTGTTAAAGAATCCTAAAACAGAATTCCTTTGAGAGGAAAGTAAGTAAGACTTTAAATCCTGAACTCAGTACAGTCGTTTCTTTGTTTTTTAGTAATTAATGAACTGTTATTTATTAATAATACACCATTAGCTATATTAGTATTATAATACACATTTATAAATAGTTATAACTATTTTTAAATCATTTAAAAAATTAGTTTTCTGTGCATACTGTGAAAAAGAAAAAAAGATGTTTTACCAAATTTAAGTTATGGTATTTTTTACCTTGTTTGACTTCATTTTTTTACCTTGTTTGACTTCATTTTTTTTACCTTGTTTGACTTCATTTTTTTTATCTTGTTTGACTTCATTTTTTTATTACCCTGAAAAGACCGGACTTTTGTCTTTAACTTGAGTTTCGCTAAGCTACTTATCCTTTGAAGAACAATATTTGAAAACTAAAGTCTGGAAACACTTGCACCTAAATTAAATCAAAAAGGAGTATTTAGCATAATCCTGGGGAAGCCTTTTTTTACTTACTTTTGCCTTAAGTTGTTGAAAAAATTAATATTTTAAGAACTGTGCTATATTTGTATTTTAAAGAATAATAAAACTATAAGGGCAAACAAAGATAACACTGAAAACAGGCATTTATATTTGTTTTGGACGTATATTGTAAACTTTCTAAAAACCCTCAGGAAAACAAATTATTACTTTTAAACCTATGCTATATTGCAGTAAAAAATAAATAAATTTAAGTAAATAAATTATATGTAAAAAGTATTTTGTGTGTGTGTGTATTAATGCTAGTTTGCTTTGCCAGGCTTATCTTGAGTCAAGCCAAGCCAGGTTAATTCAGAGATAAGAATTTTATCACTATGAATCATTGCAGCAGTCAGTTTAAAAAAATAATTCTGCTTGCAATGAACCCCAAGTGTTAAAAAACATGCTTTTACGCGTATTTTGTGTTCTCTTGTTTACAATTAGAATAGATGGACAGATATCTATAAGTTCAATAACACCTTCTTCAGGAACAGTTTTACCAATTGGATCTACAGCAACCCTATCCTGTACCTCCACCCTACCCTGGTATATCTGTATCTGGGAGGGACCTGGAGGACTAGCCTGCCAGTGTCAATCACAAGCTGGAGGAGTAAACGCTCTCTGCCAAGGATATCCACATATAACCCTAACCGGAAGCGGAAATGACTGCAGTGCTGTTATATCAGGTGTAACAGCAGAAGATGCTGGACAATGGCGCTGTGTCTTGGTGGATAACACACAGTTCAAGTCTGTCTCTAGAATTACAGACCTGGAAATTGGAAAAGAAGCTGAAGTTTCCTGGGTAGGGGTGAGAAACCAGCTCAGTGTTCGAGAAAATGAGGCAGAAGACCTTGTTTGTCAGTCTATTGGAGGTTATCCTGAACCTCAACTAACAATTGAAGGCACAGATAATATCAGGCCTGGACGACCGGTGAGTCCCAATTTCTTTTATTTAAATTTTAGCTTAAATTTTTAAAAATATTTGACAGTAATAAGAAATCGAGCTGAAATATAGTTTTCTAAGTTTTTTTATTTCACTTTAAATTCAGAGCTTGTAACTAAAGGAAAGGAAATAAAGTATAAGCCATTCTTCATTTAAAAAATGTACCATCACATTTAAGTTACTAAAATCATACTTTCAGTGTTTTCTTGTTTAATTTTAAAGAAAATTATCTAATTTAATTTAAATTTAATTAAAAGTAAATCTAAAAATGTATGGCATTAAATCTATTAAGGCAACTGATCCAGGGGCAATTCAACCCTTTCTTGATGTCGTTCTCCCAGCTACCTATACTGGAAACAGAAATGATCAAAACAAGATGCTAAGTTGTGTGTCCACTCAGCTTGATTCATTCGGAAATATTTTGTACACTTCCAGATCTGATCTAAGCCTTGACATTCAAGCTCCAGCTGATGTTGGTGGCCTAGCTATTCCTGTTGGTGGTATAGTTGGCATATTGTTAGCAATTCTGCTTTTGTTTCTTCTATGTGCCATTCTTTCATTCTTTTTGTACAGAAGGGACAGAAAGAAAAGGTATGGAGTAGATAATGAGATAATTGCCGCTTCCAAAGGAGGGTATACATCAGTTCCAGTAGAACATGATATTCATGTCACAGGCGGTGATCATTTGGAAAAGAATTATGATGTCAACATAAACCAGATCTACAATGACAGATTTGGCAAAACAGAGAATATCAATGTAATTGAAAATAACAAATTACAAAACTCATCTAATAATCTAGAAGATTATCTTGTTGCTGGCCTGGCTAGAAGAGGTAGCAATAGTAGCAGTAGTAGTAGTAGTTCCTCGGATAAAAGCAAACTTATTAAAACTGAAACAGATAATGGAGTTTCTGAGAGAAATGAAAGTTTTACAAACTACTATTGGAATAATACGAGCGCAATTAATAAAACTGACTCAACATTTATTTACAATGGAAAAACATATGAAGAGGAAGTATTTGAAGATCACTTACTGATGGCTAAATCAAAGTTTCCCATGCCGTCAAAGTTCCGCTCCAAACGATGGAAAAACAATCTATCAGAAATTAGAGAAGGAGATAATGATGATGAAGTTCAAATCTTAAAACATGACAATCATGCCAACTTTGCCTCAGTACAAGTGGAGCAAGAAACAGGAAGAAAAACTATGAATGATGGTGAAAAAGAAACCCAAAACAGTTGCCATGATACTATAAACACAAACACAGAAAACACTTATAGCAGCAAAGATTTGGCAGTTGAGCTGATCAACTTCAACTGGGATCAAAAGAATATGACTAGCGAGGATATTTCCACAGTACAGAAAGATTTCAAAGAAAAGAAAGAAAAAAAGATGAAAAAGAAAAAGACTATCACAGAAAGTGTTTCTAACAGAGTATCACATGACACCTCTGCAAAGTTATTAAAGAAGAAAAATGACCAAATATTTTCTGAAATAGGAAACACTTCTGGGTCTAGGTCCAGCAGCAATATTATTGGTCATTTAGATTTGTCAAAATCAACCCAGGAGACAGAGTACGTTAAGCAAGATATTCAAATTCAGTCTGAAGGATCCAGTGACAATTCTAAATATGCATTCCGTGATGATCATTATTACATCGGAGATTCCGAATATGCAGAGGTTGTGGAGGAACATGTTCAGGGGAAGTATGAAGATGACATTGAGTACTGTGAAAAGAAACTTAATCACACTGTTGATGTGAATCCTAAGATTTGGACCTTAAAGGATATAAAAATTGAAGAATCAAAAATACAAAGAACATCAACCATGAGAGACCCAAAAGTTCTACCTCCTCCAGGGCTCAGTACAGAATCCAAAAAGGAATACATTGTTAACTGGATATCAACAGAGAACCTTCAAGTATCTCCAACCTCAGAGAAATCCTGCTTTCAAGAAGAGGCCAGTGTCAGAAGCTTTGACCAGGAGCTTGACCGGTCAGATGAGTCCTGTATTGTAGAAGCAGAACAAAGAACCAACGGGCGGTCAACTGGAGCTAGATATCAACATATTACAGACTATATCAACATGAAGGAAAAAATCCAAACTCAAATATCTGGTGGAGATAAGAAGGTGGACAGAAACTCAAGCATTAGTAATAGAGTTAGCAATGTTGATAAGAAAACAAAGAAATCTAGTGCAGAGATTATGAATATTAATTCTCATGGCCTTGCTGACTTTTCAGAGGCTAAATCATCTGAGAGTTCCAATTCAACAGCAAGACAGGTTTCCTTCTCAGGAGGGAAAAAGCCTAAAAGCATACTTAAGAATCAAAGTGCTGACAGTTTGCAGACTGATGAGAACTCCAAGATGTATAAGATAACTCAGCAAGAAATAGTATTCTACCTGAAGAACAAAGAGGGGATTGTAAAGGTTGTAAGGCGTCCTTTACTGCACACCAAGAACTTCAGCAAGATTGCACCAGAGGAGGAGAGGGAGAACAGTTTTATCCGACACAAATCCCAACCTAACCTATACAGTTCACATATACTGAGGCATCTAGATGAGCCTGGGCAGGAGGTGGTGAGTGGTCTGGAGGTGTCATCAAGGGATGATGGAAGCCAACATATACATATGAAGAGTGTTGGGTTGCTTCAGCATTCCTTATCACTTAGACAGGTAAATCTGAAGGACATATTTCAGGACTTTGATTTGAACTATTTACAATTACTTTATTGTCCAGGGAACTCATGGTTAAGTAACATTTTTTATTTCCCGTAAAAAGTAATTTTATCCTCTTTTAAGATGAAAATTCAAGATTTTTTCACGAATCTTGCAGAGCGAGTGATTATTTTACTTGTTATGCTTTTGAGATAAAAATGCACGATTTTTTTCTGAAACTTTTGCTTAGAGGGTGGTTAATTTACTTAATTTTTCCAACGTCCCTCTGACTAAAAAAATGTATTTCAATAGAGTTCAAAGATCTCAAAATTCTGATTAACTTTTTAAAATTTATTTCACTTAAAAGAATTATTCATAAAATTAATACATGATTCATGATTTAGTTGAGTGGTCTGCAGGATGGAGAATGGCGAAGCTCAGGGTCTATATTTGATTGTGAGATGAACTGCTTCAATGACAATACATTGCACATATAAAAATGTGGGACGGAAATACTGGAAATAGTCTTTTTCAACGTTTTTAATAACAAATTATTTTTGCATATACAATATACATACAATAAAATAACCTTACTTTACTACTCAGATATTATTCGATTTGAAATGAATAGATGCAGAATGTTTAAAATATAATTTTAATTTTTAGAGTTTTATTTTTCTCCTCTTTCTGCTCTTTGTGTCTTGTTCCAATTTCTTTCTTTTCATTTTCCTTGAAAAAATAAGTTAATTTTTGTTCTTTTTTTCAGATGTTTAAAAATATCCCTTATGCGAAATCACTCAGCAGTCAGAAGTGTACTTTAAAAAGGAACAAAATTTTAACTTTTTTACAAACATTTTTAACAAATGGATAAGTATTTTACACTAAAACTGTGTTTAATAATTAATAGTTTAGGATACAAAGGAGTGATAACTTTTTAAATAGCTCAACAATAACTAGTCTCTATTTAAAAACTCGGTTGTATGACTGTGTATATACTTCCCATGTCTTTGATAATGCTTTCTGTATATACTTTTTCTATATACACCCTGTATATTTAATACTGTTGTGAAACTGAGTGTAAAATTAAATCCTGAATTCTGGATCTCAAGAACTCTAGCTTCTACACTGTACAGTCTACAGGCTACAATCTACAGTCTACAGTCTAAGTATACAGTCTACAGCCAAGTCTACTACACTTGCAGTCCTAATAACACGAATAAGACTTCAAAGGCGACTTTCCTAATTTCATTTAGTTTTTTATTAAATTTATGTTAGCTGCCTGCAAATAGGACTGGGCAAAGTTCTGTTAACGGAACGGAGGTTTTTGAAAATAAACGGAAGAGTCCGTTAACGCACGGCAAAAACTGTTAATTTTAAAATTGTTAACGAAATGGATTAGCCGTTTTTTTGAAAAAATTAACAGTTAAAAACTCTGTAATAATAGTTGAACATTTTTCGTTAACGCTGTTAATAAAATTGAGATAGTTAACTAACGCTAACTTTTAAAAATAACGAAAAATATCGCTAATGAAACGAAGTTTCGTTCTTACCTTATAAAACTAACGGCTACCTGAGATTTTTATTCTAAAAACGGTCGGTTTGGAACTAACCGTTAACGAAACGTCTTGAAAAGTCGGAACGTACCCAGTCCTACCTGCAAATGTATGCACCAATCATGTAGCAACGTATATTTATTTTCTTGTCCAAATATGTCAAATAAAACATTTTTAGAAAGCTTTTATTTTTTTTTAGAATCATAATAAAATTATAAATTTTCAACACTGGCCGTTATTTACAAAATAAAAATGAGGTATTTGTTCTTCTTTTACATGTATTTAATACAAGCTGAAGTGCCCGGCGTTGGCCGTGAAAAAAAGAAAAGTGAACAAAAAATGTTATGATTTTTTTAAGCCTATGTTATCTTCAGGGTGTCCATGGGTTTCCTCAAAAAATGTCCGCCAATTTGATTCAACCGTTTGGTTTGTCGCTTAGGATAGTTTTCATTTTAATTTTAAAATTTTCAGGTCGTCAATAAATTAAATGGACTGACGACAACATTTCAAACATAAAAAGATAAATTTAATATTTAAATTAAAAAACGACAATATCTTCCTCATTGTTAATCCTATAAGCGGTTAATGGGACCTTTATGAATCAGGTTTTTCATGAGTAAGTTTTTTTTTAATATGGTTTACCTAGGTAAATAACATAGGTGTAATCTATCTATATATAAATTTGGCTTGTCTGTCTGTTTGTTTGTCTGTTTTTTTGTCTTGTTTGTTTGTATCCAATAAACGTCAGAACGGCTGAACCGATCGGGCCNGCGCCCTCTAAAACTAGTATATATAAATTTGGCTTTTCTGTCTGTTTGTTTGTCTGGGTGTCTGTTTGTTTGTGTCCAATAAACGTCAAAACGGCTTAACCGTTCGGGCCCAAATTTTTTGTGGGACCTCTCGTGACCCCAGAGAAAGTTTATGAATGATCAAAATTTTAAAAATTTGTGTTTAAAAGTTTTTTACTTTTGAAAATTTTTGAAAATGCGCAAAAAAATATTATGAAATCCACAAACTTTTTTGTACAAAGAGTGTTCAGAGATAAAGCCACAATTAAAATTTGAAATAGAAGCCTAGTAAAATAGATTCTTCAATTTCTTTATAAATAACGGATCTTAGGATTTTCAAAACTATTTCTTTGGTGCTAAAAATGTTAAAGAATTTTTTTATTATAATTCTATGAAGATTGGTCGTTGTAAAATATATAGATATACAGGAGAAACCTTCGTATTTTACAATATTATTAATATTGCAATAAATTCCTATCTTGACAAACCACATAAATTCCAAAATAGAAAATATTAAACTTTGAATAAACACAGAAAAGAGAAGAAGAATGGAACTAGAAAAGAGAAGAAGAATGGAACTAGAAAAGAGAAGAAGAATGGAACTAGAAAAGAGAAGAAGAATGGAACTAGAAAAGAGAAGAAGAATGGCACTAGAAAAGAGAAGAAGAATGGAACTAGAAAAAGCAAAGTAGGAGAAAAAGTCTCTAAAATCTCCGTTACTGTCCTCTTTTATGCTTCCCTGTCACATTCTGTCTATCTTCGTCCCTCCTGCTTTTTTTCTTCGTCCCTCCACCTTTCGATCTCCGTCTCTCCTCCTTTTGATCTCCGTCTCTCTTCCTTTCTATCTCCATCTCTCCACCTTTCTATCTCCGTCTCTCTTCCTTTCTATCTCCATCTCTCCACCTTTCTATCTCCGTCTCTCTTCCTTTCTTTCTCCGTCTCTCCACCTTTCTATCTCCGTCTCTCTTCCTATCTATCTCCGTCATCCTCCTATCTATCTCCGTTTCTCCTCCTATCTATTTCCGTTTCTCCTATTTTATATCTTCGTCTCTCCTCCTTCTTATCTCCGTCTCTCCTCCTTTTATATCCGTCTCTCCTCTTTTATATCTCCGCCTCTTCTCCTTTCTATCTCCGTCTCTCCTCCTTCTTATCTCCGTCTCTCCCCCTTTTTATATCCGTCTCTCCTCCTATCTATTTCCGTTTCTTCTCTTTTATATCTCCTTCTCCCTCTCTGAATCTTATTCTGTCCGCCTATATCCTGTATTCAGTTACGAGTGCCCCCCACACCCCAAAAAAAATCTCAGTATAGTAGAAATCCACTGTAATTGTTAAAATCGAAAACTTCCAGTGTTTCGATTGCCAAAATGTAATCAACGATTTTGTACATCAAAAATAAAAAAATAACAAAAATATCCAGATTTTATTTTATGAAATAGAATAACTTCATAGTTTAAAAGCTACAGCGAAGGAATTGAGTCTTTGCCACAAACTCAAATTTCTAGTTCCTTTAACTTTCTAATCCCTTAACTTCGGTCAATACTTTAAATTTCTGAAATTGGATCTAACAGAATTAATAGTTTTAAACATCAAATATCTACGAGTAATACGACATTTTGTTGCAAAGAATATCTAGGGGTTATAAGATCAGAGTTTGTTGCAAAAACTCAATTTCTTTCAAAGATTCTAAAGAATGTTCGGTCCCATCCTGAAAAACTCCTACAACAAACTTTTTTATTTTTCATTTTATCAATTTAAAGTCTTTTTTATTTGAGTCCATCTCTGAAATCCTTTCTCCTTGTTCTCCGACAAAATATGAAGTTTAAAGAGTTTAATTGAATAGAATATATGCAGACAGGAATATTCAATACGGCCAGAGGGGGGGGGGGACTTACCGCCAATATGGAAGTGGGCAGGGGTAATCCTAAGTCTCAGGAAGGGGAAATTCTACACCCTGCAAAGGGAATTACTATTTACATAGAAAGAAGATGAAAGAGGGGGTGAGTAAAATCTCAAATTCAGGTTTAAAGAAATACGAAGAAACAATAAAGAATAAAAAGAAAGCGTGTAAAAAGCGTTTTCATCAAGAAATATTATTTGGTGACGAAGATCTGTCCCTGTAGGGCTGTAAGAGGTAAAATGAGGAGAGGTTCAGAGCTAGTGATCGGTCTACTGGATTAATACAATAAACCCATCTCCAGGATCCCCCCCTCTTATTCCACACTCACCCTTTTATCCCCCAACCTCCCCCTTTTCATTCTCTTGTTTCAAGAAAACTTTATTCCCTTCTTTCGATTGAAATTTAAATAAAATTCGACCCCTCTCTTATTCTTCTTTTTTATGTTTAAAATTAGTTTATTTCTTGATGTCCCGGCCATAATCTGACCTCCCATAATCTGACCTCCCATAACCTATCCCCCCCAGCCCCCACCCTACCCCCTTCCGATGTGGAATGATGATAAGGATAAGACGAGAAGGATGATTATGACGATAATTTGATAAAAATAAGGATGAGAATGATGATGATGATAAAGATGACAAGGATGAGAATGATGATAATGATAAAGATGACAAGGAAGGGAATGATGATAATGATAAAGATGAAAAGGATGAGAATGATGAAATGATAAGAGGGGATATTAAGTGTATATATATAACACTTAAAACCGTTGTATAAATATTAAACCTTCATAATTGGTTATTTAGACTTTTTTCCCTTTTAAAGATATATTTTGTTTTTGCTATAGATTCACAAGTTCATAAGTTGCCTTTTTCTTCTAATAATTTTTTTTCTCCATACATCTTTTCACTTTCCAATTTCCTTTATTTATATCGATATCATTTCTCTTTTCCGTTCAACAATTTCCATTTTTCTTTATTCCTAATTTAATTTTTATCTTTATTTTCTTTTTTATTAATTTGTTCCATTTCCTTTAAAAAATTTCCACTTACTTAAATATCTCTTATTATCTGTAAAGTTTGACTACTATCTATTTTTACTTTTTTCCTTCATTCTATTCAGCTATTTCCATTCCTTTTTTATTACGTTTTTCTTCTTCTTTCGTTTCCCTGTTTATTTTCATTCTTTTCCTCAATATAAACAAATCAGCAGATCAAATTTGGTCCCTTTTAAAGGGGCTGTAAGCGTAAGTTCAAGTGATCCTCTATGCAAAGATGGTAATGCCCGATTCACAACGGTACCCTTAAAAGCTTTGTCTGATCATGCAAATATTACGTAACAATATTACGTAACAATATTACGTAACAATGTTTACAATTTTAAAAACTGAACATTTTCAATTGTGGTTTCTTTACAGAAGCACATCTTTACTGCAGGAATTGAATGGGTTTAAACATAGAAAAAGACCAAATAAAAATTGTAAAAAAAACTAGAACAACTTTTTATTTTTCTCATTGTTGATCAGACAATCGTTTCAAGGGTACAGTTGTAAATTGTGAATTAGCATCTTTGCAGGAAGGTTCACTTGCAATTAGCTTACTGTCCCTATATGTGATTAATTTACACCCTATCTAATTCATTACAGGGTGGCAATAAAAAATAAATCAATTAAAGTTTCCATAAATTTTTTTTTTAAAATTTAGAATGAAAAACATTTGACTCTGGACTTAGTAATGCCAGCGCCGAACATTACCACTGTTCTAATAACTTCCCCATTCAAAATTTGAGGCAAATCGGTCATGGGTCCCCGAGTTATGATCGGACATACAAACATAGATTACTATACTTTCTATATAGTAGAAGATACAAATATAATTTTCCTCCTTAACCGAGCTTGAAATATGTAAGATAAATATTCAAATTTATTTTCTGAAATTTCTCGTCTCGTTAAATATAATTCCCTTCAACCAGAGTTTAATATTATACATTTAACATTCTAAATCAAGAGATAAATTTGTAGAAAATCAACAAAATCTCTTCCCCCCCCCTACTCTCCTTTATTGTTATTATTCCAGCTATTCTAAAACATCATTTTGTTGTGAATGATGATATGAAAAATGAGAATGATTTTATGTTTTGATGTACAGAAAAGTTTGCTGAAGATTAACAGATAGAGAAAATAAATATTAGGATGTAAATAATTTACTTTCAGATTTGTGAGAGAGTATAGAGGGTATCAGAGGCGTATATATCGGTGCTTAGCCCCCCCCCCTCCTCTTGGAACAATGAAATCAATGGTTTTTAGGCCCAAACGAGTTCTGAGCCCCCTGGAAAAAGAAAAACAAGCCTTCTTCCCTCATAGACATAATGCCAGAATACAACACCCGGGAGGGTTAACGTAACGTAAAAAATTACCACAAAGTTTACAAAAACTTCGCTCACTTTTTAGAAATAACTAAATAAAATCTGATTTAAGATAAATGAATATAAAATTATAATTTCATTGAAAACGAAGAGAATTAATGACCAGATGAATCATGTGTCTAAGTCTTGAAGGCTCTAGGGTAATATTATGAGAAATCAAATAAATTACCAATTTTTGCATAAAGATTATTCTTCATAAATATCTTCCCTCTCCATTGCTTGAAAACCGAGGGGAAATGTTTTCACAATTATTTCGAATTTCTGCAAGGATTTCAGATTTTTATTTTGTATATATATATAGACATATTCATATTTTTCTTTTCGTTGTTAAGACGAATTGGAGGAATTGGAGTAACCTTTCGCGACGGATTTTATTTTGACCGAGTACTCGTGTGAGCACTTACACGAACGGTCGACCAAAGGACGACGCTATGATCCGAATTTAGCGAACATAGTCAAACACTCGTCCTCGGTAAATAAAATGGGTTCAGGACTGTCAGGAATTACAGAGGTTCCTAAAAATAAAAAAATATGAAAAATAGTCTAGTGTCATAATTATATTTGAATTGTACAATGTACATGTTTGTTTGTATGCAATAAATGTCAAAGCTGCTAAACCGATAGGGCTCAAATTTTTTTGTGGCAATTTAAATGAATACCAGGAAGATTTATGGACTGCCTAAATTTAAAAAAAATGGCAACTAGAAATGCAACGTTTAAATTAGCTTAATTTGTTACTAGAAAGAGGGCGCTAAAAGCTCACACACAAACCTAAGATCTAATTAAAATATTGTTAAATATATATCTCTGATGTGAACAGAATAGAAAACTTGAAAACTTTCTAAGCTTTCCATCTAAACTTGATTAAATTAATAGTCAAACTTTATATTTCCACTATTCTTCTGCAGTTTAAGTAGAAGTGTGGGGTAAAATTATAGATATCTTCAAACACATATAAAATGGAAAAAACTATTTTTTGCTTATTTAAACTATTAAAAACCAAAGTTAAATTGAACCGAAAAATATATGGTTTTAATGAGCAAACAAAATAGTTCAAATGAGCCAAAAAATAGTTCAATTAAACAAAAAATAGGTTCAAATGAGCAAAACAAAATAGTTCAAATGAGCAAGAATATGGTTCAAATGAGCCAAAAAATAGTTCAAATGAGCAAAATGTAGCATATGATTTTTGCACCCCCCCCCCCGTCCTATAAATTTTGGACATGGATCTCATATGTATCACATTGATAATATTGGTCATGTGGCCACAAAACCAGGCTCCCTAGCCGCAACACTTGGCCCCCAAGGCTGTCCTAGTCGCAGCGCTTGGCACCCTATTAGCCTGTCCTAGCCGCAGCGCTCGGCCAAGAAAGTGTCTTAACCTAGCCTAACCTATTTTTCAAAAAAGCTAAATTTTTCGCATTTTTCGCGAACAAACAAAATGCAAAAATGAAGCGAAATGGTCGCTGGAAACCACCTTAAAGTATCAAAGAAGCCAAATGGTTTGAATTCAACAGTTCAAATCTGGCCCCCCCCCCCTTAAACCTCCTGGTGTCCAATAATTTAAAATGTTCGGATGAACTAATACCATTGAATAAGCTCCTCCCCTTTTCACCTGACCCCTCCCGGAACCAATAGGGGAACCTGCCTTAGTCCAGGATAACGGTTTACAGGCTACATTTATTGCATCCCAGGCCACAACAACCCCGGGAGAAACCAACTGGTTGTGGGCCCTGGATTAATATAAACATGAATTCACAAAACCAATATAAATATTTCAATCGAAACATTGAAAGTAAATAATATTAGATTTCTCGATTTTTCAAGATGATTTCTCTCTGGGGTATTCCAGGGCCCGAACCTATGAGAAGAAACTTTCACATGCGAGAATTTCTCCGCGCTCTAATACTGTTCCTAAATCCTGGTAAAGCATGTGTGGAAATATCGATTTTAACACCGCTAATTTGCATAAAAAGGTATCGTAGGGGTCGCCCAGGCGCATCTGCCCACAAAACCCCCATATGAATACAATTCATGCGCGCGTAAGGAATGAAAGAACTGTAGCAAACCGAATGAAAGCAAATATGCATAGTAAGTAATAAGTAATAGTTTGAGGATATCATAAACAAGATTCACGACAGGAATATGTCCAGGGGGCTGAATCCACCTTAGAACCCCAACCCCTGCAATTGCCACTGAAGAACACAAAATAACACTATTACAGGGTGATTCTATAAACACGAAAATGAGCTTCAGGATATCTTCATGGTTTTACTTCCAGTACTAAGAAATGAGAATGATACCGGGTTACCCTAAAAGGATGAGACTACAGAGACGACTGTACAGAGTTCATTCATTTTTATAACATCTAAGGTTCTGCAAGCAGTAGAAAATAAACTGTTTTCTGCAGAAAACCCAACTTAACCTTAAGATTGTTGTATTTAAAGAAGTTACAGGTCTTCTTATAAAATCTCATCCTGTAAGGGCAACCCTGTATAAACAATATAATTAATGAAGTTTACAGTGCTATTGCTCAGTTTACACAGAAAACAAAAGTTCTTTAATGTTTCTTCATTTATTTTATCTCTGGCGTTTAAAATAACTGTTAACCCTTGATGTCTGTGGACACCAGTTTTCGTTTTGTTTCCAAAAAAAGTTTTGGTTTTTTAATTTATGATTTATTTGATGAAATAATCTCTAATATATTCAGTACGAAAAATTTAATTAAATGATGAGATGATTAAAATATAACTTTGTATATTTCTAAAATTTATAATCATCCTATTTTTCTCGTCGGGTAGCTTGTTGTAGTTTTTATAATTCCTGAAACAAAAAAACATGTTTAATGTTAATTTAATGGTACAAAAAGTGTCTAGAAACATGGGAATTAAAGGGACTGTAGAAATAATTTCAAATGAGTGTATGATTCACAATCACTACGGGACCCAAAGCAATGGTTGGAAATTGATGATTTTTAATTGTTGTTTCCTTTATAAAAGGGACTTGGATTTCTGCTCCAGAAACCAGTGCTTAGGATCCATTTAACTTTGATGCGGATCCGGATCCTGGATCCGCACTGGAAAAAATGAATCCGGATCCAGGTCATTTCTATAAGATTTAATGCATTTTCTTAACAAAAAATTATTTTCCAATTTTTCCGCTTATTTTTATCCTAAAACTTGACGAACCATTCAGAAATGAGGAATTTTTATAATCACACTTTTTACAAGAGTTCAGACTTTTAGGAATAAAAATATTTTTTTTTTCAGTTTTTCTTTGATATTTTACCCCTGGGATCCGGATCCGTGGATTCGCATATTTTTGCGGATCAGGATCCAGGAAGCCAAAATCTTGCGAATCCAACGGATCCAATTCCTAAGCACTGCCAGAAACAATGCAGAAGATTGTTAGAATTCATCACTTACAAAAAAACGACAACTTCCACTGCATGGCTGTTTCAGATTATGATTTAAAGGGTAATGCTGTAAATCGGGCATGTCTCTTTATTTAAGTGCTACTTGAAATTATAAGAACAGTCCCTTTAAGTGACAACATTTGAACCATATAAATTTAGTTATGTCGTAAGTAAGTCTGATTTAATTTAATCAAGGTTCACTCTAAAAAATGTAAAATTTGTCGGAGCACTGGAGCCAAATTCAACTTTGTAGCAAAATTCGTCAAAGGAATTAAGTCATTTCCAAAAACTTTGATTTTTTAATCTCTTTATCTCTGCAACCCAATGTCGTAGACCCTAGATATTTCAAACTATGAATTCTGAGGGATCAAATAGTTAAAGTTTGAAATATCAAAGGTTTACGCCATCTGGTTTTAGAGATATAGGTATTAGAAAATTGGGATTTGTGGCAAAGACTCAAATCCTTTTGTTTGTTTATGCATTATACTATCCGAAGACCGGAGGTTTTTTTAGGCTTAGGATTTACAACCCTGGTTGATCAAAAACTTCAGCTCCTTGATACTTCTGTAGACCCACATCCTTCGTACCAGCAACAAAAACCCAGCAATCACAAATAAACCAATTTTTCCAAGATAATTCACATTTAAAAATTTAAATCTCAGTTTAATTATACCTAAAATGGCCATCCTAGAGTTTCTCGAAAAAAAATGATATTTAACAATATCTTTTATCAACTCTTGAAGAATCAAGATACTAAGTTGAATTTGGCTCCGGTGCTCCAACAATTTTTGTAGATGAAAATTGCAAAGGAACTGAGTTTTTGTCACAAACTCAAATTGTCTATTTCCTATATCTCTGCAACCCGATGTCGTAGACCTTTGATATTTCAAACTATACATTTTGTTAGATCAAATAGTCTATAAGTTTAAAATTTCAAAGGTTTACAACATTTGGTTGCTTAGATATAGCAATTAGAAAATTTCGGTTTGCAGCAAAAACTCAATTCCTTTCTTAGAGTATTAATAACCCATTTTTTCCGATGAATGTTTTCGATTTTGCTTTTTTATACTTTTTTGCTTAGCTATTTTTTTCAAATATTTAAGTGAAAAAGTCTCCTACAATATTTGTATCGGATTTTGAATGAGAGATAAAAATATGTATTTTATGCACTATCCTGTATCTACTAACCACTATCCTGTATCTACTAACCACTATCCTGTATCTACTAACCACTATCCTGTATCTACTAACCTTATCTTTAAGTATAATATCAACTGTACATGAATCCGATAGTTTCAATTTGGCTTTGTACTGGTTCTTCAATTTAGCTCTTACTTCTCTGAAAAATCAAATCATGACCGTTAAATTCTGACAACTTTCTCATTTGTGTCGGCTGCATAAATCAGCAAGTTACTTTTACGGAGAAACCACATTAAAAAATTACAAATTCTCAGATAGAAAAACAAGGATAGTTTCATCATTTTTCAGAATTAAAGAGTTCTTCTGGGAATAGAGGGACCCTTTTAATTGCATTAAACCATAGTTTTAATAAATNGCAAAATTTTTAAAAAAAACTATTGAATCTCCCTGATTTTCTAATCCCCGTATGTTTGCCACCCAATGTTTGAATCTATAGATGAAAAATAACAGGTTGCAACGATGTCTGAATTGAAAACTACAGAACTATAAAAGCAGGGAATATTATTTAAATTAGATCAATGAGTAATTTAATCCTTTTACAATTTCACCGTTTATTCTTGGTTTGACGAATGAAACATGAGATTAGTATAGTTCGAATCCTAAATATAGAGAAAATCCCTTTGGCTTGTTTGATCCACAATGGTACCCCTTAAACCCTTGTCTGGTCATAGATGACTGATATTTTGTTTATGTAGCTTTCAGTGCTAGAACAATGATAGCATACTCATAATTGTTTTTCAGAAAAAGATTTAAAGGGAACCGTTGTGAATCGGAAATGCAATAAAAATTACGTCTGCAGTGCAGTAAACTTGTCTTTACCTTTCAATCTTGGGACGAGATTTCTCCAGCTCCAGGTGGAGCTGAGAAGAACTCTCCTGCTCCGGCTCAACCTCTTGAGAACTCTCTGGTGTGGGTTCTAAGGATAAATCCTTGTATATTTCCCCAACCTGCAGAAAAAAAATTGTAAGATTTTTGCGTTTCGGAGAGGTTGCAGTAGTCTCCAGAGTCAAATCATCTAAATCAGCACAGTAAATTTAAATCGGTCTACCTGTACACTATATCAAAAATAACCAAGTACTCTTTTACTTTTAAAGAATTTGAGTCTTAGCCACAAACACTGTTTTGTTAACCCTGTATCTGTCGTAGACCTTAGATTTTTTAAACTATGAATTTTGTTAGTCCAAAAAATATGAACAGAATAACCATCAGGCTGCAAAGATATAGGGTTTAGAAAATTTGAAGCTGTAGCAAAGACTCAAATTACTTATTATTTTTTTTGAGCAGATCCAAATAGAACTTTTTTGTACCAAACAAATTTTTAAGCGGTTTACACCCGAATACCCCAATCCACATTTCTATCTATTATATTTAAAAGCCATTACCTTTTAAAGCTTTAAACTTAGAACTTTTCTTTATTAGCTGAAAATAAAATACTTCCACAATATATAAATGTATCTTTAATACTTACTTTAACTAATGTTCTTGGATTTGTTATAATAATGCCAAGAGGATTTTCATCTTCTTCTTGTTCGGATTGATCCAACTCTTCCACTGGTAATTTTGTGTCTGTTCCCAAAATATCCCATGAAGTTAAACTTTGCATCAAATTTTCTATAAAAACAAACAATATATTTCAAAATATAAGAACAAAAAAATACTCATAATGATGAGTTGATGAATAATAATAAAAATGATAAAATGATTATAATGTTTTTATCCCTAGTTTAATATCTTTAATATCCTCTGCTTCTGTGTATTCTGAACTATTCAAAATTTCTTCTTTATCCATCTTATCCTCATCCTCATCCTCATTCTCGTTCCTATCACCAAACTCACCCTCCCCATTCTCGTTATTGTTATCAAGCTCATTCTCATTCTCATTTTCCTTCGCAATCTTCTCATTTTCTTCAATCCTTATGCGCTCTTCTCTAAGCTCTGATATAACTCTTGCAAGGTTTGCAAAAGTTTTGTCTTTTAGCTCTGAATAAGATCCGGAAAATGACTGATCGGTTTGACTGGAAGACCGGGAGGGATGACTATAAATATCCATGGCTTCAAGAACCGGATTTGGGTGGTCTCTACTGCTACCAGAGTTAGAATTCGTTCTTGAACCCTCTGGATTGTCAATGTGAGGGAGTAAATAGGCAAGTTTCCTGACCTTGATTCTCCCTCTGGGTCCTGGAACAGGTTCTGCCTCTGGGTTGCAAACTCCTGGGTTAAGAGAGTCTGCTCCGGTATTGGATTGTGATAGCGATGCAACTTTCGGAACAGTTTGAGATTCTGCGGTTTCAAGTAAATTCTTATTTTCTGGTAAAACAGGTCGCTGTACAGGGATTTTTACATGCAGTGCATTGAAAGGAACTTGCAACTGTACAGTAGAAGCAATACAATCATTTCTCTTCTCAGCAGTTTCACCCTTCACCTCTTTCTGTTTTCTTTCTCTTTCATCTTCCTCATTGCTTCCTTTAAAACATGTTAATTTAAAATTGAAAAATTCAAATGTTTTCTTAACGTTTCATGCTTTGTGTTTAATCCTGTAAGGTTATCTAACGATCATGTATATTCCTAAAAAATAATCCCCCCCCCCTTAACAACCCAACAACGACAACAAAACAAAGCTTTGAATTGAGTTTTTGCCACAAACTAAAATCTTCTGATTCCAATATCTTATTAATCTTTTGATGCAAACCTTTGATATTTCAAACTAAGATTATTTTATCTTTAAGTATTAATAGCATGAAATATCTAAGGTCTACGCCATTGAGTTACAAAGATATAGAGATTAGAAAATCAGACTTTGTGGCAAAAACTCCTTTGTTCGGATTTTTCATCGCTCATGGGAATTCTCCTAAATATGTTTGGGATTATCTTATGCTTCAAGTGCGATTTTAGCTCTGTAAAATATTGAATGAAATATGTTAAAATCAGGTTAATATTCAAATACAGGAATACCAACAAGGATGAAATCGTAAAGACGACTTAAAAACTCTTCAAATACATCGATTTCAAGATAAAAACAAATCTTCTGCCTTAAATGGTTTATTAAATGATTCAGCAAAGAAAGAAACAATTATAGGAATCATAAATATATTGCAACAAAAGTATAAATTCCGTATAGTCGTCTCTGAAGTCTCATCCTTTGTGCGTAACTCAGTAGTGTATTCATTTAAATTGAAAATCTGTATAAAGGTATAAGAAAATCTTTTTTACGACACTCCACATTTTTTTAAAATCTAAATTACAATTTCAAAGAGAAAGGTTCAAGTCTTTTAATGAATGTCTAACAAATAAATTGTTAAAATTTTCATCGAGTTTTAACAACAGAAATTAATTTGTGATCAGAAGAAGAAAGTTTTCTAGTTTTTAGTTTGATCTTTTTTCTCCATTCTGACGTTATCAACTTTAACAATTCATTCTTTTTCAAATATTTAAAGGAAAATGACAGGCCGTTTTGAATACTATATTATCTTATTTTACATTTACGATTTTGAATTTAGATTTGTTGCCTTGAAGTGTTAATTGCAGAAAATCATTTTTATTTACCTGGTACTTTCCTTGATTTATTCACCAACTCCTCTCTCAACCTCTTAGATGGAGAAGGATTACAACAAGAGCTTGATCCGGGTCTTTTTCCGGGCTCCAGGGTCACCTCTGATCCTGAATCTCCGGGGTTGAGTTTAATAGGAGAAGATAAAGGTGTAGAGGAACCTACAGGAATCCCTATATTAAGGATAGAAGAGCAGAGATTCAGATCCATCAGAGGAATTTCAAGATTTAGGGGTTCATTGATCTCTCTCACATTCTTATCCGTTTCTTTAGAGGCTAAAACCATCCTCTTTTTCCATTTAAGACTTTCTGAACTTTCATCTGCAGAATTAATTTTGTACTCAGGAACTACTTTTTCTTTTTTCATAAATGTAATCTTTACAACATCTTTTCTTGGTTCTTCCTCTTGTTCTCTTATTGGGCGTCTGTTCTCCTTTCTATCTTCAGTACCAGAGTTGGAACCTGGAGATGGTTCTTCAGTACCAGGACTGCAACCAGGAGATGGTTTGAGTTCGTTTGAAACCTGGTTCTTGGTTTCCCCAATATGTATCTCTTCCAGTAGGAGAATTTCACCAGGAGCAGCTAGATAGAAAACCTATGATTGTTTATAAACAAATTATTAAGAACTGGGATTAATTCTTTTTTTTTCTCTGTAAATACTTTAGTGAATGAACGAAATTGTTTAAATCAGTATTATGAGTTGAGTTTACTCTCCGCTCTTTAATTGGCCAAGAGTACAAACAACCGTTTAATATCAATTCCTTCGATTCAAAAGTTGTCACTTCCTTTTTTAACAAGAAAAATTAAAGGGGTGACCAGCTATGTAAGGTAGTTGAACTGATTATGCAGTGTTGTGGAAAACTTCTTTCGGATTCATTTGAGACACATTAAACTTTTTAAAGATCTGTAAATCCTGAGTTTAAACGCAAATTCGACGTTCAAAGCTCCTACTTTGGGGTTGGATACGTTTTCAGAATTAGTTTTTTTTTAATTATTAAATAACGACGACATAAAATGTAAATAAGTTCTACAATAAACTACAGACGTCATGTATAGGAACATGTTGAGAAAATAAAAATTAATATTACCATCAAAAATAAGTAATATTCAATTATTAGTTTCTATTTTTTCATTATTCTAGTTTCTCATTAATCACTAAGATTTTCTGCAGATTTTCTTGAATTAATATTGAAAAGACGACATTTGAAGAAATCTGCGAATAAATTCAAAGAAAATAAGAAATTCAACATAATAATGGAAACGAAATAATCGATTATTTATTGACAAATTTCTTTTGAGAAATATGTTCCTAATCATTTAATTAGATTACTGTATAATTTTTACTTTATTTTAGTTGTCGTTATTTAATAATAAAAAAAAAACTAATTCTGAAAACGTATCCACCCCCAAAGTAGGAGTTTTGAACGTCAAAGGAATTGAGTCTTTGCCTCAAACTCTGATTTTTTAATCACTATATCTTTGGAACCAAATGTTGTAGACCTTAGATATTTCAAACTATGAATTCTGTTAGATCAAATAATCTGAGTTTGAAATATCAAAGGTTTACAAAATCGGGTTCTAAAGATATTGAGGTTTAATTCCAAAGACTCAATTCCTTTGCGCTCAAACTCAGGATTTACAGATCTTTAAAAAGTTTAATATGTATCAAATAAAACCGAAAGAAGTTTTCCACAACACTGCATACTCAGTTCAACTACCTTACATAGCCGGTCACTCCCTTAAAAAAATGGAAAATGATTAATGATACAAATATGATATCTAGATTGGTTTAAGACATGGGTTCAGGGCGTTCACAGGAATGCGTCCAATATAGGGTTTCCAGAAAAAAGGGTAAATCATTTCGCGAATTTTTTTTCACCAAAAATTTCGCTTTTTGTTTGCTCACGAATGATAAAACTTCTAATGCTGAGCTCTCAGCGCCAAGAATTCCACAAGTTCTTTTGCGTAATTAATTGTTGCAGCTTTGGTTTTCGCGGATTTTTTTTCTCGCGAAATTTCGCAAAAAAAGTTATGCATCGTTTTCCCATTTTCTCGCTTAATTAATTTTTTCAAAAAAATGCGAAGTTTCCCGAAAAAATTTGTGAAATAGGAACGAAAATTTTCGCACTTTAATTAAAAACCCCCTGGAAACCATAAATTTTATTTGTATGGGTTAATTTTCTTTTCATATGCTCGATAAAATCGAAATGAAATAATTTATAAATCATTGAACCTGTTTGACTGAGTTTAATCTGTTCCTGTCTTTTAAAAGCATCGATCAAAGTTGGTTGCCCTTTTCCAGGGAACAGTCTAGAATAAATATATATCTAAACATTTTAAATACAAAGCAAAGCTTCGATACAGGGTGTCCCATTAAACAAAATAGCTGGCAGAATACGGCGTCTTTGATAATTGAGATCTATCTTTTAATCATAAGAATAAAGTGAGTATCAAAAAAGGGTGCATCACTGCTTCTTAATACAAATTTCGATATTAGATAGAGAGCAAAGTATTAATAAGTCGTTTTTAAGCTGTGTTGTTTCTTTGGACACCCTGTAGATTAATAACAGAAAATTTAAAATTGTTTCAGTATGATTATAATGAACAAAAAGCATAAACCCAAATAAGTTTCATCTTAGAAAAAAATTTGAGAGAAAAAAGAAAAGACCATGCTTAAAAACGATGACTCCATATAAATTTAATAAAACTGGTTTAGATAGCCAAAATGTTCTCTGAATCACACTGGTCTTTTAGATTTTAATTTAAATTTTTTTTCTTTCAAAATACAAAAAATTAAATTGATCAAATAATGATTAGTATTTTTATTTTTATTTAATAATTTTCTTGCCAATATCTCAGTATTATCGTCCCTTGGGATGATTCAATTTATTTTTGAAATGATTAAAAATTCAAAACTTCCCATCCAGAGTATAAAACAAAGTAACGTAGCACCTGGTTTGTTCACCTATTGGATAATAGACAAGATAACCCCAATTCGATTTAAAAATACCTTGAAATCGGATAGAATATAACTGAGAACTGAGTTAATGCTACAAACGCTGGTTTTCTAATTCCTATATCTTTGCAACCCAATGTCGTCGATCTTAGATATTTCAAACTATGAATTCTTTTAAAAAGAGATATTTTTGTCCTCAGGACATGATCAGGTTGTTACGATCGAATTTTTTATTGCGAAAGTTTACTGTTGTAGGGGTTTTGTATTGATCTGCCAGGGGTTTAATTCTGGCAGCACATTCATCCATTCACGCTTCATTTGTTCTCAGAAGATGGCATACAAGATTCCAGCTGCCTAAGGGCTTCTAAGGCCTGAGAATAGTAGAGTGCATGAGTTCTTTTGAAACACTGGAATGAGGACAGGGTGCCATACTGAGAGGAAACATCACACTCATTGCTCCCTAACATCTGTAAGCCCGGATTGGATACCTCCAGGTACCTATAGCTGGCAACCATAGACTCTCCCTGCTTGTCAACCTTTCCTCTCCATCATTCACTCGGATCAATTCATTTCAAGATTCTTTCTTGTTGAGTATAAAGCACGAACCCTTTCGCTGCGAGATAAATTGACAGCCGCCCCTCTGTCCTACTACATTCGTCTGGTGGTCATAACTGTTTTACCAGATTTTTGCTTCAGATGATTTTGAAACCACCTGTTTGTGTGGAGTACGGGAATCTGAATACCAATCCAGTTACTGGCTGCGGAAAAGTGATCTAATGAGAACTGGTGTTACACGCTAGCCACCACACCCCACAAATATTCTCAGTTTGAAATATCAAAGGTTTACACCATTAGGTTGCAAAGATATAGGGATTATAAAATTTGAGTTTGAGTCAAAGACTCAATTCCTTTCCAAATTTTCTGGGACGAATTGAAGCTTTATTTTATGACAATAAATGCTTTTAAGCTCATTTCAATTAAATCAACAATCTCTATATTTGAACCTTTTGATTAAGAATAGTGTATGCATATGATTATATTCTCTTAAAAATATTTAAGAATTATAAAAATATGACATACGGGCTAAAAATGCAGTTTCAAAAATTTTCAATCCCTTTAATAAAATACTAACCTTTTCTTGCTCCTTCCTTTAATTACGTCCCCTTCTGCTAACTTCAACAATCTACGCTTTATATCCTCCTTTTCTCCAGGGGTTCCCGGTCTCTTTCTGTAACTTTCAACAGGAGTTCTTGATTTATAAGAGTCTCCTGTTCTTTGCTTGGAACTCTCTCCATGTGTTTCTGATTTATCTGAGTCTCCTGTTCTCTGCTTAGAACTCTCTCCATGAGTTCCTGATTTATCTGATGCTCCTGTTCTCTGCTTGGAACTCTCTCCATGAGTTCCTGATTTATCTGATGCTCCTGTTCTCTTTTTAGAACTTTCTCCATGAGTTCCTGATTTATCTGATCCTCCTATTCCTCCTGTACTCCTGCTGCCCAGAGTATGAGATCCAGATGGTTTAGATGCTATGGTTGAAATCGAAAAACGTGCCGTTTCCAAAAAGTCGGCTCCAGTTTCTATTTTTATGGCTTCATTTGTAGTTTTCAATAAGTTATGCTCGGGGTTTATCCCAGACATGGCTCCAATCCTTGGTTTTGTTGGATCTGGCACGCATTTTTCTTTTTTGATCCTGAAATTTCCTTCTGAGGTTTTATTTTTTACGATTCTTGAGTTAATATAAAATCCGGTAACATTACTGTGGCCAGTGTTCAAAATAGATCTGCTTCCGGTCTTAGATTCGTTTCCGGTTTGATTATGTTCCTCTTTCCTTATCCCGATACTACCCTGAGATTTGGATAACCAGGGTTTACTGGTATTTCCGACTCCGGACTCAGGCTCAAACTCATCTTCAGAATTATACATTTTCTGAAAATACACAATTAAGATTTTAAGACAAATTGTTAATTTTTATAGAGAGACGACTGTTAGACTTAGGTTAGTACATTTATAAGTGCAATGATTGAAAATGACACATAAATTGTGTAATGAAAACGGACTCATTTCACATAAGAAAGGAATAAGATACTAGTACAACGATATGGCTTGAGAATTCCTTTAATGTCGGCTTCCTTTTCCACAGTTTGAAGGTTCTCACTGCAGTACTAGTTTCACTGCCTTAAACTGCGATAACTTTAACTTTTGTTCCATACTTAAACATTTTTGTTTTTCTTACATATCTTAAACTTAAATCTTAGACAAATAAGAAATAATAAGAAAACAACTGAATATTCACTTAATATTTTCGTTGGCTTACAAGTGTGTATCCAAGCTCTTTAGGTTTAACCTGTTCAGTACTTAAAATACTGCCTAAGACTGCAGTAGTGACGAAATCGACATTAGAGTTACTTAGATAGTTAGATAGATGCATGGAAACAGGCCTTCGCACTAAACAGCTGTAAATAAATACAAGATTCGAACATATTGGTTTAAACATCAAAAATGTATATTTTAACATTCATATTCTCTAAAGAAATTATACACAAAAATAGAAAAATCTCATATTATTTAGGATATAAATTTGTGTATTTTTTTAAGGTTTCTGTGTTGGTTGATGCGTTTGAATCCGTAGAGTATACTGCGTATACTCTACACCGGAGCCAGCTAGTGTGTGAACGGAGTAGTGTCTATACTACGTAGAGTCTATAATACAATAGACATAATAAAGAGAGAAAGGATACTTCACAAACGATACTTTACAACATATTTAGATACTAAAATCCAGATGCATAATCAGAAAAGGTAAAAATTAATAAATACTAATTACTAATTATTGGTTTAAGATGAAATTTTTGCCTGTTTTGCGTTTTGTTTTCTTTTTATTACGAGTTATTGTGTACAACTCCCTAACTACAGGCCTGGATGGATTTTGATACTTGTAGTTGTGAAAAATTTACAACGTGTGATTAAACTCACTAAACCAAATACAGATTTACATAGAGGAATTACATATGGTTAAATTGACTGGAAAAGGAATGCAGACAATGTAATTTAAAGGTGTTATGCTCTCAAGCTAAAATCGATAATAGTTTTGCCAATCACTTAACTTAAAATCAAAGCCTAAGGCGACACAATTTGTGAGAGACTTCTTATAAACTGATGTTGATATTTCAAAGCATGAATTCAGCTAGCTAAAAAAGCATAGTTTGAATTATCAAAGTTTACTACATCAAGTTGCAAAAAAATGGGGGGTCAGAGGATCAGATTTTGTCGGAGTAATTATGCTTCTTTTGTACAGGGAAAAAAAGGTAAAAAAACGTTTTGCCAGAATCTCCAAATTTCTTTTATTAGATTACAAAATATGAATTCTGTACGATGAAATAGTCAAAGTTTGAAATATCCAAGGTTGAAAAGATGAAGGGATTATACAAATTTGTGTTTGTCGAAAAAGCTCAGTTTCTTCAGGCAGTATTATTGGCAAAATATTAAAAAAGTGTAAAATTTGATTGAAAAGAACTATAAAAGTAATGCTTGAAATTCAGTCCTTTCACACGGAGTTATGAAAGTGGAAAATAGTTTAATAAATACAGTAGGGCCTGAGCTATACAGGAGAAGTTTACCTAGCCCTCCCTAGTTCTACTACCTGTAGCTTTTTATTAAATCGGAATCTAATCAACCTCTCCCAGAGTTTAAATATAGTAGGGCCTNTTCTGATTAATAATTAGCTTACCTAGTTCACACACTAACATTACAAAAAAACATGAAGAGAGTTGAAAAAATCAGAAGAATCAGGGGAATTAAAAAATATTTTATCACTGTAAAAAGTCAAGACCTTGTCAGGTACAATTTAAGTTAGCGCTGAAAATTGTTTACATAACAATTAATCAGCTGCTTATAGGGGTGTCAAAAAAGTTGGCGGACATCTTGAAAAATCAGCTGAATAATATGGATCAGCTGATATTCTGTTTTAACTGAGCATACGATGAATGAATGAATTCCTTGTTATCTCCTATTGCTTGTTAAACCCCCAGGCGTCCTTTCCCTCCTCCAGTGCCGCCAAGGAAGATTCTCTGGAAAAAATAAAACATTAATAATTTAAGTTTTAAACTGTTTATAAATCACGCTTTTTTAAAATTACCATATTTCGCTGAAGCTCCAATTCCAAACTCGTTTTACGATAATCTTTGTCTTTCAATAAATTTTCAGAGAATATTCGGGGTTTTTCATACAAGGTTACTCACAAATGATGAGACTTCAGATACGACTGTACGGAATTTAATCACTCTTATACTTCATATTTATAGGGTCCAGGCAATTATGAACTTTCCTTTGCAAAATATTTCGTCATAAATATATGTATAACCCTGTAATATGTATTAATGGCCAAACCTATATGGATAACCCTGTAAAATGTATTAATGTCCAAACCTATATGGATAACCCTGTAAACTGTATTAATGTCCAAACCTATATGGATAACCCTGTAAACTGTATTAATGTCCAAACCTATATGTATGTATAACCCTGTTAAATATATTTACGTCCAAACCTTTATGTATAACCCTGTAAAATGTATTTATGTCCAAACCTATATGTATAACCCTGTAATATGTATTAATGTCCAAACCTATATGGATAACCCTGTAAAATGCATTGTCCAAACCTATATGGATATCCCTGTAAAATGTATTAATGTCCAAGCCTATATGGATAACCCTGTAAAAGGATTGAATTGCACACCATTCATTGCCTAACAATATTTGCTCAGTTTTATCTCTAGCTAAAGTGCCTGTGGAATTTAAAAAAACTTAGGGAAAAAACTGTTAATTTTTTTTAGCTTAGTTCACCACCAGGCTACCCCTGGGTTACCTCAAAAAATTCAGCCCGTTCGGTCCAGCCGTTTGACCGGCTATTGGGAGCATATATACAAATGTCTTGTTTAATTATGTAGATTATTCATTTTAATGGTTTATCTTGTTAGAACTGAAGCAGACCCTACTTAGACTTAGACTGAATTATAATTTGGAAAACCAAGAAGGAATAATTTTTTTTGTTTTTATAAAATGTCCGGAGAAACAACAAGTCTTTAAACTATTTTTTTTTGTAGATTTTTAAAAATCCCTCTTATTTCTAAGTTGAATAAAATCCGCAAGATGACCAGAGCAGACGAACCTTATTTTAGCGAGGAACTGCTTCATTCTCTCCTTGCTGAAGGCAGTGTAGTTCTTCATCGATTCGTCGGAGATCAGGTTTGCCAGAGCAATACAAGCTTTATACTGTCCTAAATAAAGAGGCTGGTTAGATAGTCTAAATTATTAAGTCGGCCATTTTGAATTATTTAGCCTGTTATTCAGTCTGCCATTTTGAATAATTAATCTTATTTAATCAACCATTTTGAATCATTTAGTTTTTCATTAAGTTAGTTATTATTAGTTTGTTTATTTTAGGCAGCTATTTTGAACTATTAATTTAGTCAACTATGTTTAAGTAAGCTATTCATAATTACTATAAAGGGTGTTGAAAAAAAACCCTAACACTTCACACCCTTTTCTCTCACAGGCTTAATTCTTATCCGACCATAATGAAATTTATATCACAGTGTCTCTAGGACGTTAGAACTACATGGTTTAAATATTATCTAATTTGGACAACACTGTTCTGAAAAGTAGCTCTTTTTCTCTTGAGAAAGGATTTGATGAGCCTACCGGCTCGGATATCCTATTCTCGTCACACTGCTTCAGTCTAGATGAAAGAAATTTTCACATTTCTTCCTTGCAACCTTCTTTCTTTTTTTGCAATGGCCCAAATATTATTATTTAACTTCTTGGTTATTGTCAGGTCTAAACCAAATTTTGATTGAAACTATTGCTAACAGCAAGCTGAGCCCTCGTGGACCATGGTAGAGCTGATTTACACAAGGAAAAGCTTTCGTATAGTAAGGAATATTCCTTCTTGAAATAAAATATGGTTCTATAAGCTTAAAGTAATGGTCCCCGGCAGCTGTTCTCCTTGTTGAAGGAGAACAGTGCATTAACCTGTAAATGGTGGGCTACAGTGTCTTCCAAATTGGTGTTTGGTTATATTAGCTCTACCCTCAACTTGTAATCTGTAAACTAACAAAGCTTTTAAGAGTTTTAAGCTTATATTGAACACCTTTAAATAGATTTTTGTCATTTTTAAGCAAGTTCAGCCTTGATAATGATTTGATAATGATTTTTTTCGGTAGGCTGATCTGTTTCGTCCCCGAGAGATTTATTTATTCACTTATAATTTTTTAACCATGAAGTCCTAATATCCTAAAGACAATGTAAAATTAATTTTATTATGATCGGATAAGAATTAAGCCTCGTGAGAGAAAAAAAGTGTTTTAGTTATTAAATATTTTAAATCACTTAATCAGTCATTTTGAATTATTAAGTGAGCTATTTTGTATTATTTAACGAGTCATTTTGAATAATTAGGTCAACTATTTTGAATTATTAGGTCAGCCATTTTGAATTATTAGGTCAGCTATTTTGAATTATTAGGTCAGCTATTTTGAATAATTTAGCGAGCTATTTTGCATTTTTTAGTGAGCCATTTTGAATTAATAAGTGAGCTATTTTGAATTATTTTGTCAGCTTTTTTGTTTTGTTTTTTGTTAGCTATGTTGAATTATTTTTACAGCTATTATGTACCTTTAAATTCAGTCTTAAACATAATAATTTTGAATTATTCAATTTAACCCGGCTTTATTGTTTCAGACAAAAGCAATATTGTAATCCAATAGAATCCTTTCAAAAATGAACAAAATCCGCACAAAGCTAGTGTTTGATCCTTAAGGCTTATACTTCAAAGAATTGAGAACAAAATGTTTAATATACTATGGAGGAGTAGGTTTACCTAGGACGTAGACAAATGTTTAAATGTACATTAATTAATAAACCTTTCATTAAAGAAGAAAGGCTTGAACTTTAATTTGTTTGATGTATAGTGTATAGTGTATAGTGTATATAGTGTATATAGTGTATATAGTGTATACAGTATGAGTACAGAAAGAGAAAGTACATATAAACGTACGAAGCAGACGTAAGGATATCAGGAATGACATTAACATTACGCGTAACTAACTTGGAAAACCAGCTTTGCCTAGAAATCTTAACAATTTTCAAAACTAAGCTAGAACATTCCAACGGGTTACATAATCATAATTTGAGGCAAATCGGTTCAAGGGTTCCTGAGTTATGATCGGACAAACAATCAAGCAAAAAGACAAGCAGAGATTACTTATATCTATCGAAACGAATTAGGATGACTAGAGTGATGGTATAACAATGTACCGTAGGACGTAGGACGGATTATTGAAGGACAAAGATTGTTGAAAATAAATAAGACCTAACTGTAAAGGATAAATCTACCTGTGTTATGAAGGACTGAATGAAGTAAAAGAACAGTCTGTGGTATAAGCTCAGCACGAAGATGAACCATCTCATCTCGTCTACGGAGTTCTTCATCCACGAGCATCTCTTCCTCCTCGTCCTCATCCTTATTAAAAATCAAATATCTTTTCAATTTTTCTAATCATAAAAAAATATACTTCCTCTTAACAAATCACATTTTGCACATTTTTCCATATATTAACATGTCGGACAAAGTGGATAATAGAAGCTTACAAAATAAAAATAAAACTGATGATCTAAATGGTTTGATTAATAACTTAAATAGAGGAGCTGATAACCTATACCGTGCATTTAAAATGTTCAGAATATCCTGTATTCATATTAAGAAAATTGGTGTTAATTACCGTGAAATCCGTGAGCCAGCCTCCTGGGAAGGTGATGACCTCCTTCAACTTCTGCTCCGCGTTCCTGGACTGGATAACCTGACCTCCACGCCATCTTGAAAATTATAATTAACTACTTGCGGCAATTGCGTAAATCGTGCGAAGACCTTACCTGTCTAGTTCAGCAATAAACTGTTTCTCTCTCTGCTCATGCGCAACTTTGCCCGTGAATGACGGATTTTCAGGAAGAATTGGACGTTTAGGCTGCCCACGGTGGAAATGATCAAACCAGTCCGAGAAGGCATCTTGTGCTTCAAGATAGACCTAGGTTTAGATGTTATGATTGATTTGGAAGATTTAACACAAATCTTTGTAGGACAACTTTCCTCAGAAGTTTTTGTGTAAGCATGAGGTTTTTTGCTGCGAGATGGTTTTCAAAAAAACCTGAAAATTCCTTTTTACAACCTTATTATTTACAAATTTTATGATTTAACAATTGTTTAGAAAAGAAAAAACCTGATGTCAGCCATAGTTTAATAACAGCATCTAATATTGATGTACAAAAAATAGAGTTTTTGCCATAAACTCTGATTTTAATCCTGATATCTTGGCAACTCGATGTTAAGGACCTTTGATATTTCAAACTATGAATTATGTTGGATCAATCAGTCTAAGCTTGAAAAATTGAAGGTTTACACCATCAGTTTGGCAAGATATAGGAATAGAAAATTTGCGTTTATGAAAAAAAGCTGAGATGCAATTTAAAGAATTTGAGCTGCGGTTTAAATCGGCCAAAACCCGGTATAAATTAAGCGCCGGCTTAAATCTTGAAACATTTGATACAATTTTAAGTGGAACCAACCAAATTTAAACCGCGGCTTAAATTTAAACCGCCGCTCAAATTCTTTAAATTCGGCCACTGGTTGCATAGTCAGATGTCATAATAAATATCTAACCTTGAGTGAAAGATGCTCCCTAACTGATCCTCCAGGTAGCTCCTCACCGCTCCCCTCGTCCCTCCAGGCTCTAACAACCCTGTTCAAGGTTTCCTTCGGTATCCTACCAGCAGCCTGGGCCGCCAGCTCAAGCTGACCCACGGACAGCAGCTTACGTATAACAGCGTTAGCTTGGTAGAGAAGATCAGGGGCTTGACTAGGATCGTGGCAAAGCCAACCTAGACTCGACACCATCTGCTCCTGAACCAACAAAATAAAATAATTGGTTGATATAATAAGTAAATTTGTGTGTCCTAAAACTGAATTTGATAAAAATTAAAGTGATTTCCAATAAGGAAATGTTGGGACTTCATTAAACTATATATAAGCTTTAAAACTCTTAGTTTAAAATTCAATTCGGAGCCTTTATAAATTTTTCCCAATCAAAAATTAGCTGCAAGTTCGATAAAAACCATCATTCGGTAGAAAATTTATGCCGATACAAAAAATATATTTATTGCTCTTTAACAAGAAATTTTTAGTAATGGCAAATTTGCAAAAGAAAAATGATACAATTATTTTTGCAATTAGTAAGAGGAACACAACCAAGCTAATTTTACCGCTCAAAGATGTCCATGAGGGTCAGAGTATTCTATAATTTCTGTCATAATTATCACTGTTTTTGCCAGGTATTCATTTTATAAATAATGCACTTTATTAATTTAAAAACTATTTTCAGTTCTTTTATTAAATAAGATAAAAACATTAAATACTTTTGATAAATCGACGTTAACTTAATTTCAAGTTTACCACGTTATGTTTTCATATTGAAGAATTTACAGACAATAGTGATAGCTCAACTCCCGTTGGGGCGTAACCCCCCCCCTAAAATCCATAGAATTCATTGGTCCACGGGGGCTTAGCTCCCATAGCCACCCCCCTGACAACGGCTCTGGTTGTGTTTCTCATTAAAAAATATGTTCAACATGTGTATTTCCAGAAACATCGAACATCGAACAATCCTTTAAGAAACCTTCGAGAAACAACGTTTCCAATTTATAATTAAAAGGACTCCACATTCTACAAGCACAATTTTAAGTGACCCATCATGCAAACATGGCAATGCCCAATTCACAACAGTACCCTTGCAAGCTTTGTCGGATCAAGTAAGAATTAGATATACAGGTCTTTAATATCAAAAACGGATTATTTTTTATTTTGGTTCCTCTACTAAAATGACTGACATGTATGAAATATCAGAATTAAACACCTAGAAAATCGAAATTATCTTCCACATTATTATCAGATAGAGTTTTTAACTTCTAGGGTACCTTTGTAAATCGGACAAATTGACAACTTAGCATAAATTCACTTGAAAATTATACTTAGAGTTTTTGTAATTTTATTCTTACATTATCTTCTGCATGTGAGGTTCTAACATCAACTACTGCTGCAACTACTACAGCGTCCATATTGATTCCAACCTCACGACCCAGGTACAGGCAGAGAGCCTGATCCTCTGCCTCATGTACACCTAAACAATGTACATACAATAATTATGTAATACATACAATGCACATTACCCACCACCCTTATGTACAATGTTAATTGTACAATAATCTAGCCCCCTCCCACCTAAATAAAGTGGCCAAGGAGGAACCACCAGAAAACGTGTTCTGCATTCTCTTGGAGGAATGCAAAACTGAACCCAATGCTTCACACTGAGTTTTATTTATATTCTTCCCAGAGGCTACTGGACACTTTATGTTAACAAAGATATGGGTTCCTGGTGTATCTTCCTTGCACAGACTACTTAAACCAAGCTCATACTTAAAGGGAGTGATTGCGGAAAAATTACGGGGGTATCGGCTGAATCGGAACTGAATCTGAAATCGACCAAGCGTTTGTAATGAGGAAATGGTTTAAAACGCAGTCAAAAACAAATAATTATTAAGATAATTGAAAAACTCTCAATCGTGTAAAGTAACATACCTGCTAGGAACCTTGAGTAGAGTGGGAGCTGTATCGCTGAGCTGAGTCTGCTCACATACCAGGGGATAATAGGCAACCTGTCCTCCTTCATCAGGTACCTTGTGTACTCAACCAGTATCCTCTCCTCATCCTTCATACTAGATCCTAGACCTAGTCCTCGATGAACCAGGACAAGGTGAGCCATCAACCTCAGCAGGTGATCGTCAGCCTCTCCGTCCTTGAGCCAGGAGACCATTTTGTTCACGAGGCCGGGGTAGTCGTCGAGGATGATGTGGGACTGAATGGTGTGGTAAAAAGAGGCGGACTTCGTCGAAGAATCCTTTGTTTCGTTACCAGCCTCTTTAATCACCTAAATCAACAGAATCAAGTTTTTTTAAATGTTATTAAATCAATTGCCTACAATGTTGGCCGATCTAGTGAAAATATGGCAAAAATTCGAATTTGTATTCTCTTTTATTTTGGGGACCACCGCAACAAAATACATTTTACAAAAAGGTAATCAAATCCAATCAAATTAAATCAAAATTCAAATCAAATCATCTCAACTCAACTCAACTCAACTCAACTCAAATGAAATCAAAATCAAAATCAAAATCAAGAATTTCTCAAGAATTTCATAGAAAAACTTTTTATTTAATTTTTTTAAGGGAATTAAAGTGAAGGCACCTTTGAAAGTTCATGAGGAGTATTCCAATATGCGGTTGGTAATTCAGCATAATTCTTGATTATATTGGACCTAAATATTTTAACAATATGTAAATACAATATTAGAGTATTCCAATATGCGGTTGGTAATTCAGCATAATTCTTGATTATATTGGACCTAAATATTTTAACAATATGTAAATACAATATTAGAGTATTCAAATATGCGGTTGGTAATTCAGCATAATTCTTGATTATATTGAACCTTAATATTTTAACAATATGTAAATACAATATTAGAGTATTCAAATATTTAATCTACCATATTTCCGTTTCTACGGGGATATCTACCTTATTTCAGTCTCTACGAGGATATCTACCTTATTTCAGTCTCTATGAGAATATCTACCTTATTTCAGTCTCTACGGGATATCTACCATATTTCAGTCTCTACGAGAATATCTACCTTATTTCAGTCTCTACGGGATATCTACCTTATTTTCAGTTTCTACGAAAATATCTACTTATTTCAGTCTCTATTAGAATATCTACCTTATTTCAGTGTCTACAAGAATATCTACCTTATTTCAGTCTCTACGGGGATATCTACCTTATTTCAGTGTCTACAAGAATATCTACCTTTTTTCAGTCTTTATTAGAATATCTACCTTATTTCAGTCTCTACGAGGATATCTACCTTATTTCAGTATCTACGAGAATGTCTACCTTATTTCAGTCTCTACGGGGATATCTACCTTATTTCAGTCTCTACGAGGATATCTACAGCACACTTCGCTCCCGCCCACAGTCTGTCTTCCCAGGAGGTAGAAACAGCTCTAAAAATGAAATGACATTAACAATAACATTTATGATAATGATGATAATGATGATAATGATGATAATGATGATAATGATGATAATGATGATAATGACGATAATGAAGATAATGACGATAATGATAATAATGATTGTGGAATTTGAAGAATTCTAATAAACTTTCAATGTTCAAGATTTCTGAAAATCTGACGAAGAATGATGAATCCTTGTGATGAATGTGAAGAAGTTGGAACAGAGAAGGTTGAATCTGAACCTACACATGAAAACTCGAACTTTCTTCTATATTTCTAAAACTTTTGATTCTTTATCTTTCTATTAAGAAGTCAATGTTTTTAAGTTATATAATCCTAAAAATATGATTTTAATCTTATCAAGCCATGAGAAATGTTAATCATGAGCTTTTTTATATAAAATTCTTTATCTAATTGAGATTTCGAAAGAAAGAAAGCTTTTAATTTGAGAGTAAAGATTTTAGTTTGTATAACGAAGATTTTAATTTGGAAAAAAGGAAATAAAACTATATATCGTCTTTTTCAGACGAAGAATGGGTTGATTATACTGTAACCCTATTAAGTCTCCAGGTCTCAGCTTTTACGAGGTTAAAAAACATCTTTTAAAGAATAATTCCCAATAATAAAAAAAGGTCTTGAGCTAAAAAACTTTGATATATGCAATGATGTTATATAATGGTGATATAGATCTTAGATTAAACGTGTTCTCCCAAAACTTCAATCATCCTGCAAATCTACCACCTACAACATCGTCCACAAATCTTCATTCGTCGAGTACATGAACCATGCGAAATCATAAATAGACTATGAACCTTGAGCCTTGCAATATTCATCGGTAATGTTATGCACATGCAGATACCTTAAATATATGTATTCAGGACCGTCTCTACCCTGATGTTCATATACTTCTCTGTCTGATAGATGTAATGGAATAGATACTCTCCACCTGGTGAGATCTTCTGATGTCGTCTTCTTTCTTAAGAACTGTTCTAGATTACTTTGGCCGTCTTCCACCATCGTGACTCTACCTGATCATCATCCTGAGCATGTGAATGTGACTCCACCTCCTCTGTTCTACAACTCGGAGTGCTGATTGCTCCGAACGAGCTGCCTCCGACTGGATACGCTGATTTACGAGGACTTATGTTGGAACGTCATATGCTTTAGACGTGTCCTGTTAAGGTGAGACCCATCTACACGAGAAATATATATAACGATCTTGACGAACAGGATTTTAAACCCCGTCTTGTTTAGATTCCTCAAGATCAGAGAACAATATCAAGGATGTCGTCTTCCCCTTGTTTCTCTGATACTCTCCTTCACTGCTTTAAGGATCGCACCTAAAGGTATACTGCAATTTCTGTGCTAATATTATGATAAGTGACCTATAAGCTTATCTTTAGTCGATGAAACCTCACCGAGAATTCTCTTTTAGACTAGAAAGGACTCTGAATGAAGTATAAGATATTCTCTCTCTAAACTGTAGCTCATATCAAGACCCCAGCCAGAGCAACTTTGTAAGTGTGTTTTAAATATTGAACATTTTACTAATATGATTTCTTTGTGATTCAAAAACTAAATTTCTTTATTGAGACCTGGAGCAAAATTTTGTAAACATAAACATACATATATCCATTTATACAGTGTGAGAGCTGAAGTTGAGGATAACCTACTTCAATAAAGCATATATAAACAATAACACTCCTGTATTAATGTGGTGCGCTGGTTTTAAGGGTATACTGGCCCTGGATATGAGTGAGCTTTTATGTTTTTAAAATCTCAAAAACAACGTTACGAGTACAATGATAATGATAATGATAATTTAATGATAATAATGATAATAATGATAATAATGATGATAATGATAATAATGATAGTAATGATAAAATTAAGAAAAGAAAAATGTACATAAAGAAAAAAGAAAAAACGAAGATTAAATTGCTCACCTTAATTGTTCCAGGTTCCCGCACAGAACTGCGTAAACCGCCCTCTCGTGTTGTGATAATGAACTATCTGTAGTTAGCTTCCAGGCGACCTTCTTCCAAATATCCCTTAACAGTTGGCATTTAAATTTTTCACCATTAAAATAAGAAGTGTTGGGAAATTAAAAAAATGTATGTAAAAAATGTAAATTAATAAACGTATCAAAGATAAGTTAAGATGCAAGGTTACCCACAAAGAATGAGACTTCTGTGACAACTCTACCGAATTCAAGGCAGAAAACTTAATTTAGCCTTAGGATCGTCATAATAAATGATTTTCATGTCGTCTTTGCAGTCTCTTCCTTTATGGGTAACCCTGAGGAAAGTTTATTTTTCAGTCATAATTAGGGCAGTCTAAATTAGAAATATCATTTCAAATTCATTTTTCCTAATACAAACAATTACGCAGAAATTATTCAGCCTGACTATGTGATTGTAGACTGAGGAGTGTAAAATATGAACTTGAAGTAAGGCTATAGAAAAATCAATATGACAGTTAAATACTCAAGTTACCCCTCCCCCCTTCCCCCTGAGAGATGAACAATGTTGACCCTTGATTACCTATGAAGGTTGCCCTCTACTTGTAGTTTGTCTCCCCTTCCATCAGTTCCACTCTCATAATTAGGATCATGATATAGTTTCCATCCTTCCATACTAGCTGCTCGCCAGGGCTGTCCTAACCTCACACACAACTCCTGAATTAAAAAATATTTATTGAGTCGGATATCCGAGATTTACAACGGCAATATTAACAGCTTAGACCTTAGTATGATCAATTATCAAGAATGAATGTTTTTAACTTTTGCGAAATATGCAATGGAGGATTTGTCAGAATTCAACAATTTTCAACATTATTTATCCGATGAAGTTTGAAAGGTACCGTTGTGAATAGGGCGAGCCATAAAAAAGATATGTTCTACTTTTGGAAGGTCTTTGAACTTAAGATAGTTTTTTAAGAATTTCAAATAAATATGAATAATTGGTAGTTTTTGTGTTTTCAATGAGGATGTAACGAATAGAGAGTGGGATAAGGGATGTAAACATTTTTTTGTGACATATTAGGACACTTCCGGAAATAGTTTATTTTGTAACATATTAGGACACTTCCGGAAATAGTTGTATTTTGTTACATATCAGGACTCTTCCGGAAATAGTTTATTTTGTAACATATTAGAACTCTTCCGGAAAAAGTTTTTAAAAAAACACAGTCACAAATTTTTATGCTAACAAGGAACGTTTGTTTAACACAAAAGAACGAATTTAATTGGTTTAACATGCTCCCTTCAATGAATAATTGTGACCTGAGCATCCTCCAGTAGTCCACACCTCACCAGACCATAGATACAGAAGATAAGACGAGATTCATCCTGCTGATCCAGATCATGCAGCTGTAAACCAGTTCTAGGATAAATAGATAGATAGATACAGAAAATAAGATGAGCTTTATACTGCAGATCATGCAGCTGTAAACCAGTTCAAGGGTAAATAGATAGATAGATACAGAAAATAAGATGAGATTAATCTTGCTGATCCAGATCATGCAGATGTAAACCAGTTCTAGGATAAATAGATAGATAGATAGATACAGAAAATAAGATGAGATTTATCCTGCTGTTCCAGATCATGCAGTTGTAAACCAGATCTAGGACAGATAGAAAGATAGATAGATACAGAAGATAAGACAAGATTCATCCTGTTGATCCAGATTATGTAGCTGTAAACCAGATCTAGGAAAGATAGAAAGATAGATAGATACAGAAGATAAGACAAGATTTATCCTGTTGATCCAGATCATGCAGCTGTAAACCAGTTCTACACTGGGGCACTCCTCGGGAACATGACAGTCCATAACCAACCTCATTAAGCAAACAAACCCTGCATAAGCTAGTTGTCCATCATAGACTGAAAGACCTGAGCTCATGTTAAAGGGTCAGTCCCATCCCCCAAGAAAGTCCCGCATAACAAGTTCTTAAGGGACTTGATGGAGAACCAAAGTTGAGACAGGCCTCTATCCCCTTCGACCACCTAACATAGCTCACAAATGGGCACTGAAATACCACATGGGCTTTACAATGTTGGCCCACAACTCCCCTGAACATCTATTGCTTGAAATCCCCATCTCTGAAGCTGTTAAAGAGTCTTGAAGCCTTCCAGGAGTTGTTGCCAAGTGGTTGCACCCTGCCTTCTAGTGGAACTCTTCACAGAAGATAAACCCACCAGACCTGAACCTGGATAGTCCAAGGGTCCTCCAAGTCCTTCAAGAGGAGGACACATCCTTTCTCAAGATTAACTCCCATTTCCTGTTCACCAAGTCTTGAAAGTAAACAAGGGATCTAGCAATGATGCTCCATAGGCATCAGCCCAGCATCCATGAACCTATAGTAACTTACTGCACAATTTTGTTATATGTCTTTAACCGTGGTTTAATTTTAAAGTATTATTAACAATTACAATTCTATAAAACTTTATCTAAACACAAATAATTAACTTATTATCTTTTTCTTATCTAAAATTAACAATCTATAAACGGATAGTCACTTGATATTATGAATGATGAAGGGATGAGAAGGTTTATAAATAATTGATATTCATGAATCTACCTGTGAGGTGCGTCAGGATCAAGTTCTTTAACCATAAGAGGACCAGCCTGCCCTCGAGCCAGAGCTGCTGTTGTGTTCTCCCAGTTCACCTAAGCACAGATGCGTAAATTTTCTTTAGATTCCCGCTATCCAAAAACTTGTGGTTGTGAGTAATTATTCTTGAAAATTCCTTTAACGACAGGCAGCCCCCCCCCTCCTTCAAACTCTGTAATTGTTTAACACACAGAGATATGACGAATGCTTCTTCTAAACAAATGCAAAACTGTTTACTGTATAAGTTTTATTCTAAGGGCTTTAAGGCTTAAAGGGCTTAACTAATAAAATCCCAAAAAGCCCACAAAAGAAAAGAACTGAAAGAGAAAAAGTAAGCAATAACATTTCACCCTAATATAAAGATAATCCTTGAAAGTTATTCCTGCAATTTTATTTGCCCCCCACCTCCCTCCCAACCACTTGGTTTCAAATTATTCCTACCGTAGAATCTGTGAACCACTCCATCTGCTGGGTGATTGTCTCCTCAGTCTCGTCCTGGGCATTCTTCTCCAACCACTCAACCACCATGTACGCCTACAATACAATATTTCACAATCATGGAAAATAGTCCAAATGAAGGATCAATGATCATGGAAGGATTTATATCTTTGATTTGGCTAGAATTTCAAACATTTGGCCAGGTATGTGAACTATAAAAATTCTCTTTTTTGAATTTGTTTTTCTTGTTAGGGATCAGAATTAGGAGGTAAATTATTTAAACATATAAAATGATTTGAGAAACAATGTTTTTAAATAGTTCTACCTATCAACGCATTTATTTACAAAATATTTTAAGAAGTAAAAAAATATTGGACTCATTTGGTGTATTTGGCGGCTTTTCCAACAAAACAAATTAAGGCAAAACATATTTTATGTAATGATCAGGATATCTTGTTTCATTTCAGATCTAGGATCCAGTATTTTTCAATCACAAATCTAGGATCCAGTTTTCTCCAACACCAAATCTAGGATTCCGATCCAGATCAGAGTGGAATGAATCCTGATGACTGTTCTGTTACCTGTCTTATTTCCTTATTATTCATGAAGAAGCGTTCAATAATCTGCTTTTCACTACCAGGAGCTGGAGGAGGAAGGTCAGGAGGGGTCTGGGAGCAGGTCACTAACCGGTCAGTATACAACTAGATATATAGAGGTCACTGGTCAGTATACAACTAAATATATACAGGTCACTGGTCAGTATACAACTAGATATATACAGGTCTCTAACTAGTTAGTATACAACTAGATATATACAGGTCACAAGTCTGTCAGTATACAACAAGAAAGGATTCCGGAAAAAAAAACAGAAAATGTTAAGACGGTTTCTAAAAAGTATAGAGAGATACTGAAATGTTTTAAAAGGGTATACAACGGTTTAAAATGCTTAAGTTAGTTCAGATTTAAAAGAGTTCAGAATTGACCAGAAAAGATTTCTTAGGAGACAAGTAGGTTTAATTTTCATATTATAAAGCTCTTTTATAATTTCTATAATGTAGCAAACAATACCTTTCCCATTATCCTCCAAGTATTCCGTTCATTAATTAGATCCTGGAGAACAGCAGCAGATTTAGGGAACTTATCCTTTCCACCAGGTAGGTTGATAGTCACACGCCTGGAAAAGATTCCGATCAGGATCAGGATCAGGATCAGGATCAAGAATATTAGGAAGCTAAATAAGATGTGCCACTACTTTGAGATTGAAAAAGGGTTAAATAATGAAAATGACGATGTTTTTCCAAAAAGTTTCCAACCAAATTCTCAGACAATTAAACAAGACGCAATTATTTTACATGATTTTGAACCGCAATAACCACCCCCCCCCCTTACAACTTACCTCAACTTGCGCCTCAAAAGTGAAATGAATTTATATAAAAGTCCCAGGCCTCCATCTGTAATGTAATACCTGAGGGTTTGAATATGATCATCTACCATCTGCTCGAACTCTGCTATACTATCCAGGCCCTGAATTCACGATGTCATTATAACAAGACGGTATTCAGCCAACCAGGCTAATCACGTGACCAACATGTTTTCATGTTTAACAGACGATCCAATCATTTTAAAAAACCTTCAAGACCGTCTACACTCTACAGGGTCTTGAATTAGTTTCCTTTCAAGGTTTAATTAAAAAGACGACATTTAAACTTCTTTATAAAATTTTCGGTCAAAATGGAACTTTTGAAACTGTGGAGGAAAACGACATTGAAGCAATCAAATTGATGTTTTAAACCAGTAGTTTTACCAGTATTACTTATCAGGTGTAATGGAGTTGTGTGCTTTGTTCAGTGCACAATAATTTTGTGAATATTGTTCGTTGGAAATTTTATCTTGAGTTTAATATTCTTCTTCCAATTCAACAGTCTTTAGGGGGGAATTTAGCTATTTATTCCCGTCACGTGATACAGCAAACCAGTTTACCCCCCAATGAACATAACTACTCCGTGCCTGTGCTCCAGAACTGAACACGGAGAGGAATTCATCAAACAGGTTTTCTGTAGCTTTCACACCAGGGTTCTCTTCAAGCATAGCAGAGTGCATGGTTGTACTCATACTTACATCCATATCTGAATATTTTAACATTTAGTCTCCATCTCATTTAATATATTGTCAATTTAAAAAGTAGTAATCTCTGTTAGGGTGTCTGTTTGTTTGTTTGTATGTTGGATCATCTCGATTTCTTGCCTCAAATTTAAATTGGTGATCTTGTTAGAACCATGGGAATGTTCTTAGCTTGGTTAAATTTCTTTAAGTTGAGTGGAATAACTTATAATGGGGAACATTCCAGGAAGAGCTGTGTTCCCAAGCTAGTCTGTATATGAAGTACAAATCTAGGTTTGTTTGCCTAACCAAGAGAATGTTCTGGGCTTGGTTAAAAAAAAAGCTGGGTTCCCAAAATAGCTATTTATACATCGGTTCATTTATCTTTATAATTATTAATTATTGTTAATTTACTAATTATAAGTCATATAAATATATCATCCTAATATGTCTTACCCTTCCACCTTCTTTAAACTTGGCTTTCCATAGTTTCCAGGCAAGTTTCCCAAGCTGGTTATTTATATAAATTTACATTTATTCATTTATCTTTACATTTAATCATAATTGTTAATTTAATCATCCTAATATGCCTTAATCCTTCATCTGTTTTTTCATTTATTATTAATGCATTCTTAAATTTTCCTATTTATTTGTGCATCCCCTGAATTATTTGTTCATCTTTCTGATATCCGACTTTGATTTGTTTCTTTAGAGCTGAGATTGTGGACATCGAGATCAATGCTTGATCTCAATTATCAATCTTTCCGTTAATCTGCAGATTAATTTAATCTTTATTCGATATCCCGCATGATAATCGTACCCAGACAGGGGTTGAAGGGAGTTTTGATCAGAGGAATAACTGAAATGAAGATGAAGAATGGAAAGGTATAGTTTTTATAAATCCTCAAATTAAAAGTGCTCACAGTGGATATCGAGATCAACCGATCAGGATAATAAGTATCCAACACATAAGTTCTCAGCTCAGTGTCCGAATTTAATGAATTTGAGCCGCGTCTAAAATCCGCCAAAAACCGGTTTCAATTGAGCACCGGCTTAAATCTTGAAACATTGAATACAATTTTAAGTGAAACCATAATATATTTGAGCGGCGGCTCAAATTCTTTAAATTCGGCCTCTGATTAAACTCTATTAAATTTTAATATTAATGAGCAATAAAACTATTCAAACATAATAAAAAGGGTTGAGGTAACGTGTGTCTCGAGCTTCTACCTAAGTAAGACAGAAGACATAGAGTGCCTGAAATATCTCCCCAAGTTTTAATTTATTTGAAAAAAACGACGCTTGTTCAACGAAACTACGCAAGTAGTTGATGTGAGCGGGTTCACAACCAAAGTACTATAAACACCACCAACCTTGCTATATCACGCCTATTTGCCTTTTTTGCTTTAAAGGGATAATTTAATATTATAGGTTAAAGGGATATATGGCCAATTAAGCTGAGAATGCCGTAGTGTAGAGAAATTTGTTAGGATTCACTTGAGATCTATCAGACGTTTTACGGTGCATAATTGTTCAGCAAGAGCAGAAATTGATTCTTTAAAATCCTCATAGATTGTCTATTTTGGAGGAATGATTTTGATAAACTTAGTTTCAATTTTGTTGAGTAAAATCTGAATTTGAGGAGTAAATAAGCATTAATATGTAAATATGTACTTGGAGGATCTAGTTAATACTTACTTCGAGTGGTGTTAGGTATAATGTGAATAAAAGAATAAACAAGGATTAAACTATGTTTTTAACTTTACCATTATCTATTAAGTGAACTGCTCGTGTTATATCCCCGGCCATATCTCTCCGCATGGTTCGTGTTGAATCCTGAAACCTGGTGATATCCTGGATACTGGTCACATCGTGTATCCGGGATACATCATGTATCCTCGTCAAGTTGGAGCTCACATCTACATTTCTACCAAACCTCTAAAATGTTCAGATTTGGATTTTTTTTAAAAAGACAACTAAGCCATTATTGAGGAAAGGGTAATAAATGGGTAAATCAAAATTAGGAAAGATTTAATTTTAATTTTTAAATTAGAACCAGCCATCATCTATATTAGGGAGGAAAATGCAAAAAAAAAGTGTGATTTTTCAAAAAAAAAATTAACACCCGTAGCCCCCCAAAAAAATATTTTTTGAATTTTTTTTTTCATCAATGTGTTAGATAATAATTTTAAAAATATTTTCTCTTTTCTTTGTCTCCTATATTTTTGATCAGAACTTGTCACTTTTTGCATTTAAAAAAAATCAAAAAACGCAATTTTTTACACCCTGTTTTGACATCAAAAACTTAAGGAATTTTTTGTCTTTTTTAAAGCGTATTCCAGGGGTCATTGGTAGTATATATTGAAAAATTGGGCTATTTATGTCCAACGAGGCCGGAGATAAAAAATCGGAGCCGACGGAGGTCACTTTTCAGAGGTTCCAAGACTCCGGAAAGAGATATCGACAATCTGACTTCATATCCTGCTCCTAACAAATTATATGAGTCTACGTTCAAAAATAGAACCGGCTGCTATTAATATTGAAAGAGATATTACAAAATGTCTTACTTGACACGGGTTCTTTANATCATATTAATAAAAGATTAAATCAAATTTAGAAAAGATTAAATAAAATTTAGAAAAGATTAAATAAAATTTAAAAAAGATTAAATCATTTTTAGAAAAGACCGAGTTATTTCAGGTTTAGCTAAATATATATCATTATACTAAAGACAAAGTCTCCAGCAAGGAAACACAGATAACAGTCATTTTAAGAGTCAAAAGAAAAATACTGAAGATCAAGATAATTAAAAAATCTGTTTTTTAATAATCATGTTTTGATTTCTAAAATGTTCGACATTTTGAATTCTACGTTACATTTCCATTTTAAAACTTAGTTCAATTCGTAATTTATTTTAATTTTTATATTTTATTTTATTGTGTACGAAAAAGTCAGGGGCTTAAAGTAATATATATGGTTAAAGGGGGAACAAATTCCTGTATACGCCCCTGGACTAACGCTACATTGAACATGCATAAAATATTTACCCCTGTGGCAGAAGAGGAGCTGGGGGAGCCCAGAGCATCATCAAGCAGATGAAGAGATTTCTCTAGGTTGGACTCCTAGGGGCAGGACAAATCAGGGCTAAACGTAAACAAACAAGAACTTGTGTTGTACTGTGTACTGCATTGGCGTGATCAAAGATAAATTTCAAATACAATTAATCAGAAATGAAGTGATTTGATTTAATTAGTCAACATATCAACTTTGACAGTCTTTCAGAAAAAATCAGATTTTTGAAAAAGACCATGAACGCATCACCTTGGACATTTTATATTTTTGCAGTTTGCAGATAGGCATCGTTTTTAGATACGTTTACAATATTTCAACATTTTTTGAGATACATTTACAATATTTAATCATGTTTTGAGATACATTTACAATATTTAAACATGTTTTGAGATACGTTTACAGTATTTAAATATGTTTTGAGATACGTTTACAGTATGTAAACATGTTTTGAGATACGTTTACATTTTGAGATACGTTTACAATATTTAAACATGTTTTGAGATACGTTTACAATATTTAAACATTTTTTGAGATACGTTTACAATATTTAAACATGTTTTGAGATACGTTTAAGGTATTTAAACATGTTTTGAGATACGTTAACAATATTTAAACATGTGTTGAGATACGTTTACAATATTTAAACATGTTTTGACATACGTTTACAATGTTTAAACATTTTTTGAGATACGTTTACAGTATTTGAACATGTTTCGAGATACGTTTACAATATTTAAATATGTTTTGAGATACGTTTACAATATTTAAACATGTTTTGAGATACGTTTACAATATTTAAACATGTTTTGAGATACGTTTACAATATTAAACTTTTTTTGAGATACGTTTATAATATTTAAACTTTGTTAGTTTTTAATACATCTTGCAAAAATTTTTCTCAGACCGAAGTTATAAACCAACACGATTATTCAAAAAGTTTTAAAGCCAATTTTTAAATCATACTATCATAAAAAATACATTTCAGATTCTTGGTGAGCATCTTAAATGTTTAAAACCGGACCTCCTCTAAATGATGCCTATCTATCTATTTATCTATCTATCTATTATGACTCCCCAATAACACGAATGTTATCAGGTAAACACTCCTCCCTGCATCCCTCTGCCTCCTTTTCCGTCCCAAGAAAATAAAAAATACAAAATCTGTCATATTTATATTTTCAAAGATTTGTTCCTTGATATTTCTTGGTTCCGGAAGTCCAGATTGTCGACGCAGCAGACGACTCGTCGGTCCCAGCCGGACCACCGGCGTCGACATAAAATCATCCATTGTACTCTGAAATCAATTCATCAATCAATCTGTAAATCAAAATCATGTAATTAAGTGTTGGGACAGTTAAATTATTTTAACAGTAGTTCTCTACAAAAGAATAAATATCTTAGTAGTATTGAAAGCTCGATTTTGCATAAATAATTTTATGTATGAATTTGAATTACACTAAATAAAATATAGTTCTTAATCATTTCAAAATGGTAAATGCAATGTTTACAAAAAATATTACACAAGGTTGAAAAATTAAAAAAATTTTGTTAAACATTAACTAATACAATGTAAAAATAAATAATAAAATTTCAATTTTTTTATAATCGCTTTTTAGATGTTGTGAACATATGCATCAATCTCATAATAATTTGTACTTCAAATTATCTTATTATTGTATTTTTCTCTATTAATATTAAATACAACATGACAAATCTTTTTCTATTTGAGTATTAAAGATTCAAGTAAGATTGTAAAACAAATATTTAGTATTTGAAGTTAAATTTTATTACATTCTTTACTGAACTTTGGTTAAGCATTTATTTTGACATGATTCCGCCGTTATTAAAGAAAAATATGTGTTTCACTAAAAATATGGAATAAAATAGTAATACATTTTAGAAGTGGTAAATAAATTCATTAGTTAATTGGCGTATATTACTAATTAGTATTGTCCCTAGGCAGGGTGAACTGTGCATGGTAATAATCCATGTAAATATAAATGAGTATGGCGTAAATATACCGCTATAAATATATTATTTGTGCATCAAATGTTAATCAAATAATAGAATAAGAATGAATATCATTTCTACAATCAACAAGGAGATGAAAAATGGAAAATGTAACAGAAAATATTTAATGTAAATCAGATCTAAAGTTCAGGATCAAAGTTTTATAATTTCCCTCAGCCTATTATATTATTGTAAATATACAACAGCTCCATCTAATCATGAAGGGGAGATGGGGTTAAATTAAATAAATGTTATTCCCAAATTTTACTCCACATTAACGTTTACTCCAGAATATGTATATCCTCGGATATGGTTTACCTTAAGATAGAGATTACCCTAGGATAGTTATTGCCCTAAGATAAGATTTACCCTAGGATAGTGATTACCATAGGATAGAGATTACTTAAGAATATATATTACCCTAGAATAATGATAAATCTAGAATATGATTACTCTAGGTCCTAGGTAAAGATTACGTTCTAGGATAGCTAATACCCCAGGATAAAGATTACCCGGCGATAACGATTAAGTGCTAGGATATCTAGTACCCTAGGATTACGATTACTATCAGATAGGTTTATCCTAGAATGAAGATTACCAGAAGTTAACGATTAAGTTCTAGGATATCTATTATCCTAGGATAAAGATTACTCTTAAATTGGTTTATCCTAGAACGTTCTACCTTTATTATTATCCTACGATATTGTCAACTCTAGGATGTAATCTCTTCTAGGATAACAATTCCTTAATTGTAAACCATCGGGACCTTGTTAAACACAAACATTTATTTTTCTCCAGGTTTATTCAGAGTTTACTCTGATTAGTGAGTTATAAAGAGATTACTCTGATTAGTGAGTTATAAAGAGCAGTCCGCAGATCAGAGCAAACCCGAGAAGAACAAAGAGAACCTTCCATAGTCTGTTCGTCGGCACATTCAACTCATGGGGTAGAACCTACCCAAGAAGAACTTAATGTGACTTTAAGCGTAATTTCAAGTGACTCTCCATGCAAAAATGACCATGCCTGATTTGTAACGGTGCCCTTGAAACTTTCAGCTGGTCAAAAAAGTGGACAATACCGTCGTTCTCTAACTCGAAAAGTGTTTATTTCTAGGAGTTTCTCCATTGCTTCTTATTAACAAAGAATGCAGAAGTACCATTTGCTTAGAAACCGCAAGTGAAAATAAACAGTTTTAAGTAACACAAACATTGATATGTAATTCTTACTTGATCAGATAAAGATTTCGAGGGTACCGTTGTAAATCGAACAGCATGCTACTTTTGCATAGAGAGTCACTTAAAATTACGCTTACAGTCACTTTATTTACAATAAAAATAAAAAAAATATGATGAATATTGAATATGGAGAAATAGATTTGAATAAATCAAAAAAATAAATTTTACAGTCTCCGTTAAAATGTGATTTTACCTCGAAAAATGTAATGTATAAGAAGGTTCCTCCAGCTATACCCTGCAGTATTCCATTCGCAATATTCTAAACAAAATGTTTTTATTACTAGATAAAAAAAAGTAATATTCTCCACAATAATTAGCAATCATAATTCACGCAAAATTGTCAAGAACTATTTTTTTATATATATTTTTTATTAATGATTAAACCGGTGCGAAACATTTTTGTTTGCAGTTTTTGGTTAATATTTTGCCCCTTGGATCCGGATCCAGGAAGCCAAACTGTTGCGAATCCTACGGACACTGGTTTAAACCTCGACCTAACTGTAGCGAACCTGGACCTATTCCTAAACCAGTGTTTAGGATCCGGCCGGATCCGATGGATCCGGATCCAGAAACGGATCCACGAAAAAATTCAACCAAAAACTGTTAAAAAAGAGAGATTATTAAAAAACCTGTTTGGTTCCTAAAGTTTTAGCAAAAAAATAATTTTAAAACTCTTTTTTTTAAATCAGTAAATTTTTAAGAAATATTCATGACCTGGATCCGGATCTGAATCCAGAATCCGGATCCGCATCCAATGTACTGCACGGGACTATACCTGGGGTAAACTGCTTGGTAGGTCAGCTATCCCTATCCCTACTGCTAGTCCTATAGGACTAGAGATAGAGAATAGTTGCGGATGTTACGGACACTGGTTTAAACCTCGACCTAACTGTAGTGAACCTGGACCTATTCCTAAACCAGTGTTTAGGATCCGGCCGGATCCGGAACATTTTGGCACCCTGGTTCCAGAAACGGATCCACGGATCCGGTTCCAAGGGAAATAAATTCAACCAAAAACTGTTAAAAAAGAGAGATTATTAAAAAACCTGTTTGGTTCCTAAAGTTTAAGCAAAAAAATAATTTAAAATTTTTAAGAAATATTCATGACCTGGATCCGGATCTGGATCCAGAATCCGGATCCGCATCAAATGTACTGCACGGGACTATACCTGGGGTAAACTGCTTGGTAGGTCAGCTATCCCTATCCCTACTGCTAGTCCTATAGGACTAGAGATAGAGAATATGAAGTTGGAAATTATAAAGTTCTTCACCGACATTACCGACTGCGCTATGTTCAAGCCTAGAAAATAATTTAAATTGAAAATATATCATTTTGAGGGATTTAGATTTAGAGAGAAGTAAATAAATGTGAGCCTCAACGCTAAGTCTAAAATGCCCGACTTAAAATTTGTCCTTAAAACCTTCATCTGAGTAAAAAGGATGGATATATTCTTGTGTTTTTATCTGAAAATTTATAGTCTTCTGAATCAAAATAACTTGCGGATACATTCAGCAGAGAAAAAAAAAGGAATTGACGGAATTTATCCCTTTTCAAGAAACACCGACAATAACTTCCTCATTCTTACTCAGATAAAGGTGGGTACTGGGTACTATGCCATTTATCAGATAAAGGTGGGTACTGGGTACTATGCCATATATCAGATAAAGGTGGGTACTGGGTACTATGCCATATATCAGATAAAGGTGGGCACTGGGTACTATGCCATTTATCAGATAAAGGTGGGTACTGGATACTCTGCCATATATCAGATAAAGGTGGGTACTGGATACGTCTGCCATATATCAGATAAAGGTGGTAACTGGGTACTCTGTCATATATCAGATAAAGGTGGGTACTGGGTACTCTGCCATATATCAGATAAAGGTGGTTACTGGGTACTATGCCATATATCAGATAAAGATGGGTACTGGATACTCTGCCATAATCAGATAAAGGTGGGTACTGGGTACTCTGTCATATATCAGATAAAGGTGGGTACTGGGTACTCTGCCATATATCAGATAAAGGTGGGTACTGGGTACTTTGTAATATATCAGATAAAGGTTTAAATTAATAAAAAAATTATGTTATCAGTGCTTTTCCATATGTAAGAATACTCGGCGTCTAATTTCAATATAAAAAGTCCATAGCATAGCAAACAGGGGCGTACGAGAGCATTTATGTAGGGGGAAAAATATTGATACCTTTTTAACTATCTAAACTATTCAATCAAATATACGTGTTACCCCCTGGGGGGGGCACGCGTGTATATGATATAAAATTCAAACAGATTAATGTTAACAACCTTCTAGTATTAGTAATTTTAGTAAACTTTAGCCGCAATGTTGTTACTTACCCAGACTGAATGCCATGACCGCTTTGTGTACAATGACCGCTACAAATATAGAAATGAGAGAGGCACTGTCGTCTTGTAGTCCAATCGCTAAACCCTGTCAAAAAATGAATTATTTTAACGGTAATGAAACTTCCTTCTCTAAGGCCGTTACTGTAGAGTGTATACATAACTTTAATTAAGGAAATTGTCAGAATTAAACAATGTTCAAAGAAAAGCCACGATATCTGCCACAATATTGATCAGATAAAGGTTTAAAGGGTAAATTGTAATGGGGCATATCTCTCTTTAAACGGAGGGTTACTTGAAATAACAACGACAGGCATTTTAGGAAAAGGGGGGTTATTATATAACTAAAAGATATTTATTAAAATTTAGAAATAAAAAAAAATTTCATTTGAAAAAATAATCTGAACAAAAGCATTTGAAGTCGGGTGTTTAAAATAAATATTTGTCATTTTTTGTTGTGCAGCAATAGATAGAAAATGTTTTACCTCAAAAACTGAATGGAATGAGAGTGCGAGAAGAAGCATAATACTCCTGGAGAAGATACAAATATTGCTTAAAATTGAAAAATAATTCCCCCCCCCTCCCCCCGCTTTAGGTTTTATTAGGTGAATTTGGGAAAATAAATGAATTAAAGGAAAATAGATTAATTTGTGTGTATGCATCAAAAAGGATAAAAAAAAAAATAGTCTTTTGATGTCAAATAATTCATTTTTTAGAGATCATCAAAATTCTTAAGATAATAATATAAATTCTTAAGATTATAATATATACCCCAGTCTTTATTTATTTCAAAAATACTGAGATATAATAAAAATAAGATAATATTAAACAATTTTGTGATAATCAAGGCCTTCAGATATAGAAGGGTTTCTCTTGTAATTTATTATTAAAAGGACTGTAAGTGTAACTACAAGTGACCCTCTATGTAAGTGACAATGCCTGATTCACAACAGTTCAGTTGTGATAATTCCTATGTTTTCCTCTTGTAAAAAATAAGAAATGTGCAAGTCACTTTTGTAGAGAGGCTACATTTGAAAATGATCAGTTCTCACGCTTATAAACACTGATATCTAACTCAAACTTGACCAGAAAAAGGCTTTTTAGGTTACCATTGAAATGGATGAGAATTGGGCATTGTCATCTTTACATGGAGGTTCACTTGAAATTACGTTCACAGTCCCTTTAAACCTAAAAGTTTTAATATGAAATCTCCCTAAGTGTACTGTGCTGGAAAACACCATGAGATATATGCGAATGATCTGTGTGCCCGTCATGCGTATGGTGAACCTGAGTATAAAATGTAAACAAACATATATAAACAATAACAAACAAAAGTAGACAAACAATTAAAAACAATAAAACGAAAAAGAAAAAAACTAGATGTTTACCACGTTTGAGAGTCCTGTAATGCTATCTTGTCGTGAAATAGATTCAAAATCATTCTGATTAACACTAGTTTGTCGGGACCTTTAGATAAAATTAAAACGTTAATTTCATAGATAAAAATCTAATATCTAGCTGTCAAGGAATAGACTCCTAATGTGGGGTATGAAGCCCCCCCCCCCCCTTGAGATTCCTGAATAAATAATTGCAATTCAAAGGAAAAATTAAGTAAAAATANCAACCCCCCCCCCCATTAAAGTCCTAACTTTTCAGTGATAAAAACACTCAACACCTGGATAATAAAGGTTGCCTCTCCGCTTCAGACATCCAGGATTCCTAAATATATTTCAACTTCATGTACATCTATATTTTCCATACTTCAATACCCAGAACGAGAGCATAAATGAACGAATTACAGAAAAAAGGGAAAAAAATAGTGAATGAATGAAATTATAATTTTATGAAAATCAAATCAAATCATATCATTAGGTTTAGGGATTGCTTTAGTGAATGAATGAAATTATGAATTTATGAAAGAGGATGCATTACAGGATGTTAAAATGAAAGAAAGAATGTTATGTGAATGAAGAAAGGAGAATTAAAGGAAAGAGAATGAATTAATGAAGAAAGGAATAAACCTGAAAGTATAGAACTGTCTGCTCTACGGTGAGTATGAGGAAGATGTATGAATTAATGAATATATAATAAATGAATAAACCTGAAAGTAAAGCACTGTCTGCTCTACGGTAAGTATGAGGAAGATGAATGAATGAATATATAAATGAAAGGATGAATGAATGAATGAATAAATGAATAAACCTGAAAGTATAGCACTGTCTGGTCTGGTCTGGTGAGTATGAGGAAGATGAATGAAAGGATGAATGAATATAAGGATGAAAGGATGAATGAATGAATAGATGAATAAACCTGAAAGTATAGCGCTGTCTGGTCTACGGTGAGTATGAGGAAGATGAATGAATGAATGAATATATAAATGAAAGGATGAATGAATGAATAAATGAATGAATAAACCTGAAAGTATAGCACTGTCTGTTCTACGGTGAGTATGAGGAAGATGAATGAATGAATGAATATATTAATGAAAGGATGAATGAATGAATAAATGAATAAACCTGAAAGTATAGCACTGTCTGCTCTACGGTGAGTATGAGGAAGATGAAGGAATGAATGAATATATTAATGAAAGGATGAATGAATGAATAAATGAATAAACCTGAAAGTATAGCACTGTCTGTTCTACGGTGAGTATGAGGAAGATGAATGAATGAATGAATATATTAATGAAAGGATGAATAAATGAATAAATGAATAAACCTGAAAGTACAGCACTGTCTGCTCTACGGTGAGTATGAGGAAGAACCCCATAACAATGATGAACTGAGCCAGAGGATATTCAACATCTACACCATAGCTGTCTTTGATCTCTTCAAGCACCTAATAATCACAATTTAAAAATAAGGATAACACTAACTAAAGCCTTCATAGTAATAATAAAAGTTTTAAAAATAACAATTTCGAAAGCAATAAATAACAGGAACAACGGCATCGACGACATTCAAAATCAATATCACAATTTCTATCATAATCAAAATCATAATCACAATCACATCCCCACAATATCAGATGACAAACTTAATCATATTCACAGTTACAATCACAATTACAATAAAAATCATTATCACAATCACAATCGCAAGTGAAATAGCCATAAGACATAATTGCAATAGAAAAAACAATATTAGTTTTTATAAGATGAATAGTAAGCCAGAGTCAACTCACATAAGAAAACTCAAGCAACGATATAAGAAAACTTAATTTCAAAATCAATTAGTCAATCAATCACCTCGTTTATCTTCTCTTCAACGTCCGGAACTAAATCTAGAAGACAGGCCGCGATAAATACACCACCGGCAAAACAAGAAGCAAAGCTCAGAACATTCTTCCATCTACGAGAAGGAAGATTATCTTACTATCACATTATATTACTATTACAAAATTGAAGATTGAAGATCATCTTCTGGGGTTAAAAAAAAGAATCCTAAAAATACAAATACAAGAAAAAGCCAAATTAAAGTCATTAAGACAGAACTTTAAATCCAAAGTTTAAGGGGACTGTAACCGTGATTTCATGTGACTCTTCAAGCAAAGATGGCAATGCCAAATTTAAAACGGCACCCTAAACAGCTTTGTTTGATCAAGTATGATATCATTGTTTACAATTTTGAAATCTGATTATTTGTCCATCGTGGTTTCTCTACAAAAGTGATTTGAGCATTTCTACTACAGAAAAAATAAAGAAATTATTAAAATTAAAAACATTCAAAACTAGAAAAACGACAATATCTTCCACATTTTTTTAATTAAAAGGTTACAAGGGTACCGTTGTGAATCGTGCAATGTGATTTTTGCATGGATGGTCATTTGAAATTACCCTTACAGTCCCTTTAAGAAAAAACCTTCAGAGGATTTTCACTTCCTTTCGGTCAGAAAAAAATATCCGACATCAGATCCTTATACCTTATTCTAGATGTAACATCTGTGTTTTCTCTGACAGCGGAGAACAGTTTCAATGGTATCAACCCAAACAGGAATGTAACAGCGAACATCGATACCATAACAATTATCTTAACAGTTATAGGATACATTTGAATTTGGAAGATAGAATCTAAAAAATGTAGAAAAAAAGGTCAACTTTTGATATAAATTTACCTTTTCCGAAATAAGAGCCTTGGCGCCCATTTTCTCAACGTCATCTATGGTTGTATACTCCATCTCCTCAAGAATAGTTGATGTGTCCATTTTAACAAAAATCCTCAAACAGTCTCTGTAGTGTGTACGAAAACTTTAACCTCAGACTGAATGAATATTGAATACAGCAGACTATCTAAATTGCGCCATTTTGAAATCTGAAACCACAAGTTTTAGGATTATTATCAATTCTTAAACTTAAAACTGAAAACATCCGTGCTAAAACAAAAACTAAAACTAATAAAGGGTTTAAAGAAATAAATTTTCTAATCAAAAATGGTTACAGAAAATCAAGTTAAAACGACTCAAGAAATTGTAAGAAGAAATACAACAGAAGAAGTACGTTGGAAAGGTGACATAATTAACAACAAAGATCAGATCTTCAAATATATCAAAATTCGTTATCCGCTGAAATGTTAAGATTAAGATAGCCTGGAATTAATTAAACTAATATATATATATTAAACACTTGTAATATTTTGATAAATATTTTTGATATACTTAATCATATATAAATATATATATACCTATATGTATATATCGGAATGGGATCAATAAATTTTCTTATAAAAATATCTGTTCGTTAAAACATAACATAACCATTATTAAATTGTCCAAACAAAGTAAACAACTTAAAAAGTACTAATTACTCAATAGGTGACATATCATCGTACAATTTACAGTGTACGCGAGCACAAAATAAACAACAATAAGTACAAACAGAGTACAATAAAAACATTCAAGTTGTTTCTACTAAAATCAATTCAAACAATTGTAAAGGGACGCGGGGTCTTGCATTTCTAGTCAATATTTCTTCTACTAATCCATCTCACTTCTCCGCGATGAAGTCAGTTTCTCCGTATATGCCTAAACATAACTAATTAAATACAACAAAAAATCTTTTTTCTCAAAAAAAATCAAGATTTAAAAATGTAAATTCTCATAAATCCTTTTACTCAACAAAACACTACATAACTTACAAATTACAAATCCATCCAGTGATCTTTGCAGTCAATTAATAAACCAATTAATCAAATAATTTTGCTAGACTGATAATTTTAAAGAGTGAAATACCTGAATCAGGCAGAAAGCATCGCAAACAGGTTTATGCTTCTCCCTCCCCTTCTCTTCACAGGAGGAGCAACAAAATGAAACCTAGAATTAAAAAAAAAATATTTACCGTCCTTTAATCTCTTTAACACCAACTTTAAGTATCAATGTGTAGATGATAATAATAAATAAGAAGAGGGAAAGGGTGAGGTTTTAGAAGTTCTTTACAGGGCTCCAAAAAATAGTTCTGCCTCTGCAATTTGGCTTGCTGCAGTAAACATCCAAAAGATTCATTTATTTTTATTTTCAAAATTAGCCAAAGTATGATTGAAGGATGGACAAGGAATGGACGATCAAGAAGAAAGAATGAAAAACAAGATTATAGAAGTCTCAAAATGTTTCCATCTGATATCATATTGAAATTTGAAAATATTGTAAAATCTAATTAAAATAAATTATTAAAGTTAAAAAGAAGTTATTTACTTCATTGCATTGTTCACAGTCTTGAAGTGAATCCCTCCAGAAACCACAGGTAGCACAACCATCTTCAGGTTCTCTTAGCTTAGCAGCCCAGATCTCCTTTTCCTCTGTGTACCTAGACAATCAATCAATCAATCATTCATTTTCCGATTCCCTTAAATTAGCAGCCCAGCTCTTACTGTCCTCCGTGTACCTAGACAATCAATCAATCAATCATTCATTTTCCGATTCCCTTAACTTAGCAGCCCAGCTCTCCCTATCCTCTGTGTACCTAGACAATCAATCAATCAATCAACCATCTTCAGGTTCTCTTAGCTTAGCAGCCCAGCTCTCCCTTATCCTCTGTGTACCTAGACAATCAATCAATCAATCAATCAATCAACCATCTTCAGGTTCTCTTAGCTTAGCAGCCCAGCTCTCCCTTTCTTCTATCTGCCTGGACAATAAATCAATTAATCAAACGATAAATCAAACAATTAATCAAACAATCAATCAATCAATCAACCAACCAACCAACCAACCAACCAGCAAAACAACCAACCAACCAACCATTTTTGTAGTCTCTCTTATTAGCAATCATCAACCAATCAATGCTTTTCCCTGAGGCCAAAATTTTTAAGATAAATCAAATCAAATCGAATCAAGCAATCAAGCAATCAAACAATCAAACAGTTAAACAATCAATCAATCAATCAGTCCATTGGAAAATCAGTCAAGGAATTAGTTAATCAATATCTCTTATTTTTGCAGCAAAGTTTTCCCTTTTTCCCTATAACTTAAAAAGTATAGATCAACTTCAACAATACATTTTGTAGGATTCCAATTCTCTCACGAGCAGCCATCAACCGATCGATGCCTTTTCCTCTGAAGCCGATTGATCTATCGTTTTAAATCCAATCCAATCAAGTCCAATCAAATCAAATCAATGATTTAGGTAATTTAGCAATTGATCAATCAATGAATTGATTATTACAATACCTTCTGACCGTAATATAAGCTCTACAGACAGAAGAATGATCCTTTACATCTGCTCTCTTACAGGGAGGGGAACAGTAAAATACCTAAAAATTATACATGCACCAATTGCTCATGGCTTAATGGCAATAGCAATGGCGTGGCGTATACAGAACTTAACAGGGGCTTAATCGTTTTTACTTTTAAAGCAGGGTGGCTAAGCCGCCATAGCCTTGCCCCTTGAAACGCCCATTTTAAAATATTTATACAAAAAATTGTAAAATATAAATATAAATTAACAACGGCACAAGAAGTCTAATAAAATATCAATATTATGCAAAATTTTCATTTTTACTGTAGGTACAAAGATTTTAAAGAAATTCATGACATGAATTCGGAGAGGTGAATGGGGCGCCCAGATAAAGATACATTGACTCGCTCCCAACGAAAATATTCTTGTAACCCAGATTTAAAAAAAACTATTCTATGGATATTCCAATGAAAACCATTTAATAACGGAAATTTGAGTAAGTGTCGATAGTGTTAAAATCTTGTCTATAAAATGTTTTTTTTAGTCTACTCTACAGTCTACACCGTTCTAGATGCATGTACCCGGGACTAACAATAATTTTTAAAAATCTAACTCACCTTCTGACAAAGTCTGCATGAGCCCATATTAGTGTCCTCTACTCCACACCGTTCACATACAGTAGCGCTTGCACTGTACTGTACTGCACGTGTTTTATGCTGAGGCAGTACGCCGCACTTTTTAAATCCTTTAAAATGTACAATGTACGTTGAAATTTTTTGACACATTTAAGGAATAATTAAATTGAATAATTTGTGCTTCAATTTGAATGACTTATTTCTGTCATTAAGGCGTTGTTTATTCGAAATTACTTTTTTTCTGAAGAAATTTCTTTTTTGTCGTTCTTTTCCATAATGGGATCTACTAAATTTCAATGGAGAATGTATGTTGACGAAAATATATATGTACCATTGACCAACGGATGTATGTTATATTTGAGAACAGTCTTGATTCAAACAAGGTAGAAAAATATTTTACCTGGTTTCTCGTCATACGATAAACATTTTCCAGGTTTCTCATTCGTCAAACTTTTCATCTTTGCTTCAATTTGATTGGTCGGAGACTCCTTGTTCTTCCCGATAAGTATACACTGGACCTAAAATAGGAGAACATTATAATAGATTCATAACAGACGCTCTTTTTGAGGGACTGTGAACGTAATTTCAAGTGACCCTCTGTCAAATAAAATCAAGTTTACATCAGCGTGGCCCCCCTAGACTACCTCCAGGGCGCTACCACCACCCTGGGAATAGCGGCCTGGAGTTCAAGCCAGGTAGGATACCTGTTTGAACTACTGTTTATTTGAACTATTGTTCATTTGAACCACTGACATGACGTCATATTCTGTAGTTCAAATCAACACATTTCTTGTTTATTTTCAATTTTTTTCTATAAATTCAGTTTTGTTATAATTCATGAAGTTAGGTCATCTATATATAAATTTAGCTTGTCTTGGTGTCCGTTTGTTTGTTTGTACAATCAAATTGATATAGTTAAAACACTAAGAAATATTTCAAATAAACATAAAATAGTTCAAATGAAAATAAAAAAAGTTCAAATGAACAAAAAAGTTTTGAACTTCTTTTTTCTCATTTGAACTATTTTATTTGAACTATTCTTTGATTCACTTGAACTATTTTTTGGTTCATTTGAACTATTTTTTGGTTCACTTGAGCATGAAATAAACTCGTTTGAACTATTGTTTGTTTGAACTACTCATTTGGTATCCGTGGTACCACGTGAGTAGTTCAAACGAACAATAGTTCAAACGGGACATGTTCAAACAGGATAGCATCCAATCCGGGTAGTAGTACAAATGTATAACGCCCCGGTACTTCCCGGTAAAGATGGCAATAGTACTCTTAACAGCGTTCAAGTATGAATTATGAATAAGTATGTATTAGATATCTATGTTGATAATTTTGAAAACTTATTATTTTCCATTGGGGTTTCTCTACAAAAGTGACTTGCGCATTTCTACTACAAGAAAACTATTAATAAAAAACGACGTTATCTAATTAAGATAAAAGTTCCATGGGTACTTTTGTTAATCGAAAAAATCCCCTTTTAAATTTGAAATTACGCTTAAAGTCCCCTTCAAATATGTAAATCCACCTCCACCAATGAAAAAAAATCCCCTTTTAAATTTGAAATTACGCTTAAAGTCCCCTTCAAATATGTAAATCCACCTCCACCAATGAAAAAAAAATCCGCAATTTTAATAGTATTCTTTGTAAGATCTATGGATCTTTTCTTAAATCTTGATGTTCAGGTTGAATCCAGAAATCGTGATCTACTCATCTAATTCTATACTTGTTCCTCCTGTATATACATATGTAAATATTTAATCGAGCTTTATCTGAGATTTTATTTGAGTTTAATAAAATTTTACTTTAAATGTATCATTCTGGGCTCTGGCCTAAAAGTTTTATATTCTCAAGCCTAAAAAGCTTTTTTACAACGTCTAGATTTATACTTTAAATAGAGCCTATAACTAAAAAATATATTTAATGGTCTATNCATACAGACGTCTCACTAAAGATTGGTCCGTGTCAATTAGTCAATGAAACATTGTGTATGAGGATGTTTATCTGTTTTTTTTATTGAATAATAAATTGATTATACGTACATACATATACTTTTACACTATCATATTTAATCATCTAGCTAAATAAAAATTAATTCGACAACCTCTTGATGAATATAATGTTTCTTAAGTTTACCGACCTTGTTAGATTTACCACTAGGAGAACTCTCCTGGTTTACAACTATACATTTACTCTGAAACTCCTCCCTAGAATTATACATAATATTCATTTTTTCGTTAAATACTTTAAATTTTCAATAATTGTAAGAATTGAGGAAAATAAAAAATTCATTTTGATTTTTGAATTCAACAAACTTTTCATTATGATTACAGTAAAATATTTATTTAGAAGTTCAGCTATATATGCATTTAAATTCGACAAAATATTCATTTCAAATTCAATTAAATATTCACTACAAGTTTAATGGAAGTAATATATGAAGTGCGAATAAAAACTTAATATGAATATTCATTTATAATTTTGAAAAAAATGTTGTTAAATCTTTCAATTATTCTGCTTTCCCATCAGGCAAATTAAACCGAGATCAAACCTGAATCTAGTTTTAGATAATATCCAACTAATAAATTTACAGCTCTGGCGTTAGTCTGAAGTAACGGAGTTATTGCAACAAACCTTAGTTTTCTAATTCTGTCATTTCTGTTAGATAAATAGTTTGAAATATCAAAGGTTTAGACTGTCAGATAGCAATGATATTGGGAGTAGAAAATTCGAGTCTGTGGCAAGAACTCAGTTCCTTTATCTCGTGATAAGGATCCGGATCCAAGGGACAAAACCTGCTATAAACTTACTTTTTACTCTTAAAACACAAATCTGAACTGTTTACTACTGATCAATTATTAATACTTTATAATATCTGAATGGTTCATTTAGACTTATCTCTTTAAAAAATCAGTAAATCTTAAGAAAATGTGCATGATCTGGATCCGGATCCCTTTTTTACAAGGCTGTTTCTAGGATCCGGATAAGCATCAAAATTAAATGGATCCTAAACAGTAAGCATGCTTGATCTCTAATTCGATAACTTTACCTAAACTTTTCATTCTCGTCATCACATGTGCAGAAATACAGTTTATCCTTGTTCTTCAAGATATCAAGAGAATTCAACTCTTCAACAAAGTTTCTAAAACAAACATGTTCAGTTAAATCAAATCAATTCTGCCTTTTAGGGACGTCACACTTGAGTTACATTTCGACACTAGTGAAATTTAGTGAAAGCATTAGAAGAAAGCAGTTGAGGTGTCAACACCTCCACTCTCTGAGAGAAAGCATGCAAAAGGCTTGAAAATATATTCAGGACTAGGGCCGCAACCCTTTTTACTGTCAACAAGAATTGGTTCACACCCTTTGCTAATATGAGTGCTGACTAATTATCTACTTGTAAATGCACAATGAATGTATTCTTAATTGAGTTTTCAATATGTATACTTTGTTTCAACAAATACGATCAAACCTAAATTATCAAACAATATATTTTTAATTGGCTCATAATAAATTTTCTTTTGTGTTTTACTTTAAGCTGAACCATCATACATTATTATTTTGTATTTTGTGTTTGAAAATAAATACTATAACTATAACTATTATTTAGTATTTAATCGCTGTTCTTTTTACTTAGAACACATTAAAGATTTTTTAAAAAAATCATTAGCTTATATGAATCATAAATTTAGGATATCAATTTTCAAAAAAACTACAAAATTTCTCTTCTTTTAAATGTAGAATGGTAAAATATTGCTTCACAGAAGGTGGGGGTAGGATACCCCTGAACCCAGAATATCCTACTTTTGGTTTGGAAAGCGTTAAGAACATCGACTTAACTGATTCTAATTCAAAAATCCACCAAGAATAATTCAAAGAAAGGGCTAGCTGTTTCCAACGACTTAAATTAAACAACAATTGGGGGAAAACGACTAAGCGCGTTATGAATGATTTTAAGATTAAAAAGTTTTGACCTCAGGTCTAATATTCACCTAGTGGGCGGAGTAAATGATGCAGTCCTACTCAGAGTTTGATAATTCAAAAGTTTACACTTCCCACACACTGTCAAAACATCCAGAAAGTTAGGACCTAACAAGTTCAGAAAAAGATTACTTAAAGCTGCAAGTGCAGGGGTATGATTTATTGTGTTGTATTTAATTTTCAGAATTTCATGGGGGAGGGAACCCGGCTGATTTACGAAGATTTGGTGGGGAAATTTTTAAATTTGATTTCACTTATAAGTTGAACAATTCTAAGACTATATTGGATCTGGTAAGACTTCAACTTGTTAATACTCCTTACCCGGCCCTAAGAAAAGTGGCGCATCTTTTTTTAAATTTCACTTACCAAATACTGCCAGATCTCCTGTGAGTAGATCCTGTTCTGTGTAGGTTTTATTATTCCTTTTTCTCCGTTCCATCACACCCTCGCCATTCATATCAATCCTAGCAAACAGAAGGTTTTATTATTCCTTTTTCTCCGTTCCATCACACCCTCGCAATTCATATCAATCCTTGCAAACAGAAGGTTTTATTATTTCTCTTTCTCCGTTCCATCACACCCTCGCCATTCATATCAATCCTAGCAAACAGAAGGTTTTATTATTCCTCTTTCTCCGTTCCATCGCACCCTCGCCATTCATATCAATCCTAGCAAACAGAAGGTTTTATTATTCCTTTTTCTCCGTTCTATCACACCCTCGCCATTCATATCAATCCTAGCAAACAGAAGGTTTTATTATTCCTTTTTCTCCGTTCTATCACACCCTCTCCATTCATATCAATCCTAGAAAACAGAAGGTTTTATTATTCCTTTTTCTCCGTTCCATCACACCCTTTCCATTCATATCAATCCTAGCAAACAGAAGGTTTTTTTATTCCTTTTTCACCATTCCATCCAACCCTCGCCATTCATATCAATCCTAGCAAACAGAAGGTTTTATTATTCCTTTTTCTCCGTTCCATCACACCCTTTCCATTCATATCAATCCTAGCAAACAGAAGGTTTTATTATTCCTTTTTCTCTGTTCCATCCCACACTCTCCATTCATATCAATCCTAGCAAACAGAAAGTTTTATTATTCCTTTTTCTCCGTTCAATCACACCCTCTCCATTCATATCAATCCTAGCAAACAGAGGGTTATATTATTCCTTTTCTACGTTCCATCCCACCCTCGCCATTCATATCAATCCTAGCAAACAGAGGGTTATATTATTTCTTTTCTCCGTTCCATCCCACCCTCGCCATTCATATCAATCCTGGCAAACAGAAGGTACTAGGTTCTAGGGGTACAAGATGTACTAGATGTATTAGGTGTACTTATTGTATTAGATGTATTATTTGTCCCAGATTTACAAAGTGTACTAGATGTACTAGATGTACAAGATGTACTAGGTGTACAAGATGTATTTTATGTACCAGATTTACAAGGTGTAGTGCAAGTACTCGCTGTACTAAATTTACTCGGTGTACCTGGAGAACGGATCATTGTATAAGCAGAGAGAATCCAGTCCGTCCTCCCTCTCCGTAAACTGGAACCTCGGCCTCTCCCAGTCTTCTATATCATACCTGGACCATAGATCAGGTTTAAAACAAACTTTGTGGTTTATATGGTTTATATGTTCTTCTTGAAGGAATAGAAAATAATTAGGCCTGTGTAAAATCTATAAATAAGAAAATATTAGGCCTGTGTAAAATCTATAAATCGTCAATTTTTATCAAAGGATAAGTGTGCAATTCTGTTTTTAAAAGGCGAAACCAGTGATCATACCTAGGTTTAGATTGTATAATATAAGATTTTCCTCTGGGAGTAACCAGAGATATATTTTCCATTCTCAATATCTCAGGAGTATCTTTAGTTCTCTCCCAACCCATCAACTAGACAGATCAACACATAGATTCAGTTCAATATCTAGTTTAACAGAGGTCAGATTTAATTAATATAATGAGAGGTAGTTGAACAAGTTACAGATAGTTGAAGGGAGGGCCTTTAACTATCCGTAAATAATTAAACTACTTCAGGGAGCTAAGCTATGTATCATCGATATTAATGCTTAATGTTTAAGGTATAGTTGACATTTTTTTCCCCAGGTTGATATTTTTACTTTGAAATAAACGCTTTTAAGCAGAAACATCGAATAGATGTTAAAGCAGTGGAAATCGATTCTTCAGCAAATGATGGTTCATCCTGTACTTTTTCATTGACACTCTCTTTAATATATATCTTTCATTTTCATCCGATTTGGTTAAAGTAATTCTATTTATGCAATAAATTAGTTCGACATCTTTAATCTCAGTGCTTAGGCTTAGGATCCGGATCCGGATCCGGATCCGCTGGATCCGCATTATTTTGGCTCTTTGGATCCGGATCCGGATCCGCATCAAAATTAAATGGATCCTAAGCACTGTTTAATCTAATGATATTAAGTGTTCATTCCTTGATTTTAGAAAGGAGTATTATACTGGTGCTCTGGCTGGTTGCTATTTCAAAATCTATAATTTTGAGAACTGGATGTTTATAGAAGAGAAGGACGTCCTCCTGGGACCTCTTGGAGTTCTGCTTCTTCCACTCAGTCTTGTCGTAGGTCAGCTGACAGCTTGGTTTCAGAGTTACACTGTTAGTTGTGTACTCTCCATCACTAGTAATATAAAAATATGAAATATCTCTCCAGTAAAATAAAAAAATTTGCGCTCCGCAGACTCTAAATATTATTAAAGTCTACCATAAAGTCTGGTTGATAACGTGAAGAACCTGCCAGTGTTAGTGTTAATATATACCAAATAACTAGCTGTATATGGGTCGATATGGTAGATAAACATGAAGAATCTGCCAGACAGGTTGATATGTATAGTAATAAAGTCTACCTAATATCTAGCAGTATGGGTCGATCTGATTGATAAACATGAAGAACCTGTTATACAGGTTGATATATAGTAATGCAGTCTACCTTATAACTAGCTGTATGGGTCGATCTGCCAGACAGGTTGATATATATTAATAAAGTCTACCTAATAACTAGCTGTATGGGTCGATCTGGTTGATAAACATGGAGAACCTGCCAGACAGGTTGATAAACACGAATATTTGAGAACACACGGAGTAAAGAACCCCGGCTCAGGGATATTGACATGATTCTGAAAAAAAAATATCATTAAAAATTTACAAAAAACTGTTCAACAAAAAGATAAAAAAATAAGTTCGAAATTGGATGTCATATCACGACTGTATCACAAAACAGGTCGAGTAAATTGCGCAGTGGTTATATTAAAAAAAATGTGGTTTTAATTTTTTAGAAGCAAATAGTTGACCATTAGAAATGTTATCACATATATCTTATATAAAAACGTTTCGTTTTTAAGTGCATTGACTCGTTTTTTTTTATTGACTATTTTTTCCATTCATCGCTTCAGCACTTTTTTAGGCAAACACGTCACTATGTGTCATTATATTTTTCCAATAAGAACAATTTACAATGCGTCCTTGTGCAAACCCGATTCACAAATGTACCCTTGAAAGCTTTGTTAAATCAAGAATGAATTAGATATCAATGTTTATAAAAAAGATTATTAATTTCAGTTTCAATTTAATTTCAATTTAATTTCAAAAATAATGTAGAAACTATAATAATTAAATACTTTTCAATCCAGAAAACCACGCTATTTTCCACATCATTAATAAAAAAAAAGTTTATAGGGTAGCATTGTGAATAGGGCGTGCCCCCCTTTTGTTTAATGAAGAAAAATAAGATAGTTATATCAGGGAATGATCAATTTAACCCAATCCCCAAATCAATTTTATGGTTGGAAGGAAATATTTTGTTTCGAAAACATTTTTGGGTCGGAACCAAGTGCCATTTTGTGCAGAAGTATTTAGTCAAGCTTGACTACCAAAAAGCAAAATTTCTTTACGAAATTGACATGAAAAACACTAAATCGTACCTTAACCCAAACTTTTAAGGTTACCAAAGGCAAGCTAAGTTAATTCGTTTAGGGTATTTATTTATGATAAACAATGTTTTGGGTCATATTAGGGTTTTATCGGAAATATTATTGGATATATCAAACATATAATTGGATTCAAACCATTACGCACAATCTACTCCACAGAAATTAAAATAAATTTATTTGAAACGTGACAATAAGACGATAACTTGATCCATCCATATATATCATCCATTCAATCCATCCATATATTTCCCATCTTTTATCATCCATTTAATTCATCTGTGTATTCCATCTGTGTTATCTGTGTAATCTATTTGCGTAATCCATCTGTATAATCCATCTGTATAATCCATCTGTGTAATCTATCTGTATAACCCATCTATGTAATCCATCTGTGTAATCCATCTGTGTAATCCATCTGTGTAATCCATCGGTATAATCCATCGGTATAATCCATCTGTTTAATCCATCTGTAAAATCCATATGTAAAATCCATATGTAAAATCCATATGTATATTCCATCTTAAAAATCCATCTGTATAATTCATATGTATAATCCATCTGTATAATCCTTATGTATAGTACATCTATTCAGTATAGTCCATCTGTAAAACCCATCTGTATAAGCACTCTGTTAATCTATAGTCCGTCTGTTGAAATATTTATCTGTAAAATCCATCTAATTATTCCATCTGTTAATCCAATCTCTATTCTATTCATCTGTATAATTGATCCGTTTAATCCACATTCAGTTTATAAGTTTATTTTCCCTGTCTCCCCATCATCATGCATTTAATACATATCACGTCTTTCAATCTATCAGGTACAATAATTTCAGTTCTTATTATCAATGGGGCTCGGCATTGATTTTCACGGAATGAGGGTTGATTAGGTTTTATTTATATTATCTAATCCATCTCTAGTCTATGCCTAAGAAAGTCTGAAAGTAGTGAATCATCTTGTCTGGGGAATATAATCTTCTTCTTAGTCTTGATATTGCTGAGGACAGAGTTTAGACTAGATAGGGTAGCATAGTCGCAGTAGCCTTCACTTGCAAGCTTCTCAGCTAACTCAACCTTAACAATCAATCATTCAGTAAAAAATATGCAATCAATCTTAATTAATCTATTAATCAATTAGTCATAACTAATCAATAAATCATTTTAAATCATGGTAAATTATATAAGCTCTCAATCAATCAATAATATCAGATCATATTTAAATAAATCAATCAATTAGTGAGTCTTTCAACATTCAATAATTCAAACTAAAATTAATCAAATAATTAACAACTTAGTTACTTGGTTCATTAATTAACTTATTAACATAATATTGTTAATTTTTTTTTTCATAATCTAATAATATTCAAATCTAGCTTCAGATCAATTAAACTCAATCAATCATATGTATTTAATTATGTTTTAACCTGATGGTTCCCCATTAATGAATCATTAACAACAGCGACCAAATCCTTCTTAAGCTCAAGAGCCTAAATTAGATAATTTGTTGACTCACAACTTTTATTCAAAAGTTGTATTTCCTACTTTGAAAAAAAACCTTGTTTATTTAGACTTGAGAAAAAAATTATTAAATTAACTTTTAATTCTTCGATATCATATAAAAAGCTAGAAATGAAGAGAGTCTAATGTAGTTTGAATTTGGACCAATTTTATTTGATCTTAATTAAGAAGACATTTTATAATATTTTCAAGGCATTTCAAAAAACAAAAAATAAAATGTAGAAGAGTGGAAATTCTAAAAAAAATTACGATCTAAGCCAAAAAGTGATTGCTTCGATATTTTTGAGAAAACTATTTACAATGATGAGGCCTAGGTGTCAGGACTGAGGAGAAGGTTACCTACCTCTAAACAAGTACCAGCCCCAGCATGAGATATTATCAAATCTGCTTTCATCATATCCGGCACTATACTGTCCTTGCACAGGGGTAAAACTCAGATAGAATACTTTTTTTCATAAATATCTACATTGCATTTAATTAACAAAATGAACTGGAAACTTGTCTCTCAAAAAATTTGTCAAAACTATTCAAACAAATATAAAAAATATCATCACCAAAGTGGCAATTTTGATAAACGTCAAATAAACATCTTTAAAGATTTAAGAGAAGGGGAAGCAACTAGCCAATTCAATTCAATTCAATTCAATTCGATTCGATTCGATTCGATTCGATTCGATTCGATTCGATTCGATTTAATTCAAGTCGCTAGGAAGGTGTCACTGTCCAATATCTCTTTGACCTATGGGGGGTATGCCATCAAAATCTCTTGTAATTCAAGGCTTTTCAGTCTAACGTCGGACACACGACCAAATTTGAGCCATGCCACAGGTCTAATTCCTAGTTGGCAAACAAGAGTATACAATTAGTTACAATAACAAAAAAATTTGCAATCCAGTAAAACAACTTTATTCTTATTTGTATCAATTTCATCAAATTTTCATATAATATGAGTATTTGTCCTGCCTTATAATCAAATGCTGTAGTTTTAAGGATACAAGATTCAACATTGCACTAGAACCAGAACTAAATTTATTTTCTTAAATCAAATTTAGTTTCACTTCATTGATAATTATTCCTAAATGTCTACTTTAAGGGACAGGGAGCATAATTTAATATTAAGTTTAAGTTACTCTCCCTCCATGCAAATGTTTTAAAGCCTGATTCAAAACTTTATCTTTAAAAGCTTTGTCTGATCAGGGATCAAGTATGAAATAGATATCAACCCTTATAATTTGGAAAATAGATCTTTTTCAATTGAAGACTCTTTCAAAAATAGCTTTCGCATTCCTACTCCAGGAAAAAAATATAGGAATTATTAGAGTTGAACACTTTTAAACTTCTACACTATTAATCAGATAAAGGTTTCAAGGGTATTGTTGTGAATCGAGCAATATTCCCATCTATGAATAAAGGGTCACTTGAAATTACGCTTACAAAACTAATAAATTGAAACAAAAACTATCTAATCTTTATCCAAACTTGTTAAGTTAGTAATTTGGTTGATTGATTGAATTATTGAATTAAACTTGTAAGTTCCCTGATGTCTTCCAGCTTGTATATTAATTGTGGAGTAGCCTTGGCTTTGTAAAGTTCTTTGTATTTCATCAGAACACATGGACTCCACCAGACCAACAAAATCTAAAGAATATTGGTATTTTATCAGAACACATGCACTCCACCAGACCAACAAAATCTAAACAATATTGGTATTTTATCAGAACACATGCACTCCACCAGACCAACAAAATCTAAACAATATTGGTATTTTATCAGAACACATGCACCAGACAAGCAAAATCTTTGTATTTTATCAGAACCTGAACACATACTTTGATTAAATAAAACTGAACAAACCAGAATATTTTGACAAATATAAGCAATAAATGTATGTTAAATTGTAAAATATGTTCAAATAGCAAAAGAGCAACAAATATCAAAAAAAGATTAGATAAATATTTTAGACGAAAATGTTTTTTAAATCTATATATGTTCTAACCTGTAGTCCCAACTGTAACAAAAACGCTCATTTTTCTGAAGTAAGATTTATGCTATAAATATCTGTTAAATTATTCAGTTCAGAGGGTTAATTTTACTAACAATAAGACGAGGCCAAAGCATATTTAAATATCTAAATAAAATAAATACGAACTGATCTTACTTCAAGGGATGTCAAAGTTTTGAATGATTCTTTTGTTAAAGATTGTCCTAAGTCAAGTAAAATAACATTTTAAAAAATTTTTTACTTTGATTAAGACAAAGAGGGTTGGAAGGCCATATAACTTGTGATGGAAATTATTTGTTTTCATTTCGCATTTTAACGGACATTTTGCCAAATTATCGATTGCGGTTGTTTCTTTAAACCACTGATCTAAGTGCATTTATTCTATTTATGTTTTAGGACTATAGAACTAACCCTTCGACTTGTTGCTTTACAAGCGCAAGCGCGATAGAAAACTGCCTCTATTTGTCTGAATGAAATTTGGAAAACAAAGAAGTTAACAACAATATTTCTTAGATGATAATAGTATAATAAAAATGTCAACCACTATGCATGAAGATTCAATAATTATGTTTTGAATTATGTAAAAGAGTATTCTTTAGAAAAAGGATCATTCACAATAATATCGTTGACAATCCCTTAAACAAAATCTTATTTGTGTTTAGGCTGGTAATTATGCGGATCATAAAACTGGAATCGAAATTCCATTTTTTGGCTGCTTTAGTACAGTTAGAGGAAATATAAATCAATAAAAAAAACTATCACAGTCGTATGGTGAGATTTTCGATAAAATTAGGTATATAATGAACATATAAGAACGGTGGGTAAAAAATAATTCTGAAAGTCTTCCATAGTTAACATAAAAATTGGATTTCAGAAAATAAACTTTACTATAAGAAGCATTATTTGTTTGTTTTGACACACACGGTACATATTATTGATATAATGTTTTTTGTAAGTATTGCTAACACTTTTTTAAATTGTTTAATATTTTGGAATACAAGGTTTATTCATTTTTGGGGAAAAAGGGTGATGGATCAAAGAGCGTTTCGTTACTTTGTTAGCGGGGTAACGGTTTACTTGGAATCGGTACAATAACCTTGGTACTTCAAAAACAGCATGTGGATTTTCTTTTGAGAAAATTCAAGAGTTTGTTTTTANATAATTTTATAAAAATAAAAAAGCTCATTTTATAAAATCTGATTTTTATTAATTTATTCACTAATTGTAAAATAAGTTAAACCCCCACTTCTTATTTATTTGCAAGCGTTTATGAAAATGAGGGGGGATACTATGGGAAATATACATCTCCATATTTAAAATTGTTAATATTTAATACAAAATTTGTCATAAGTTTTCATTTAATTGCTTCAAGATTATATAAGAGGTGAATATTTAGTAATCCTCAGGTTCTATATCTGTATTTGATGGAGCTGTTTTCAGTCTAATCATATGCTCCCTGTATCCTGGATCCAGGCCCTGTACACAGTTAACAGATTTATCATCAGTTTCCTTTTTTTTACATTTTAGAAACTAAGAATTGAAAATATAGAATATCAAATCAAAAGAAGATGAGAAATGAAGATGAATTGACGAATTAATATTTCACTTCATTTTCTAATAAAAATGACAATGAATTATGGAAATAATGAATAAATGATTGAGTGCAGGTAAAGAGAAATGAATGAAGGATGAACGGCTGAAAGGAATAAATGTAGTATTGCATTTAAGGATGAAAGGATGATTGAAATGGATGAATGAATGTATTTAAGGATGAAAGGATGATTGAAATGGATGAATGAATGTATTTATGGATGATGAAAGAATGTATTTAAGAATGAATAAAACTGTTCCCTGCATTGTAAGAAATCTCTTCTCCATCAACTGCAGAGCAAACGTATACAACTCGTGATCTAAACTATTCAAATTCCGTATTCGGTTCAATGTCTCCTTCGTTAAACTCTCCGCCGCGTCCTCCGAATGGGTGTTATTGAACTGTCCTAATATGGTGTTGAACCTGAGGTTGAATGTAGCCTCGAACAGATACTGTGATGTCCTCTGTTCCTCTGTAACACCAAAGTACGCCATTTTCTCCAGGTTTGCTTTAGCAGAGGAGAGAAGTATTCTATCCCTGGTCTCAGGAGACATTCTAGAACTGTTGTAGCAATTCACTAGTTCTAAAATAAATTTACAAAAACCGTACAAATCAAGTGAAAATTTCAAAAATTACTTAAATCGTTTATTTTGAATGGCAAAAGTTATAAAGTTTTCTGCAATGAATGCCAGGATTGTCAAAATTAGCATTAAATGTTCACGTAACAATAACATGTGAAAATTAACCTTTTGAATTCTAATACTACTGCATTAATAAATGGAAGGGGCAGTTTTTTTTTAGGGGGGAGGGGGGCAATTAACTAGAAAATCACCCCCCCCCCCCCTGAACCTATCTTGTCTTAGCTCTAGACCTACCTAGATCAGCCAGCATCCTTGTCTGTCTATTGACCGCAAAATTATGTTTACAGGATATAAAGCTCTCAAGGTCAACATAGGACCAATCCTCACCCTAAATAAAACCAGTTTTATATACAGATATTTTTCCAGAAATACAATAGAAGTACAAGGAAATTTTAAAGAAAATTAAGAACAATTTGGTGGAATTTCTTGGGAATTCTCTAAAATAATTTTCAAGGAATATTTTGGAGAATTTCTCACGAACAATTCAGAAGCTTAAATTTATTTTTCTATATCTCGTTATACAAAGTTTTTAATTTACAACTTTGTTTGCAATATTAAGCACATTTAGAAACAAAAAAATATTTAAAATCCTTTTTTTGTTCTCTGTATAATTACCTCGTAACATTTTGGAAGTTTCTTGTACCAGCTTATTCCCCCGCACATATATGTTGAAGTCTTCCATGTAGCACCTCTCTGTACATGCCTACAGTACGTTATAGTAGGATTCATGTGTGCGGAAAACGGCGTAAATTTTTTCCAGAATTCCACTATTATTATTTTTAGTTGGGGGGTAGGGAGGTTTAAAAACATCATTGTTTTGTAATTTGTCCCTCTTAAAGTTTTAACAAAATACAATTAATTAATTAATTTCAACAGTTTTTCTAAAATTTGGCTTGTCAGTCTGTTTATATTTTGGTTTGTATCCAATGAACGTCAAAACTAGCGTGCCCAATTTATAAATCCGGCTTTCCACAAATAACTCTCAGGCTAATGGTCAGGTTCTCTATGGTGCCAGTTTTCACAGGATGTTTTTTTTGAGATCATTGGGAAGTGGTCGTGCAAGGCCCGTGCAGATCGCAAAAAAGTCTACATAGCTCAAAAAAAGTCTACATAGCTCAAAAAAAATATTTCTTTAACTCATCATGTCATATATCATTTTCTATGTAATTGTCTAAAAAGATTACTTGAATGAGTTAGACCAAAAAATACGTCAAAAATGCTAGTTTTAAAGAAAAGTACATTTTTTTTGGAGGTTTTTTAACCTAACGCAGTCAATTATGGAAATTTTCCAATTACGATGAAAATGATATATGATATGATAAATTCGAGAAATTTTTGTTTGAGCTATGTAGACATTTTTGCGATCTGTACAAACACTTCCCATAGGCTTAAAAAAAATATCCTGTGAAAACTGACACCGTAGAGAACAATATTAGGTTGAGAGTTATTTCTGAGACAATATTTCTATATTTTGTTGCAAAATGGGGCACCCTAGTCAAAACGGCTGAACCAATCTGGCCGTTCTTTTTTGACAACTCCCATGAAAACAAGTTAATGGCTGGTTCAAATTGAAATAGTTTTATTTTATTTTTTATTTTAGGAGCCAATTTCGAAGAAAAATGGCGGCTTGAAATCCAACATTTTAACGCTAAAACTGTCTGTAGGAGAAGGGCGCGAGAAGTTTTATTTTTTTAATCCCATTTAAAGAATTCATTAGATGCAATAATTAATTAAAAGAGTAAATGTTTTATTCCAAGAGGGTGTGGGGTAATAACTTTTTAGGAAAATACTTATTCTTTATAAATATCCCAAGGACAGTGTACTTACTTAAATTCACTAATAAATCTAGCTGTTGGTTCACGTAGAAAAGTGATGTAAAAATATCTTCTTGAAGCTTCATTGCCCTCCAACCCCTAAAATGTTATAATTATCAAAAAAAACATTTTGATGCAAATTATAGAAAAAAAAACTCATCCCCTTGTTGGAATATACTTAACTTTCTTAAAAGGAGGCCCGAAAAAAATATAGCTCAGTCCAGAACATGATTTAAACTTTCCATCCTCTACTGTACCTTGAGATAGTGGTCCACACAGGAAGTAAGCTCGGTCCAATCCGGATGTAGTCCACACTTCCATCCTGTACTTTACCTTGAGATAGTGGCCCATACAGGAAGTAAGCTCGGTCCAGTCCGGATGTGGTCCACACTTCCATCCTTTACTATACCTGGAGATAGGGATCCACACAGGAAGTAAGCTCGGTCCAGTCTGGATGTAGTCCACACTTCCTTCCTTTACTATACCTGGAGATAGGGATCCACACAGGAAGTAAGCTCGGTCCAGTCCGGATGTAGTTCACACTTCCATCCTTTACTATACCTGGAGGTAGTGGTCCACACAGGAAGTAAGCTCGGTCCAGTCCGGATGTAGTCCACACTTCCATCCTGTACTATACCTTGAAAACAACCAATGCTTCTTACCTAAACATTAAATTAAACTGAAGGATACGTAAATGTTCATTACACATGGGAATTTTGTTCAGAGGAAAATAAAAAATAAAATTAATAATAAATTAATAAAAAAGATAATTAATATAATAATTAATATTTTTACAATATTAGCTGAAGTGCCCGGCGTTACCTATGAAATTTTTAAAAAATTGAAAAAAATGTTTATGAAAAAAATTTTTAATTTTTTGACCTCTGGGATACCCATGGGTTCCCTCAAACAATCTCAGCCTATTTGGTTCAGTAATTTAGGCAGCTATAACAAGCATATAAATATAATATAGAGCTTTAATATTTAGATTTGATAAAACATTTATGCCCCCAAAGCTTAAGTGAAGGCTTAAAAATACAAATAGATAACAAATGAATTTATTTTTCTAGCAAAAATCGAAGCTCTTAGCAGAAAAAAACGCAATATATGAATATTTCAAGGAGCTAACCTTTCCCAGGTCTAAAACAATTGCATCTTAACTTCTTCTTCTTTTTCCCCAATATTGATCCTTTGGAGCACTCACATTCTCTCTCCAGTTCGAGATCCTCAACTGCAGAGATAAATTGATTAATTGATCATTTGGTTGTATTAGTCATTCAACTGTTTTAATTGATTTATTGTTTCAAACATTGATTGATTCATTCATTAACAGTTTTTGTTTCATTCATTAATCATTCAATTTATTAATTGGTTTCTACATTGATTGTTTAATAAACTAATTGATTGATGGTTTCATTCTTTAATTTATAGTTTATTCATTAATTGATAGTTTCAGTCATTAATTAATAGTTTCATTCATTAATTGATTTATAGTTTCATTACCTTATTGATCTTTTTATTCATTAATTAATTTTATCATTCATTAATTGAATTGATTGTTTCATTCAAAAACTGGTATATTGACTCGTTCATTCATGAAATAAATGTTGTTGACATGTTAAAAATGAAGATGGACTGTAAACATATTCAAAAATTCTTTCAGTGCTAAGGATCCGGATTCACGGCGTCCACGAAATTTCGAGTTTGTAATTACTGATCCATAGAATCCGCAATAACTTGGCTTCCTCCTGATCCTAAGCCACAATACTATGCGGATTAAAGTTCAACCATAATTTACAAATTTGTATTAAGCCTCGGATTGTAACTAATGATGAAATCCACGACCCTTGATCTATCATTGTCCAATTTAATAAAAATCTATAGAATTTCACTTCGTAAAAATCTTTTTTGTTAAAACTTAAATAGCATACCTAGATGCTTGCCAAAGGCAGTTCCCCCAGTTTTCTGCATGTGCAGGAAAACCATGACATCTGACCCTTTTATGTCAAACTCGAAATTTTCCTAAAAAAAAACGCCAGTTCTGGTGTTTGTAAATGGTTCTTTTGTTCCTCTTGGTCCTTAAATATTCTTAATATCACATCTAAACAAATCTGGTGCAAAAATAGATGCCAACCCTAATTCTCCAGAAGAGAAAAAAAATAATCATGATTTGCACTTTTTGTTAATCTTTTAAAAACCACATTTGAACTTCAAGGGGGGGGGAAATGTCACTTTGAATAACACCAAATTGTTCTTCATACAAAAAAAAATTATTTCATCTTTCTCCCCAATCCCAAAAAAAGCAAGCATACTAAACGAGGAAGCATGGAAGACAAAGTGATCTTTAAAAATTACCTGAATTAGTTCATTAAATGTGACCATATTGGTTGGTTTACTAATAATTTGTTCGATTGGAACTATACGAAGGCTTGAATCTAGTTCCCACCTAAAAATATAATCTTTGTAAATATTTTTTGTTCAAAACATGTATATATTTTGAAATTCTGCAATAAATAAACCGATAAGGTTGAAGGAGTTTATAATCTTTTTTTTTAAGAATTAACTTACTATCTATCTTCACGTTTCTTACAATACTTTATCTTACTTTATATGTCTTAATGAAATAAAACCACAAACTATTTCAGAACTGGATGATTGAGAAATTTCGAAATATGCCACAAATTGAATGTAATACTAACCAATAATAGATAACTATGAAGATGCATATAAGAATGAGTAGAAAGATGTATGCAGCTCCACGTTTGTTAAATCTTTTTCGAATCCAACTTTTATCAAACGGAGGACGTCCATTACTCCGTCCGGTCCTATTCCATCTGGAAAGAGAAAAAATTATGAATTCTATCAAATTAACAAACGTTTCTTTCATTTAAAATGTATCCAGATTCAACATAGAGTTCAGCGTTTTTTTGTTTTTGTAAGAATCATCTCAACCTTTTTACATCAAACGTATAAAAAGGATTTTCATGATTTTTATAAAACTACGACATTTATTGAATAAGTATTTGTCGTTTCTTTTGTTTGAATAAAGACGAAGGAAAATATTCTGAATTTTTCAAAGAAAATCAACTACACACTTGGTCTTCTTCCTGAAGTTGTGTTCTTAATCCCAACATAGCAAAAAAAAACAGAAATATAACTCCTTACGTAAACCTCCCAAAAGAAGTCTACATGTACGAAAGTTTCAAAAAGAGGGATAAAAGATTTTTCAAGATAATATACAGTATACACCACCAACTGAAAATATACAGTATACACCACTACTGTAAATATACAGTATACACCACCAACTGAAAATATACAGTATACACCACCAACTGTAAATATACAGTATACACCACCTGCTGAAAATATACAGTATACACCACTTACTGAAAATATACAGTATACACCACCAACTGAAAATATACAGTATACACCACTTACTGAAAATATACAGTATACACCACCAACTGAAAATATACAGTATACGCCACTTACTGAAAATATAAAGTAAACACCACCTACTGAAAAATAGCTGACCTATTTGATTGAGTATGGAGGAGAGGATGACTAGTTTCACAGCCTATAATAGCTGCGGCAAGGACAGACTAGGAGGCCGAGTGCCGGCGCTAAAACAAGCAACGCTGAGTGTCGTGGCTAGGACATTGTATGAGTCGCGTACTGCGGCCCCATGTTATGATTAAATTCACAAAATCAACTTGGGAAAGTGCAGGCAAATTATTGCTTAATACCTCTTAAAAGTTGTTACTGATTAAAAATTATAATTCATGATATGTTGGAAAAAAAACTTTGAGAATTGGAAAAAGTTTAAAATCGGTTTATTAAAAAAAACTCACCTAAATCCGACCGATAATCGTCCATTGCATGAATTGTTTTTAATGGATAAATATTTTTTTAATTAATCTGTATGAACATGTTGTTTTTGTGAAGTGAAATAAAACGAGCATTAAATTTCTAACATTTAATTCTTTGTATATTATCTGATTTCGTGTTGATAATCGCAAAATTTGTGAGGAATTATTACGATCATTGTTTCTCATTAATTGGACGAAATAAAATAGATAGATGCGCTAAAATGCCGCGAAAACTTATTTTATCCTCTTTATCGTCTTCGTTTAAATGTCAAAAAAAATCTTAAAAAGTTAAACATAAAAGTTTATTAATTATTTTTTGCTACTCTAAAATTTCCTTTTTTTTGTTTTTTTTTCATCTTAAATCGAAAATTTTTATCGATCTTCTATGTTCTCTACGTAGAACTTTTAATTTGTTGTAAGACATTGGACGCTGCGTGGAGACTGGAATATTTCTACCTTTATTCTTCAACGCCGATAAATATCGTTAGTGCGCATGACAAATTTATGAGTCAGGGCCGGCTGCGGGCTGATAAATATTTCGTCGCCATTTTGAAAACAAACAGTGGATTAAGCACATCACATTTTTATTCGTACAGTATTGTGCCAAGGTGGAAGGTTTTAAAGTGGAAAAATATTGAGTTATATTACAATACTTTCTGGGCCGAGCTCTGCGGCTAGGATGAGCTAGAGGGCCGAGCGCTGCGGCCACGGGTTAGGTTAGTTAAGACACTTTCTGGGCCGAGCGCTGCGACTAGGAGTGCTCGGCCTCCTAGCCTGACCTAGCTTTAACTGTAGCGCTCGGCCCAGAAAGTGGCTTTACCTAATCTAATCCTTAATATATACTAAATTAGTTGATAATTGTTGAATATTAAGGGCTAACCTGGCAGCTGGGTTCGGCACAGAAATTTACCAAAGCTAATTCCGAAATAAAACAAAAAATTATGTTTTATTGAAAATAGTTGAAATCTAGGTCATGTATTAAATTGATAGGAGGGGGGTCCAAAACTTGTAACTTTAGTTAATTCAATAATAATCAACTTAAACTTCACTCATTCCTTCTTATACAAACGGCTAAAAAAAAGAAATGGAACACGGCTTGAAAATTTGATTCGATACATTGCAAACCTTTCTCCAGTCTTTAAAGTAGTGTTAAAGCTTCAAATTAAAATGAAAGAGAGTTCTAACTTTTCTAATTTTCATATTTTTCAGAAATCAGAAATGAACCGAGACAGATCACCCCGTAGAGATAGACGAAGTGGAGGAGGAGGGGGGAGTAGTGGAACCCTACGGAAAGGTCCAGCTGACAGGAGAGTCTTCCTCAACAATCTACCGTTCGAGGCCAAGTGGCAAGATCTGAAGGATCTCTTCAGGAAGGAGGTTGGCGAGGTCGCCTTTGTCGAGTTGTTTGAGGTAATAACTTAAAGGATATGGAGTGGCAGGTCGGATTCACAACGGCATTAGCTTTACATGATCAAGAACTAATGAGGTTTTGAACTGTTTTACTTTATAGAAATACGCCCGTTCTTGTCTTAATATTATCAGACAATACGCCCGTACTTGTCTTAATATTATCAGACAATACGCCCGTTCTTGTCTTAATATTATCAGACAATACGTCCGTACTTGTCTTAATATTATCAGACAATACGCCCGTACTTGTCTTAATATTATCAGACAATACGCCCGTACTTGTCTTAATATTATCAGACAATACGCCCGTACTTGTCTTAATATTATCAGACAATACGTCCGTACTTGTCTTAATATTATCAGACAATACGCCCGTACTTGTCTTAATATTATCAGACAATACGCCCGTACTTGTCTTAATATTACCAGACAATATGCCCGTACTTGTCGTAATATTATCAGACAAAGGTTCAACGGATAACTTTTTCAATTAGGCTTAATCTTCTTTAATCACTTGAAGGTACAAGTCGACAGTCCCTTCTAAGGAATAAGTTATGAATTATCTTTAAAAGCTTTCGGGACTATACAATGTCCTAAACCTTCTCTTTTACTACTAAATTCATATTTGTCGGGCAACACTAAGATAAGATTTCAATGAAGTAACTTCATTTTTATTTTGTTGTATTTATGAATGCAAGGAAATTTGAGCAAATAAAAGTAAAACCGTCATAAATATTATCGTAACTTTCACTAATGTACACTTTTAAACCGATATTTCATTAATTGCAAACAATTAATAACAATTTATTACCTGTCCAAAATTTATTACCCTTCCCCAATCAAGAGATTAAAGTTGTTTCAGTCGTTCAAAAAGTTTTTTCAGTCGTTCAAAAAGTTTTTTCTTTAACTAATAAAAAGAGGTAAAAACCGTAATTCCTCTTTTGTCCGTGGATCATTTCCACCCTCTCATGGGGGTTATTGTCGATGCCCTCGGGATAAAATCAAAAATTGGATTTAAACTGTTAAGTTTGTCCAGTTTATCTCTGATAATTTTTATCCTAAAATTCATTATTTTTTCTAACACTGATTTTAATCCGTAATTTGACATAACTTAAGTTTTCTGACGTGAATATTTTGTTGGATAAATAGATTTATTTTGTAAAATAGGATCAAACTGGGAGACCAAGAGGTGCAGCTGTTATGGAGTTTGCTACTGCAGATCTTGCCAAGAAAGCTGTTGATAAAATGAATCGATTCGAATTTAAAGGTATGGTTTTTTGTTCAAATTAAGATAATTTTATCATTTAAACTTTAATTTTGTTGTTGGAACTCGAGTTTTTAAATTTGTTTGTTTGTGAAGATTCTTTCTTCCTTTTCAATATAAATTCTATTTTTTTTAATTATCAAATGAAAAATATAAAAAAAAGTTGTGAGGCTAAAATACTTGAGCAGACGAAAGAATGTGCTTGCATCAACTCCTGGAGACGCTGCATTTTTGGGTTTCACGTTGTTTTAGTTTTATTTCTTGATACGGGGTAAACTTGGAAAGGTCTGGAACAACAGTTGAAATTTTCGAAACTGAAGGGGTTCGATGCACGGATTGTTAAAAGTTGGTTTTACTATGATGGATTAATAGAAAATCAGAGATATTTGTTCCAAAACTTGGTGCCTGGAGTGGTTTGATAATTTTTTAAGTCATTTCTTGTTAAGTATGATCTATCACTTAAATGGCTTTAGTGTTCCTTTAGGTTTTATTTTGCTGGACAATGTCGTAGGTTAAGGAATTGATGCCCTGGATTCAATTTACATTCCTGGTTTTTTTTCTATGTTTGTGTTAATTGAATCGCAGGTGGTCTGTGGAGCTGATGGATACTCGGCTTCTAAGTATTTTTAGGTAGAACCGTTGGAAACCCGCCTTAGCAGTTCTGATGACTACTTCCAAACATATATTTTAAGGTCGTAAAATAGTGGTCAAGGAAGATTTCGACGTGGACCGCGACAAGTTCGGGAGGATCATCACGGACAAGGACAGGGAGAGGATGAGGCCCAGGGAGAGGTCCCCTGGAGGGCCGGTCAACTATGGAAATACATACGGTTTATCCGTCAGATTTCTAGAAAATCTTGGAATTGACTGTCCCCTGCACACCAGAGTTTTCGTTGCTAATCTAGCGTATGATGTAAGTTTTCAATTCTTTGTCTTATTCCAGTTTGAAATTTTAGTTCTTGCACTCAAAAGATTTCAGCTGCGCCTTTGTTATCAGTTGTCTTTAATTGTTTAAAAGTCATTTATTGCGACACTCCTGCTTTTTCCAGAACTTTGGAGTTTCATCTTTAAAACTTTTATCGTAGTTGTCCAAACTGTGACGTCAAAAAATAAAAGCTTGAGTATGCTGAGCACGGAATTTTCTAATTTTGATTTCTAAAGCGAAGTGCTTTGTTTGTAAGTATTTTTTATCGATGGTGGATGATTCAGGATCATGGAAAGTTCACATTGATGTTGGACCGTATTTAATTATTCAAGCTGAATTTCTTTAGCAATTTAAAACTAAAAATTGGTTCGTCATAATCATTCCAACATGGTTTATCTTGTAAGATAAAATGATTTTTCCTTTTAGTTTATTGTGTGGACAATTCACCCAGAACTTATGTTGGCTACACTAATAGATAATAAGCGAACATTCTTAGCTCAAGGAGGAAAATTCTAATATTTGAACTGTAAAGTGTAAAGGCTGGGTTAGGCTATGTGTTTTTCCTAAATGCAGCCAGGCGCACGTAACACTCTAAATACACCTGTTCAGTTTGTTTCTTTGGAAAATACTCTAGTTTCTGCATTTATTATTCGTGCTCCAATAGATAATAACCACATCTGAGATAAGTCCACCTTCACTGTTGTGAAGGAGAACAAAACTAAAAAGTTAATTTTCCACTGTGACCTCAATCTCAGTACATAAATTGTATGGTAATCCATTTGCGGCATGGGTTATCAAAGATAAGGGTCGGGCCGGGGCTGTCAGATCTGGCACAGGAGTTGGTTCAAACTTCCTGTAGTGGTTATATTTGGAAATCACAAGTTTAGGATCAGATATAGAGGCAAATCAGAGCAACCAAGATCTTGATGAGCTTGAATTTTCCGATGGATTTAGGTTTGTGTTGGTAGACATGGAAAGGAGTGACTAATTTTAAAAGAACAAATTTTCCCTAATTGGCTTGGCTATTCCACACCTAGAACACATCTTCATAGGATGTTCGCTTGTTATCTATTTATAAAACGGCTGAGACATCGTGCATCTTTGTTGATTCTAGAAATTAGGGATATGGTCATTTCACGCTGTGCCATTTTTTGAAGACACGCGTTTTCACTTTTTAATCAGCTGTAACGGTTGGTGTTTTTCGCCCATTCTGGGGCCTCAAGTTTGGCAAGCTGTATTAATCAAATTTTCTTAAATTATACTTTTTTTTACTTCTGCTATAACATAATTATTAAGGTTGATGAACGCAAACTAAAGGAGATATTTCGACTTGCCGGCCGTGTTAACGGTATTGAATTAACGCGGGACAAAGAGGGTAAATCCCGTGGATTTGCTGTAGTTGTATACGACCATCCAGTTGAAGCAGTTCAGGCTATATCCATGTTCCACGACCAACAGCTCAATGACAGACGAATGACCGTGAGGTTTGACAAGGTTCCTGAGGAGGAGCCTCCTCGCAATCTAAACCGTCTCCCAGACGGTCTGCGAGGAATAGGGATGGGTCTTGGACAAGATGGTACTCCTCTATGGGACGTGAGAAACAATCTACCTCAGTCCTCGAACGAGGGTAATACACTAGGTCTGGGTAACCTAGCTACAAGTATGAGTATGCAGCAGCCTGCTGCTGCAGCTGGAACCGGTGCTGCTCTCCAAGCTGCTCTTGCAACCATCATGGGAATGGCGGGAGCAGCAAATCCTTCAAATATTGGAATGGGAGCAGGAATGGAGACAGGACTTCTCGGCAGTGGAATGGGAAACGGTGGATCTGGAATGAGTATGGGAATAGAGAGATCTGGAAGAGATTTGGACAGAAGCATGGGATCATTAAACTCCAGTCTAGATCTTGGACGTGGAATGGGAGGTATGGATATGTCAATGGGTGCAATGGACAGAGGTATCGGAGGTATGGATCGTGGAATGGGACTTTTGGATCGAGGAATGGGAGGAATAGATAGGGGAATGGGTGGAATAGATAGGGGAATGGGTGGAATGGATCGTGGCATGAGCTCAATGGATCGAGGAATGGGAGGCATGGATCGTGGTATGAGAGGAATGGGGGGTATGGATCATAGTATGAGTGGAATGGACCGAGGCATGGGAGGCATGGATCGCGGTATGGATCGTGGTATGGGAGGCATGGAGCGATCATCCCGAGGTATGGATCGAGGTATGTCCATGAGTGGAGGTAAGAAGAGTGACAAGATTGTGGTGAAAAACCTACCGATGGAAATCACATGGCAGGTGCTCAAGGACAGATTCGGACATGCAGGGGACATAAAGTTCGCGGAGATCAGGGAGAGTGGAGTTGGCGTTATCAGGTAAATAAAAAATGTTGCTCAATTTAGCCTTTTGATGAAACCACAAATAATAATATCCCCAGAGCTCGAAAACTTTTCTTGCTCGAACCAAGAAAAAAATTATTCCTAAGTTAAGTCTTAAAAAATTTCGAATTTTTTTAAAATAAAATATTTCCCTAGATTTAATAAATTGCACTAGAAGTAATCTTGCGCTTTTTCCATTTTGAGACAATTTTTTCAAATCAGATATGAATCCGTATTTTGTGCTTGTAAAGAGTATATGTTAAAATATAAACATATTGTGATTTTTTTATGGATATTTTGAATGTTAGACCTAGGGCCAAAATTAATAAATGGCGATAGTTGATTGAATAATTTCTTTTTAACTTGAACTGGTGAACTCTAATTCATGGCACTTGGAATTTTCTTCCTTGGTTTATAACCCAAAAAATATGTTTGCGCGATACCATTGCTAGTCATTTTAAACCAATAACGAATTTGATAGAATTTTGTTCATTTTTTATAATTTTTGTCAGGTTTGGATCTGAAAGGGATGCTGAGAGAGCAGTTTCTATGATGGATGGACAGAGGTTGGACGGCAGGAATATAATGGTATCCCTCCTCTAAACTATCCAGTATCCAGCCCACCATTCAATCTGTCAATTTAATGTAAGTTTCCACAAACCTGTCTGCTGTCCTACTTCCTACTGTAAACTTGATCAATCTGACAACATCTGTTTAAGCATCATGAAACAATAAACAATTTTTTTAATGTAAAAATGTAGTAATATCTTGAAAAGTAGCATGAAAATAGGTTATTTATTGTTACTTAAAGGGACTTAAAGGTTTATTTCAAATGATCCTTTATGCAAAGATGGCAATGCACGATTCAGAATGCTACCCTTAAAAACTTAGTTTGATCAATTATGAAGTCGCTGTCACTATAATTTTATTCGTGGTTTCTCTACACACGTGACATGTTAGAGTTCACTTTTTAAACCTATAAATCGACAATATCTTCCACATTATTGATCAGATAAAGGTTTTAAAGAACCGTTGTGAATCGGGTATTGCCAACTTTACATGAAGGGTCGCTTAAGATTACACTTACAGTCCCTTTAACCCTTACTCCAATATTTTAAATTTCACCTAAAGCTTCGAATAGACACTTTCTCTGTCTCCTAATTTACCTAAATTTTCAAACATAACATTCGATTGTTCAATTTTTGCATTTGTACATGATCACAAGGTATAAACAAAATTAAGTTGATATGATTATTCCATAGGCTCTGACAACGGGGCGTGCTTTATTATGACCCTGGGTAGTTGGTAAATCTCCCAGCCATTTCATCAGAAAATCAGAAAATTTGACTTCTCAAAACATATTGGTTAATTTATAAGCCTTTTCTCAAAAATCTGACATGATTACACTTACAGTCATATCTCTAGATCCCAGAAAGTTATAGACAAGAAAAAATAGTTTTAGAATTCTTCAGTCAAAGCGGAGATACTCAGTTTCGTAGCTCTTGTATGTGTTATGAATACTGGGGTTGGAGGTGTTACAAAAATCTAAACTAATCTTCACTTTGACCAAAGAATTATTAAAAAATATTTGTCTCGTCTTTAGCTTGCCGGGATCAGGAGATATGACGTACTATGATAAGCAGGGAAGATTTTCAAGCAATCAAACAATAATATTTTCAAGCAATCAAACAATAATGCTTGATTTAGTGAGATAACTGGGGAGTTCCCTAGGCCCCCCCCATCTTCCCGTTGACATAACCTAAGGAATATTTATTTTAACTTAAATTAAATCCTTGTGATTATAAAACTTTACAGTTCTTGTTTGTTTTGTTGAAATACATCATATTTGTAACATATATTGTTCTTGTCAGAAGTGTAAAAAAAAAGAGGGGGAAAATCATTTAAGTAAATCATAACAACATCTGTTCATTAAAAGCTGTTTTATCTTTACTTTACTTCATTTTAAAGATTCAAAACGGAAAATCATGTTATTGATTAAAGTGTTGGTATGATGCAGGGTTCCACACAAAGAATGAGACATAGGACTGCCTAAACTCAAGATAAAGGAATTGATAGATTGAACTTTTTACCTTTAATAAATTTTATTATGGTAAATGAAATGGCTTAGTAGAAAACATGCAGAGAACCTAAAATGTAAGATGAAAGATTTTATGAAGAAAAAAAATTTCAGACTCTTATCCTTAGTTTATGACCTTGTAGGGCGTAACGTAAGACAACTGATTGAAATAATTGATTGAACTATTTTATATCTTTATATTTCTAAAATCATCCTGTCTGCATGTAAATTCTTTTGAATACATAATTTCTATTTTATACAAAAATATATGTACAGGGTTAATCAAGGAACAGGTCGAAGTGATATTCAGCTTGAAGAGGAGCATGGACGATTCAGAATGGTACCCTTTAAACTATGTTGATGAAATTATCTTTGTTTTCTCTCTAAAAGTTGATCCTTTCTATTGCGGGTTCTCTACAAAAGTGATATGCGAATTGTATGCCGCTGATAAAGAATAATTTACAGAATTCTAAACTTTTTAATTTGTGAAAACTATAATATTATTGTATAGATTTCAAGGTAAGAAATAAGTGTTAAAATTACGTCTACTTATTTCTACCATCATTTTGCAAATTTTCGCGTCAAATTAGATAACATAGAAGCATGTTTTTTTGGTGTCCCGGCGCATTCGCTGAATACCCCTACATTATGGTGACACATGAAGGGAAAGTCAAAAAATCAAAAGGTGCTTATAGTTTCTATAGGTGAGTCAACCCTTAGTATTGAAATGCAAATACATTGTTTGTTCAAACTTAATGAACTTTGGTGGAATGAGTTTTGGGATAGGGGGGCAATTCGACACTTTGTGACACAAAATTTTAAACAGGCTGCATTCAATAAAAAATTGAGATAAAAGGCTTAAATTTTGCATACTGCAGCTAGGGGCGTATTCAGGAATTTGTCCAGGAGGGGGGCTTAATTTTTTTATCTTTCCAGGGTGGGCTCAGCACCCGTTGGGGCCTGAAAACCCCCTGTAATCAATAGATCTCACTCCCCCTGAATACGCCCTTGACTGCAGCAGCTAATTGTAGCCCTCTAAACGAATAGCAAAGAAGGAGTGGGGTCCAAAACTTGTAACTTTAGTTAATTCAATAATAATCAACTTAAACTTCACTCATTCCATCTTATACAAACGGCTAAAAAAAAAGAAATGGAACACGGCTTGAAAATTTGATTCGATACATTGCAAACCTTTCTCCAGTCTTTAAAGTAGTGTTAAAGCTTCAAATTAAAATGAAAGAGAGTTCTAACTTTTCTAATTTTCATATTTTTCAGAAATCAGAAATGAACCGAGACAGATCACCCCGTAGAGATAGACGAAGTGGAGGAGGAGGGGGGAGTAGTGGAACCCTACGGAAAGGTCCAGCTGACAGGAGAGTCTTCCTCAACAATCTACCGTTCGAGGCCAAGTGGCAAGATCTGAAGGATCTCTTCAGGAAGGAGGTTGGCGAGGTCGCCTTTGTCGAGTTGTTTGAGGTAATAACTTAAAGGATATGGAGTGGCAGGTCGGATTCACAACGGCATTAGCTTTACATGATCAAGAACTAATGAGGTTTTGAACTGTTTTACTTTATAGAAATACGCCCGTTCTTGTCTTAATATTATCAGACAATACGCCCGTACTTGTCTTAATATTATCAGACAATACGCCCGTAATACGCCCTTGACTGCAGCAGCTAATTGTAGCCCTCTAAACGAATAGCAAAGAAAATTTGGGATCGGGGTCATTGACCTCCATCCAAAATTAAGGTTTTGCCGATAAACTGAAAACGACTTCCACCTGATGCAACACTCCGATCAACCTAAAATTTTCACAAAATGCTCATACTGGGCCACATTACCCAAGAAATAATTTATTTTAACCCCCTTTGTGTGTCCCCCTACCTTATTAACACGTATGCACTGTACAATAAATCACACAAATGTGGTATTATAGGATTACATAATATTTGTTCAAATTTCTGAGCATTTTGACCTTTCTTTAAAAAATAGGTTGGATATATATTTCTTATAGTAAAATTGATTGGAAATCATCTTTTGCAATATTTTGGAACGGATCCTGGAATTCTAAATTTAAAAAATTGAAGCTGTAAGGTCAACCAAATTAAATAGTAGAAATGTCCAAACTGTTCTCTATATACTCTTTCTTCGTATTATTTCAGATTTAAGTGCTGTGAAGATCAAAGAGGTTTCTCAAAAACAAACATTCTCAACGAACTCCTGAAATGATTTGAAAATATATTGTCGATTGTTTTAATATAAACTACAGGATTACCTCCAAAGGATGAAACTTTTTTTGAATAACGAATGTAGCCCCCTTGCCGAGAAATTGTTTTTGTATTTTGATTGAACAATAAAGTGTTTTCGTAACCTAAAAAGGTCAAAAACCAGGTTCCCTCTGAGATTTTTTGAAATTCTCAAATTTAAATTTAAATGGGGGCAAAACATGATATTGATATTAAGGAAAACAAATATGATACTTTTCCTCAAAAAGGTTTTTTATAGTTTCTTGTGTGATCCGAAACTAGCAGATAAAAAATTGCGATAATTTTAAAAAACTTTTGACAAAATTTTGTTTGACACTAAGCTGTCTAGGTTCTATAACTTAAAGCAATTAATGCCTACGGTACAGGGTTTTCGGATTTTCGTCTGCTATGTTTACAATTTGTTTGTTCATGTTTTGACTGAATCTGTGTAAGAAAGTCCCGGGGAAAAAAACTTGGAAATAAAAACTTTAGAAAAAAAGTCCGAATTTTCTCAAGTCCTTGGAAAAATGTCACTGGAAATAAAGTACTGTGTTTTGGATACCTGGGACTTTTTTTCCTAAATTAGTAGGACTTTATTTCCTGAGACTTTTTAATGAAAGGACTTTTTAGTGTGAAATTTTAGGACTTTTTTCCGGAAACTTTTTTTCCAAGGACTTTTTTGGCGGTTACCGTTTTGACGGCATACGTTTGTACTTAATAAAACAAGAAAATTTCAGTATACAAACCGAGTAAACTTGTCCGTATTCACTGTTCATCTTGCGGAGATATTACAGACACATCTTTATAGCCATTTACCGTATTCATAAAATAAACTCTCGCAGACATTATAATATAATGGATTTTGAAATTAGGTATTACATTGCTAATTCATAACAAAGACGATAACGAATTCGTCATTGAATTCCCATGTTTATTGGGACACCCTGTACAATAAAGGTTCCTAAAGATTCTTTGAATTCTCTTCCATTACAACTTAAAATACAATTGGAAAATGTCACTCAGTTATCAGTTAAAAGGAAATATAGGAAACTTTTCTAAATTTTCTAATTTCTCTTCCCCATAGGCAATGGGGGAAAATTTTTTAATATTTTTGGGGGAAATCATTATTTTTTTCTTCCCTTAAGCAATTAGGGAAAGTAATAATATCACCATTAGAAATAACTGGAAAAAATATCTTTTGAATTTTCTTCCACAGACTCATAGAGTTAATACAATGATGTTTCTTCTTTTAATATTTTTTCTCTTTCCTCCATTTGTTCTCCTATCTTCCCCTTTTTTCTTTTTTCTCTCTTTCTCCTTAAATTTTCTTCCCCGGGATTAAATTTTCTTGGGTAAAAGTAAGAATATATTCTCTCTCCCCTGCAATTTTGAAGAGTAAGTTTTTGTCCTAATTATACAATTTTAACTGCATTTTACTGAATCTTAAAAAGGGGAACTGTAAATTTTATGAGGACTGTCTTTAAATGTCTTATTTAATGATTTGGCAAAAAAGAAACAAGTTCACAGTTGCAAAGAATCATGAATATAAATTCCGTACAGTCGTATCTGAAGTCTCATCCTTTGTTGTATAACCCATTAGTACGGTTAGTACCTAAATGTACGGGAAACTAACCTATTCTCCGTCATTGAGATACTTTTAGCAAATTGCTTCCTGTGATGTTTATGCTTCTTTTTTAACCTGAAAAATACATTTTTATTTATATTTGTACAAAATAAGATAAAAAGATTGGCTAAAAGTGACATTAACTTATGGAAAGGAATATTATTTTTCATATTAACATCCTATTGTTGCAAAGCATGTGAAGAAAAGTTAGTTTAATCAAAATACAAATAAAAATTTCGGAAGTACATTTGCTCAAGTTACAAAATAACAAGTCAAGTAACGTACAGGGTGTCCCAAAAAACATGGGAATTCAGTGACGAATTCGATATCGTCTTTGATATGAATTAGCATTGTAATACCTAATTTAAAACCCATATAATTATTATGTCTGCTAGAGTTTATTTTATGAAAAGGGTAAAAGACTGTAAAGATGTGTCTATAATGTCTCCACAAGATGAACAGTGAAGAAGGACAAGTTTACTCTGTTTGTATACTGCAATTTTCTTGTTTTACTAAGTACAACCGTATGCAGTCAAAACATAAACAAACAAAATGTGAACATAGCAGACGAAACTCTTACAGATTACAGCTTTCTCAGTAGGTATCACTATACTAAATCAAAGAATTATTTAAGAAGACGATATCGAATTCGTCACTGAATTCCCATGTTTTTTGGGACACCCTGTAGTATCATTTTTAAGATAATTTTTCTGGTCCATTTGCTTTTGCAACCTTTCGTCCAATATAGTTAATGTTTTAAATAGACCACATTTTGAAAGGTTGTTTCAATGAAAGTTGTAAAATTCTATATTTGCGATCGCAAAAAATGCCAAATGACATTTAATTTTCTGAAAAAAATCGATAGTCGTGTTTCCGTGTTCATTTTTGAATAGTTTTACACTTACAAACCTGTGAACAGTCTGCCGAACTTTAGTTTTATGATATGATTGGTTTGGAAGTGTCGAAGGGGGGACTGTAACCCAATCCTTGATATTTATCCTGTCAACCTCAGCATCTACCTCAAACATGTTCTGTAGAAAGGTTCCTTCAAGACCTTCATCTTCACGCTGAAAATAAAATATTTCGATGACTCAAAAACTGTTTATTTTTTATTTTTTCGACTAGATTGCTTTTTTGAATTTTTGGCCAATCTGTATTTTACTTTTATTGCACCTACAAAGTCAAAGAGTAGCATTATCAAGCAGGGAGATGCTTTGTTAAGTAGCAAAAAAAGAAAGTTTGCCAACCATGTGAGTAAAATTGTTAGAGTAACTAAGTCTCAGCATGTCATGGTTGAATCCAAATAAACTCAAGTCATAATACGATCTAAGGCCATCATTAATATGTAGGTGTAATTAGCCTTAAACACTTAGATCTATATAAAATACAAATAAGAAGATGAAGAAGGAAATATGGACACTCTTCTCTGTATTTATCTAATAGTCAAAGGTTTCATTATCAGGTTTCAAAGTTATATATAGGAATTAGAAATCATACTTTGAGGCAAGGGTTCTGGGCCTTAATGTGGGGGAAAATTGGTTTGAAAGCTCATTATCTGATAATACCTTAGCGATTCCCATTTTCTGTAGTTCGTTTAGAATAGTTTGATGATCTTCTTTAGAAAGGGTCTTGTAATAATTCCTTTAAATAAACTTTATCAGAATAAGCGCCAAAGATGTGGAAAATAAAAATAAAATAATAATATAACTAAGAAATAGAAGGAATTTTTTCATTTTTCTTAGAAACTTGTAAATGAATATTTTCCATATAATATCAGTTTTTGAAAGATCCCCCCACATATTTGCTTGCATGGCAAAATGGATCAACATTCTCCTTAACAATGAGAACTCACAAAAGTGTTAAATGCATCACAGCTTTACATTGTGAACTGAAGATAAAGAGAAGGTCAAATTTATGCGCCCTTACTTCTACACAAATAGATTATTAAGTACAATAGGTGGCAACAGAGAAATGGACAATTATAAAGGATGTCACAAAACAAGTGTTAGATATAACACATAGAAAACGAAATTTTCACACATTAGATGACATTTTTCCAAGATTAAACAAAAGTGTAAGAACAGAAAATAAAGAACACATAAAGTTTCACTTATTTTACTATAGATAAGCCCTTTATTCTAAAATTATCACTATTATCACTAATTTTGTCGGAAACAAAAACTGAATTGACACTTTTGACGTCAGAATACAGCTGTACTGAGAGTGTACAAATTCTACTTTGCCATGTATTGTACTGGAATCTATTTGCTTCTACCACTGTACGACCGCGTAGCTCCTCTAGTTTGGATTTTATGCACAAGTACATGGTTACATAATAGAAATTCAAAACAGTGTTTTTAATCTCCAGAGCTCTTCAAAACGAGGAGTTATGATTGAAAACATTTAAGATTTCAATTTTTGTACAATTTACTATAGTTTTATATATAATGGATTGAAACAATATGAAGTTAATATTATTCTACCTGTGAGCTTTCACGTCTTTTCTCCAAAAATCTGAAAACTTTTGGGGAATTTTCTCAGGAGTCACTTCCTATAACACATTAAACCAGTTCTAGGCCCAGCCCCAGGCGAAAAGTTTTTGTTTGATAGTTATTATGCTAAATATGGAAGATTTTTCTTTGCAATTTTGAACATTGTTTTTTTTTACCAGAAATCTTTACAATTCCGTTTTCTGAAAGAGGTAAAAAGTTATGAATTATTGCGTTTTTACATTTGCATAATATAAGAGTTACCCCATATCAAAAATTTAGACTGAAAATACGACTTTAAAAAGTTTTTTTTTATTGGTGTATTAATGGATTTGGTAAAAAAGAAGCAAGATAACATCAGCAGGAAACAAGTAACGTAAAAATGTCTATAAAGTCTCATCCTTTGTGGTTAACCTTGTTTAAAGAGGCAATACTGGCAATGTTTCCTTGACATGAAGAATAAAAACCCCAGTCACAATTATGAAGAGAATATTAGTCAGAGTCAGCGCTAAACTAGAACAGAAGAATATTAGCTTGTAAAATAAAAAAAATAGATAACCCGTATTTTGGTAAAGTTTTCTTTTATTAAATTTTACAATATTTTTATCTTAAAAAAGAAAAAAGATCATTTAGGTTCGATATTTTCAGGGTAAAATATTGGCATATATGTATTTTCAGGGTAAAATATTGGCATATATGTATTTTCAGGGTAAAATATTGGCATATATGTATTTTCAGGGTAAAATATTGGCATATATGTATTTTCAGGGTAAAATATTGGCATATATGTATTTTCAGGGTAAAATATTGGCATATATGTATGTGCATTGTGCATAGTGTGAGAAAAGAGAAAATATTCCAAAACATTTGATTTTCTTAAACATGCAGAATTTTTGACCCTCCAAGTAAATATTGGCAAAAACTAACCAACCTGTGCACATCAATACTTGGATGGAAACTGCACTATGTCTGTCCATGGTTTTATTAAAATCATTTCTTTTACTTTTTTATCTTCTTTAATTAGTTGTTCTTGAATGCTCTTTAAAAAAAACATGAGATCGAAATCATAAAAGCACTAAATATTCATCCAATCAAAACTTGAATATGACGCTCTCTTTACCCCATATTTAAATTCATTAACACTCCCTTTATTTTCCTAAACAGTATCACGGTACCTTGTTAGTCCGAGTAGAAATGCTTCTAAAGCTTGATTTTCTGAATATCTGAATTCATACAGTGATACTGTCAGGTTACTCACAGGATCAACAGCTGTTCCAAATCCATGGAACAATGGTCTGTTTCCATGGCCAACCTGACCTAAAATAATTTAAAGTGTTGTTATTGAATGAATTATATCACAATAATTATATCAAGTTCAACAATCATTTACACCATTAGGTTGCAAAGATACAAGAATAAGACAATTAGAGTTTGTTTTAAATTTTTGATAATTGCACTAGGATTTCATCTAAAGATTTTTACGGCGAAGTTTCAGATTTTAAAAAGGATAAGATAAGATACAGTTCATTGCTCAAAATAGACATAAAGGCCGCATAAAGGTTATAATGTTAACAAAAAAATGTGCAACTATTTTTATCTAGTTTACTATTTATATAATATGTAGATATTATAGCAATAAGGTGGAGATTAGATTTTGCTGTTTTGGGTATCACTATTATCCCTATAATTAACATTAAAATGTTTACAATATATAATAACTATTACTAGGTTTTGAAAGTTTACAATACGTCAAGGATTACTAGTTAAATGTATAGGGACCGAGGTGCAGCATAACAAAATAATTGATTTTTAAGTTTTCAAGTTAAGTACGTATAACAAAATAGGATTAAGCATGTACAAAAGTCTACCAACATTTATATTAATTTTTTGCAAGAATAGCAAAAGGGTTGCACTATGAAATTGTGATGTTTTTTCCTATAGTCTCTTTTTCAAACAGTATTTATACTAGCTGGGAGACAACTAACTATCTCTCCAACACTAGATATAGATACTTATTCAAATCCAAGGCTATAAGCTTAAACAATCATTCTTAGTGCTAAATGGAAGTTTTCACTTATTTTCTCTTTTTCATACAGTATTTATTCTAGCTGGGAGACAACTAACTATATCTCTCCAACACTAGATATAGATATTTATTCAAATCCAAGGCTATAAGCTTAAACAATCATTCTTAGTGCTAAATGGAAGTTTTCACTTATTTTCTCTTTTTCAAACAGTATTTATACTAGCTGGGAGACAACTAACTATATCTCTCCAACACTAGATATAGATATTTATTCAAATCCAAGGCTATAAGCTTAAACAATCATTCTTGGTGCTAAATGGAAGTTTTCACTTATTTTCTCTTTTTCAAATAGTATTTTATACTAGCTGGGAGACAACTAACTATCTCTCCAACACTAGATACTATTCAAGTCCAATCTATAAGCTTAAACAATCATTCTTAGTTTTAATAAATAGGTTTTTGCTAAATGGGTTTTTATTAATAATGTGAGTTATGAGTTACCAGAGCCGAGGCTCTGAACTTAACTGAAAATATTTCAATGTTTGTAGGCTTATATAGGCCTGAATGCTTATAACAGTTGGCAAATAAAATATAGTATAGTTGCGCAGTCGCATTTACTCATTTTTCTAAAAAAAAATCAAAAAAATCTATAGTTTAAAATATACAAATTTTGAAAAAAAATTATCAATTATGGGTGGGATATCAATCTAAATTTGTGTTAAAAGAAAATGTTTTAGCATGTTTTTAGCATTTTCTTTAAACATAAGGACTAAATTTATAGATTGCATGGTATTGACTTGGGATCATCTGCAGAAAAACCAAGTCCACTTTTACAGGTTTATGTAGGCATGCAGTAGATGTTGGAGTTTGTTGTTGTCGGGATTTTCCAAACAACATTTCTAATAAACCTGTTTTAGATATGCCTAACGAGGCACTTCTTTTTAAATCAAGTGGCAGGTTATTCTATATCTTTAGAAGTGCATAAGAGGGAAGATATTCTAATGAGCCTGTATTCAGTGTGTCAATTTGATAGTTAAGAGATCTCTCAAAATTTCCGAGTTTTTTAAAAGTGCCGTTAAATGATGAGAGTAGAAGGGTATTCGTCGATTTCAACTTTTAATTGTTGATTAATCTATCAGCATTTTCTCTTCGACAAAACAATAATTAAAAATTCACAGATTCGTCGATTTTTTCGTGGATTTTGAAAAATCGAATTTCTTATTAACTATAAGCCATCCCTCGGGCAATGTGAGGTTCCACAAAAAATTTGGAATCGATCGGTACAGCCGTTTTCATGTTTATTGAATACAAACAGCCAGACAATCAACCTTAAGTTTATATATACTAGGCTTTTAGGGCGCTTCGCGCCCATATTATATTTAAATTGTGAACATGTTCTTTTTGTTTACATTTAAAAACAAGAAGAAAAAAATTTTGCGGATTTAAAAAAAAAAAAAATTCGTGGATTTTCAAGAATTTAAATTTTTTTTACAAAATTAAAGACCTTTAAAACACATTTTTTAAATTTTTATCATTCATAAACCTTCCCTGTGGTCACGTGATGTCCCACAAAAAATTGGGCCCGATCGGTTCAGCCGTTTTGACGTTTATTGGATACAAACAAACAAACAGACAGACAAGCCAAATTTATGTATAGATATTAAAACTAAGAATCTTTCTTTGACGTATGTCTAATGTCTAAATATTCATGGAGAACCCTCCTGAGCTCCCTCAACTGGGTATTGATTGATCTTGTTCATATAAATATTTATGGGTCGCCTCGCCTCACTTCATACAAAGTACAAAATAATTCTTTGTCAAGTGATATTGCTTAATCGATAGAACCTGTAGCTTAACTACTATAAACTTGAAAGGAACTCAGTATAAAAAGCCCAGATTGAGTTGAATAAAAATGCATGATTGCACACACACAATATATATACATTATATTCCCCTTCGATATCCCTGATGATACCCTGCAGAGAGATTACTTTGATAAAGGGATCAAGCATTGATCCTCAACTTTTTACATCGAGATCAAGCGTTCAAGATTAAAATATTCACACATTTTCTAACAACTATCAATACAAAAATCTTTAAGTACACTGTACATAAGAGATAAATTGTCTGATGAGAAGAAAAACTTTCACTCTAAACTGCATATACTGTACACTACACTGTACATTGTACAGTGTGATGTATGTAAAGAACAAATAAGCTGGTATACCTGCTATAAGAATTACACTGTACACTGCACAGTGTACAGAATTTAAAGAAAGTATAAGCTGGTATACCTGCTATAAGAATTACATTGTACAATGTACAGTGTACAGAATTTAAAGAAAGTATAAGCAAGTATAACCTGCTATGACAATTACACTGTACACTGTATACTGTACTGTGTACTGTATATAAAAAAGTATAAACTGGTATAACCTGCTATAAGAATTACACTGTGCACTGTTCTACAGTGTACAGAATATAAAGAAAGTATAAGCAAGTATAACCTGCTATAAGAATTACACTGTACACTGTACAGTGTACAGTATATAAAAAAGTATATGCTAGGAATGCTAATATAACCTGCTATAAGTATTACACTGTACACTATACAGTGTACAGTATATAAAAAAGTATATGCTAGGAATGCTAGTATAACCTGCTATTAATTCTAGTATAACCTGCTATAAGAATTACACTGCATACTGTACAGTGTACAGTATATAAAAAGTATATGCTAGGAATGCTAGTATAACCTGCTAAAAGAGTTACACCGTACACTGCACAGTGTAAACAAAGTATAAAGAAAGTGTAAGATAGAATAACCTGCTATAAGTATTACAATAGATAACGACCAGAACATTCCACAATTAATAGCTGGAGGGAGGAGAGAGGCAGAAATTGCCACACCCACCAAAGATCCAGCATTCCCGCCGAGTACAGACAGTGCCACGCCTGCTCCACTGGGCGTGGCAATTAAAACACCAACCAGAAGAGATCGAAGTTCTCCACGTGAAAGCATTTCTGTAATTATTGAAAAACAAATGAATAAAAAATTACAAGCCACAAATAAATTGAGTTTTAGTTAATGGTTGTGACTTTTAATGCATATATGTACTTTAAAGTGCATGCGATAACACTTTTTATAAACCCGTATCATGTTTTAATCATTAAATCCTTTTAATTATAAACTATGACCTAATGAAACAAAAATGTCTGTGTTGAACCTTTGGAATTATTCTTTCATTGAGAGTTAGATTTTGAGGTCTGAATCATCAAATAAAATAAATCATTCTTAAATTAAAATTAGATTTTTTTAAAAAGTGCAATCTTTTAAATCTTAAAATCAGCAAACTACCTCATAATTGTAAGTTAATTGAAATTTTGAAATCTCCGTGTCTGTATGCAGTGTTAAATTTTTATAAAATTTTTCTTTTCATAACAGTACTTGCAATTTTCAATGTGTTTTTGAACCATCTCCAGTCACATAATGTTGGTTAAAGCTATTGTAAATGCACGAGCAAAGGTATTGAGAATTTTTTTATGAAGGGTTACATCTTGAAAATTTTATGCCTTAAAGGCTTGCCGGCTTAAATGTACAAAATGTGTAAATTTTACAAATTCTTTTTATCAATCGTTATGATAAATCGTGCTGTTTCATATATTTAATCACTTGTTGTGACTTGTGAGTAAACGTTGTGCATAATTCCAATTGGCATAATGCAAGAAAAGCAAACCTGTAGACTGTAGAGCAAACATTTGTATATCATGGTTCATATTCTTGTGGGGGATCTTATAGGGACTGAAAGCGTAATTTTAAGTAACCTTCCAGACAAAGATGGCATTGACCCTTGAATGATATATCTGACTAAATAATGAATTTATTGATGTTTAAATTTTGAAAACTGATTATGTTCGATTGAGATATATATCAGAATCAAACACTTAAACCTAGAAAAAATACGATATCTTCCTCATTTTTGATCAGATAAAGAACTCTAGGGTATCATTGAGAATCGAGTATTGCCATAGACCAAGGAGAATACCTGGAGTTGGATACTGAGGACACCCGTAGATCTGTGAGAGTGGTGAGATGATTAGACCTAGAACTAGTCCAAGGAGAATACAGATTAGAAGTGCCAACACCTCGTGACGGATTCCTTTTCTTATCAGAGCAGTGTCATGGATCACACAACCAAATATTCCTGATCACAAAAAAATCATAAGAATATTTATTCTTAATTTCTAATTATTTATCAGGTCTATTTTCTATTTTCCCAATGACAAAATAAGTAAAAAATTTAAAATTGTCATTAAGTAATCAATAGTTTGGCATTAAAATTGATAAAATTTCAATATAATATGTGATCAAATAAAAGTTTTTTTATGACATCCCAAAAATTTTAAAATCCATGGTTTTTTTATGTGATAAACTATGAGAAAACCAGTAAACTCCGGCACTGGAAGACGACTTTTAGACTCAAGTTATGATTTATAAAATAATAATAAAACAACTCAGTTCTTCTTAATTTCATCTTCCTATTCCACAGTTGTCTGTATGCAAACCTGCTAGAATAGGTCCCATGAGAGGAGATACAAACATAGAAGCTACTAGAACCACACTAGAGTTCTCAACTAAACCCATGAAAGATATCTTTACCTGCTAGAATAGGTCCCATGAGAGGAGATACAAGCATAGAAGCAACTAGAACCACACTAGAGTTCTCAACTAAACCCATGAAAGATATCTATACCTGCTAGAATAGGTCCCATGAGAGGAGATACAAGCATAGAAGCAACTAGAACCACACTAGAGTTCTCAACTAAACCCATGAAAGATATTGCTCCAGCTAACAACAATAGAAGTAGGAAATCAAATGAGAACTCAGCACCAGCCTTTCACAATATAAACATTATTATACAGGGTTACCAAATCATCTAATATAGTGCAATAAAGGCAATGTTTAAGACAGAAAACCTAATTCAACCTTTACATTTAGTTAGTTTTAAAATAGTTAAGTCTTCTTTGTAACCCTGTATCATTAAATAATGATAAGTAAACAGATAAGTAAAAAAGAGAAAAGTTAAAAAAGAAATTGAGTTTTTGTCACAAACTTAAATCTGTATTCCCATACATCTTTGCAAATAAATGTTAGATCAAATAATCTAAGTTTGAAAAATCAAAGATGTACATCTTCAGTTATAGGGATTAGAAAATTTTAGTTTGTGGCAAAACTCAGTTGATTTGTATTTGAAAACCCAAGAAAGATAATTTCAGTAGTTTCCAAATTCTTCACTTTGCTTAGTAAGCTTTTAAACAATTTTGATTCGGATAAAAAGACATTTAAAAGTTCAGTTAAAATCTATCATAATTTTAGAAAAATTTATTTTCATGTAATTTTTCGTTGGACATTATATTTAAATCTTTGAAGAAATTACCTGAATTCTAGCAATAACTTCAGCTACTAAGAGACGTGATTTTACACTCGTGTAAAACTTCTCAAAATCATCATCCTAATACAGAAGAAGAAGTAAAAGTTTAAGATTATCATTAATGTTTTTTAACTATTTATTATATATTTAATTTGAGAATAGTTAAAACCCTAAATGGAATCTAGTAACAGTGCTAGATTAAGAATCCGATAAGAAAATAAGTAAAAAAGTTTACGAAAAATTTAAAATCTAACTTATTAATGGTGTTATATACTTTGATTTAAGGATATATAGATTATAGTCTTGGGTTAAAGTTAGACAACCAACCTCTTCTTCTTTACTATCAATATCATAGTTCTCCTGTGTAGAGAAATGAATACCAGAGGGAACAACACTAATAGTAGATTCTCCAGTACTACCAATACCCTACACAGAAACACATAGAATATTGTTTGCAGCTTTTCCAGCGTTGAGATCCCAGTGCACAGTAGATTTTTATACAACAACTTATGCAAGAGTAAACTTTGCCATTTAACAACTGTGGCGTGCGAAAACATTGCCATGACAAAACATTGTGCATCAACAACTTTGCCATGTAGCAATTTTGCCCTGTGACAACTTTGCCATGTCCCAATTTTGCCATGTGACAACTTTTCCATGTGACAACTTTGCCAAGTGACAACTTTTCCATGTAACAACTTTCCATGTGACAACTTTGCCATGTGAAAACTTTGCCATGTGGCACCTTGGCCATGTGAAAACATTGTCATGCAACAATTTTGCCATGTGACAACGTTCCCATGCGACAACTTTGACTTGGGACAACTTGCCATTTTGAAATTCTGTCATATTCAGGATATCTTAAAAGTCTTGGGACCGAATTTAATGAAAAGGATGAAGTAGCTTAACCAAGCAAACATTGTTCATCGATTTCTCTTGTGCCGGTTCAAGCTAAAGAAATGTGGTTGAACTGGGTCCATGCAGTTTGATTTATTAACCTGGTTTTGGAACTCCAGTAGAACTGCCTCCACCAAATCATATGGAACAACAAAGGTAAAAAGAACCTGGAACAGAATGTCGAAGAATTTACTATTTATAGTTTTCTCGGGTTGATGAAATATTCTGTCGTGAGGACTTTCTAAGGGTATTTTCCCAAGTGCCAACTTCCCACGTTTGTCATATCCGCAGCGCACGGCCCCACAAGCCTATTCTAGCTGCAGCGCTTTGCAGTATTTATGTAACCCTTCTTCTATAGTCCCTACCTGTTTGTTGTCAATACTGGGCTGAACTGTGACTGGTGTGATTTCTAGTTTCTTTAAAATGTTTTCACAAACATCCTAAAATCAAAGGGACTTTTAACGTAATTTTAAGTAAAAATTGGCATGTAAGACTCAAATAGGGACCCTTTAAACCATGAATACAAAATTGACTTGAGGAGAAGGTAATTGATAAAATTAAACACAATATTTTCCTCATTATTGCTCAGATAAATGCTTAAACCTAATTCGATAATGAGACTTTTTAATTGAGTGATTACATGAAATTACAACAACAGTCCTAAAGTCTTCTAGTAAAGGAGCTCTGTTATCTTGCCACAAACTTAAATCTTTGCAACCAGGTGGTGTAAACCTTCGATATTTCAAACTTAGACTAATTGATATAACAGAATTAATCGTTTTAATTATCTAAGGTCCACAAGATCGGGCTTTGATAATTTGAGTTTGTTGCCCACAAATATGAGTTAAAATGTTAGCTTTTATTAGTAGACTAGTTCAGACCATGTACAAACCTGCATTGGTTCTAACTCTAAGAAAGACATTGTAGATTTCTCAAAAAGGCTTCCTCTGAACATTTTTTCATCTTACATTTTTTTTAAAGGAATAAAAATATAAAATTATGAGACATTTTTTAAAAATAATAATTTTATTGAAAAGAATTTGAGTTTTTGACACAAACAAATGTGATAAAGACTCGATTCCTTCCATATTAAATATTTTTTTTAAATATCATAATACATTAAATTATGATTTTTTTAAAAATTAATGTTGTAAAATTTGTTCCCTGTCATCTTTGGTTTTTATAGTTGTGTGTCCGTCTAAACTCTCCTGAGAAGAAAAATGGATTTTGATATTCAAGATACTACATTCGAATTAAGATTTAATGAATTTTGATATTTAAGATACTACATTCGAATTAAGATTTAATGAATTTTGATATTCAAGATACATTCGAATTAAGATTTAATGAATTTTGATATTTAAGATACTACATTCGAATCGAGATTTAATGGATTGAATTTTGAAATAAGTAAAATTATTTCTGATTCTTTTCATCAATTGATAAAGGAACTTTTCAAATATCTTCTAATATTTGCCAAAACAACACTTTTATTATAAAAAGAGTATTGACTACTTTATTGATAAAAAAGTTAAAGACAGCGTTAGTAAAATGATTTCACCTCATCACTATCTTCGTATTTGAGAAAACTGTCTTCAACAAGAGTAGACTCTGTGTCTGCTGATGAAGGTGATGAAAATGTAACTTGTGCTGATCCCATTGCTTTAAAAGATATTGTTTCTGTGGCAGGTGCTACTTTATTATTTGAGAAGGCTGATGTAAATACTGAAGATATTGTCGGAATAGAAGAGGAAGCTGAAGATACATCTGATGAAGATGAATCTCTGACTGACAATATTGACCCTGCTTTAGACTTTGAAGGTGTTGGTGTGAATGAGAAGGGTGATGCTCTGCTTGAGAATGATGGTGATACAAAGTATGGTTCTGCAGTTGGATTAGTAGGTGATGATTTAGATGCTGAAAGATCAAAGTGAATTGATTCATCAAAGTTTGACATTGATATCGATGTTTGAGGGTTTGCTGAAAGAACAGCAGACAAGCTTCCAGCACTTGTAGTTACGGTTGAAGTTGTTGTTATTGAACTGGAAGAGGGGGTTTCTTCTGTTTGATTTAATTCCTCTTCTTTACATAAAAACCAGATTAAGTTATTAGTTTGATTAGAAAAAACAAACCATACCTGGTACATATCTGATTTTAAAACTTTTCCCCGGATTTTCTAGTTTCTCCACGTCTTGTACATGAGAGCTGTCATACTTCTTTCGTTTCTTCTCCTCTGAAACATTCGTTGAATCAGCATCAACATTAGATAGTCTACTCCAGATGCTACTGCAGGTTTCAGTACTATCATTTTCTGCTAAACTTTAAATAGAGAGTAGAGTAGTTTCACACCCAAGTTACCCATGATAAAATTATTATAATAATTACTCAAGTCAGAACTGTTGTGTTGTGAATCTCGGGATCCCCAACTTTAATAAAGGAATCAAGCATTGATCCTCAAATCTAAAAGTCCCCACATTGGATATCGAGATCAAGCGTTCAAGATAAACAATATTCACACAAAAGTTTAAATCTCTGACCAGTTTCAGAATAAGAACTTTATCCATAAAATCTGCATCCACATAACACATTAATATTACTTGGATTTAAAGTTTTCCTTCATTTTTTCCTAATTTTTCTTTACCTTTTATTAGATGGCTCGTGGATCCAGCTGAGTCAGATTTTTGAGAGTTTACATCCTCCTGGAACAAAATAAAAATCAGAATTTTGAGAGTTTACATCTTCCTGGAACAAAATAAAAATCAGAATTTTGAGAGTTTACATTCCTCTGGAACAAAATAAAAATCAGATTTTTGAGAGTTTACATCCTTCTGGAACAAAATGAAAATCAGATTTTTGAGAGTTTACATCCTCCTGGAACAAAATGAAAATCAGATTTTTGAGAGTTTACATCCTCCTGGAACAAAATGAAAATCAGAATTTTGAGACTTTACATCCTCCTGGAACAAAATGAAAATCAGATTTTTGAGAGTTTACATCCTCCTGGAACAAAATGAAAATCACCCAAATTTTTGTAAAATGTTTTTTTTTCAAAATGATCCTAAGTTGATTTAAAAAACATATGATAAACAAATGTTTATTCTATAAAAACTTTTATATTCATAACATTTGCATATTGGTTGATATTGCGTAAGAATTTGCTTGAGCAGTGGAAATTTTCTTTTTCTGTATAGAATAAAGAGACATTCCAGTTTTAATATTTCGTACGTTCACAATCAACTGCCTGGAAAGAGCTGAGTTGGCGTACTGTCCGGGTTTGCCGTTTATATAGTTCGGATGTGTACTGTACTGCTTGTACTAACTTGTACTAATAAACCGAAGTTTAGAGTGCAATTTCAAAGATTTTTGATTTAAAAAAATCCTCTTTAATTTTCTCACAACAAATTAAGAAGACACTGTAAAAAATTTACCTGAATAGCGGGTAAACAGTTTATTCCTGGTTTCTCTTCACTGCTCCTAATTTGTATAATTAGATCAAATTCTTTAATCAGAGAGAGAGAGATTGTGAAAGAATAAAGCTCAGATTTAAATATTTTATATTTATGTCAAATACTTGACTAGATAAAGAATTATTATATGAGAAATCTTGAGAATATTGTGGAGGAAAAGAAATGATATAATTTAGATCACTTGACCTTATGACCTTATGTAAATGTTGCTTCATAACTACAATTTTAATTTTGCATGTTTTGAGGTTTTCATTGCATGAATGATTCTTAAAAATATTTGAAAATAGATTTTTGAAATTATATTGTATAGTTCTAACCATCTATAGGTTGAAAATAAAAAGAATAATAAATAATAGGATTATTACAAGAACAAGGGGAAAAGTTAATGTTCCTATACATACCTGTTAGATAAAGTATTGGGTTCTTCCCCTCCTGGTTTCCTTGTTTCCTGTGCAGGATCAGTATAAGGTTTCCTGGTGTCCTGTGCAGGATCAGTGTAGGGTTTCCTGGTGTCCTGTGTTTGATCAGAGGCTGGTTTCCCCTGACATATTGATCCATCCCTTGATCTTAGAGTACTAAAGGACCAGGCTCTAGACGCTCCAGGCCTTCATACACAACCACCAATTAAACGAATCAAAGTTTTAAAAAATGCTTCACTTTTTACAGTAATCTAATTGGATGGTTAGGAACATATTTCTCAAAAGAAATTTTTCAATAAATCAATGCTAAAATCGATTATTTCGTTTTCATTATTATATTAAATTTCTAATTTTCTTTGAATTTATTCGCAGATTTCTTCAAATTCTTCAAATGTCTTATTTTCAATAATAATTCTAGAAAATCTGCGAAAATCTTTGTAAATAATAAGAAACCAGAATAATGAGATAATAGAAACTAATAATTGAACAAGATCACTTATTTTCGATGATAAGATTAATTTTTATTTTCTCAACATGTTCCTATACATGACGTCTGTAGTTTATTGTAGAACTTGTTTACATTTTATGTCGTCGTTATTTAATAATAAAAAAAACTAATTCTGGAAACGTATCCACCCCCAAATTAGGCGTTTTGAACATCAAATTTGCGCTCAAACTCAGAATTTACAGATCTTTAAAAAGTTTAATATGTCTCAAATGAATCCGAAAGAAGTTTTCCACAACACTGTATACTCAGTTCAACTACCTTACATAGCCGGTCATTCCCTTTAAGAATGATAGATAAATATGCAATGTACAATGTAGATACATTATGTACCAATACAAAACCTTTTGTAAATAAAAAGGTTAAGTTAAAGATATTTCCAATTCTAATGGTGTGCCTTGAAACCACAGAACCAATAGTTTCAGGATCTACCTCACCAACCCTAAATCAAGAAACATAAAAACTGGCGAATTTTCAAATGTATAAACAAAAACTAGTTCCATGTAATGTCATATATCATTCATCAAATTATTTGATTTGTGTAAATATTAGTTCTAGATAATATATTAATTTGTAAATGTAATTCAATAAATTATTTCAGACAAAGGAACTCACTAATAGCTTAAAACTCTAATTTCTTAATGGCGTATACCTTTGATATCATTTGGGAATTAATTTCTGTGTTTGTTTGCAAGAACTTTTATAGACTTCATTAATTGGATTGCAATGATTGATCAATTTATTGCGCAAAAGAATTGAGCCACAATTCAAAATCAAATTTTCGTACCCATATATCTTTGCAACCTGATCGCGTAAACCTTTGATATTTCAAACTTAGATTATTTGATCAATCAGTTTGAATTATCCTTTCATGTACCGGGCTGAATTTCAACTAGCTAGAGGAAGCAGTACAGTACAAATACAGACTATATGAGGCAATTCGGGACGGTACGCCAAATGAATGATCCCCTTCTAGAGAAATTTATGTAAAATTGGAAATAGAAAATCAGAGTTTGTGGAAAAGACTTGTTTCGTTTACATGATTAACCACACACATTCTTTGGAAAGAAGTTTAAATAAGGTATTAAGGCTTGAAAAGGGCACCAGTGTAGTAAATTTTAGAAAAACCGTGTCCGAAGTCTCAGTCTTTGTGGAATGTAAATAAAATGTTTGCAGATAGAAAACTAACTCATAATTATTTTTCTTTTGTTAACACCCTTTCCTTGAAACCAAATATTCTAATCGTTATTTTCTAACCCAAAATTTATTCGTATTCGTAATTTATTGGTTTATAAACTGAATAGAAAACGATATTTTACCTTTCTTTGGAATTTTTCTCTTTCTCGAACTCCCTTGCAGGAACCCAGAGGAAGAACCAGGAACTAGTGCCGCTCATCCTACCGGCCTATACTAACAGGGTGAAAAATTTACACAAAACAAACATCTATACTATAGATCTCATTAAAATGTGTTTCCAATAAAATAAAGTTGTTTTAGAATACATTCACAAAGCTATCATCGCTAAGTTAAAAAATAAAATAATTTTCACCTCTTTCAAATTATTTCTGTTTGTTAGATTTGTTGTTTAACAAATGTACTGTTAAAGCCATTTTCCCGGATTTTTCACAAAAAAGTCCCAGATTTGCAAACTTCCATCTCAATATTTTTCTTAAACAAATTACAGATTATGAATTAAAATATATGATATAGAAAAGTAGTTAAAAACTGCGAAGTGCTAGACATTTTGCCATAACCCTGGTTTGGAACTAATGTCCCCTGAAAAATTCATAAAACAGACGTTAACAAATTTGGGTCCAGGTTTAAGAGCAAAAGATATATTTTACCAACATTTTTATTTTTTATTACCTCTGTACAATATATTTACAAAATATTTCGCAATATGCAATGATTAATTGTTTTCAATTGTTTGCAAGGATATCGACAAAACACATTGCAACCCTGCAAACTAAGGTCAAGTTCAATTTACATTACTGTAACAACTTTGTGATTCCGTTGCTCCTCTAGTTCTGATTTTACGAACAAGTGAAAGAAATGCAAAATATTATTAATTCAAACATTTTTTTTCAAAATCTCTTCAATAAGAAGAGTTATGCCTACGTGTATTTGACGTGTTGCATTTATCAAACAACATCATCCAATTAAACTATTTTTAAAAAATATTACTTTTTATGTAAAGGAATTGAGTCTTTGCCACAAAATCAACTTTTGTAATCCCTACATCTTTGCAACCTGATGATGTAAACCTTTGATATTTCAAACTTACATTCTTTAATCTAACAGTATTCATATGTCAACGATATTGAAATTAGAAAATCAGAGTTTGTGGCGAAAACTCAATTTCTTTGTTTTTTCCATATCTAAAACTATAATTTTACATTTTTCTGATCTTTTTTATAAATGGACTTGAAAAGAGGGTAATGTCCGATTCACATTCCCCTTGAATCCTTTATCTGATCAATAATGTGGAAGAAGTTTTTAGTTCTGATTTTCCTGCATTAAGATTAATTTCTAGTTCATACTTGAGCAGACAAAGCTTTTAAGTGTACCGTTGTGAATCAGACATTGTCATCTTTGCATGGAGGGTGACTTGAAGTAACTTTTAGTATTATCTTTCATGTTTCTTTTAATATTTAATATTTGATTACTTTGTCGTTGATAACCATTACAGTTCTAAAACAACAATAACATATTTTGTATTCTAAGTTTATAATCAAATCTACCGCAAGAACAAATCTTTACCAATTCTGTTGGATCAAAAAGTTTTAAATAACAAAGGTTTACACCATCAGGTTACAAAGATTAAGGGATTAGAAAATTTGAGTTTGTTACAAAGAATCAATTTCTTTAAGATTTGAATTTAAAATTTAAAAATTTTTCAAACCAGAATTACAAATTTAACTAAACTTTCATTTAAAAGGTTATATTGTGCAGCTTAGACTCATCTGACAGACCTCTGGCTTATACCTGGCTTACAACTATAAACTATGATATCATCCTTGCTCAAACACAACTAGATAATAATCTGCATAAATCACAATAATAATTATGATAACAATGTTAATAATAATACTAAAAACATTCCCGTGGGTCTCCCGAGTTCCCAATTAAAATGTGTGGCAAATTGGTTTAGGGGTTCCTGAGTTCTGATCGGAAAAACAAACAGACAGACATAAAGACACCCAGACAGACAGTCAAACAGAGATTACAACTTTATATATACATAGATAAGTTAATGTATCACTGTACAAATAAAATTCTGTATTGTACCGCCAATGGTTCAAGACGTAATGAACGAACGTGTTGATTTTTCAACTGTTCATGGTTTGAATTGTAAATTAGGACTGAACTGAAAGAGGAAGAAATCAGAACGAACTCTTTAAAGTATGAATTATAAAACCTTAAAGCGGCCTCCAATCCAATCCACTCCAATCCAATCCAATACTGTGATACGGAAATTAAAGTACGGTATATGCGGTATTTACTCAGTCCAGACTAAAGAGGTGAAAATATTCAATTTTAACGTAGATTCCCAAAAAAATATATGCACTTACGTACACCTTACAAAGTACACCTACCAATTTATCAGGGATAACGATTTTTTGTGGAATATCTATTTTCAAAAAGAGGGCACCCTCAACTAAGTTTTCGATGTGATGCAGTGATTTGCAGTACTCCGCCCAAAGAAATAATGTGTTTTAGTGGGGACAGGGAGGACAACAAAAATCTGCATTTTTTAATTATCACTTTATGTTACCTTTGAATAAGAAATTATTACTCAATAAGTAAAACTCACTTAAAATAATTAATTTAATCAGAAACTTGAAATCCTGGACAAGAAAGGGTTTAGAATTAAAATCATTAGTTTGCTAACATTTGGATTTTGGATTAGAAAGGAAAACAAATTAACAAATTTCCATAAAACACAAAAGGGAATTGTATCGACTGGAAAACCCAACTCAAACATTAATATTATGCTTCATATATAAATATATAAATAGACGCATATACATACAATATAGTCATCGAATTTTCCACGTAGAAAAAAATATTTAATGACAAAATATATGTAGCAAAAAGAGTAATTCAAATTTTTTGGAATTATGGATTCTATCTTCTCAAACTTTTAAAGAAAATTCTCTTAACTTAAAATTTTTCCAAAATTCTTTTCATGTAAAATCTTTTATTCGCTTTTATTTAATTTAGTGAAATAAATGTTCATCATAAAACATTTCAAACTTTCTTGCCTAACATTTTTTAATCTGAAAACAACTTTGGAATTTCACATATCCTTAAAGAACCTTTGAAATCAAAAGGAATTGAGTTTTTACAACAAACTCAAATGTTCTTTGCAACCTGATGGTGTACACCTTTTATATTTCAAACCTAGATTATTCAATCTAACAGAATTCATAGTTTAAAATATCTTAGGTCTACGACACTGGGTTGCAACAATATAAGTATTAGAAAATCAGAGTTTGTGGCAAAGACTCAATTCCTTTGAATATTATTCTACTAAAATTCTAAAATTATACTGAAGAAAAGAGCTAACAAACAAAAAAACAAACCATGCAACTATACTCAACTCATCCAATGCATACTGGCCGGGGGGTTTACAGACATACACTTTGAGTTATTTATCTATTTATAAATTGTTTAGTAGTTAACCTTGCTTCAACACAATATTGGTTCCTTAGTTATTTACCAGTTTGGGTCAAGGGAAAGGCCAGAAGCGAAAACTTATGTTATCTGTCTTAACTTTTTCGAATATCATAAGCAAATAATATTTTTCAATAAACGGTTTTTTTACAGATATAAAATAATGGTTGGACGCCTTTTTGTATGGAACCCCTGAATTTTGGAGAATGTCATGAAACTAAGAGACTGCAGACTATTTTAATTTTGCAATGCCTGCAACTTCTGATTAACGACCAAAGACATTAACAACGAATCGATGGGAAAGGGGGGAGGGAGAAGTGATAAAGTTGTTATATCTTGGGCAAAAATAGATGAGAACTGAGAAGGTTTTCAATTAATACTTTTTAAATGAAAACGTTCTGTTTTCTGTCTTCAGTTAATACTTTTTAGCTGAAGACAGGAAACAGTATGTTCTCATTTTAAATTGTAACATGTCAAAGGTTACAAAACGTATAAGAGAGCTAGCTCAGTATTTTCTGACTAAAACTAAATTTATTGTATTGTTGATGCACAGGGTGACCCACGAAACCTAACTTAGATGTCGTCCTTGATTTTTGTAATAGTTTGTGGCATTATTTGTAAACCTTATTTTCGAGGCTGAATTCTCGAGTAAATAATCACAAAATACCCATAGTCTTGCAATTTCCAAAATGTGGTCTGCCTCTTCTGTGCCTTCGATCAACATGATCGGAGATATGAAGAATTTTGTTCATATTTCGACATTCAGAATTATTAAAGTTTCCGATAAAATTATAAGCATATAAAGGTATTTTGGCGTTTTTCCAATGTCAGGACTGGGAGAATTTTGTGAATTCCGAAAATTCCTTTAGCTCCTGTTTTTTCATTTTTTTTGTAGTTCTAAATGAAGAGCTTTGCAACCTTTAATGCTAAAAGTGACTGTAAGCGTAATTTTAAATGATCCTTCTCCATGCATACTTGGAAATGTCCGATTCAGAACGTTATCCTTTAAATCTGTTAAAGTATTGTCAGCATGTTATGTTTTACATATGAAACGAACCACACAAAGGGTATTCTAGTAGTCTTCAAGTCTCACACCAATAAAAGAACAAAGTAGTTGAACATTTATATTGAAAGGAAAAGAAATAAATGAAATAAAATACCAAAGAGATGTAGATTTGCTGCTACTACAGTTTCCTCAGATCCACAGGTTGGGATTCCCGGTATATCTTCTTGTATCCTGGGCTTGAAATCCATCTAACCCCTCAGGATCGGGTTTCCTATCCAGATCTTCCTTGAAGCCATGACTAGGAACTCATCTGAAGTTCCGTTCCTGAGATTGACTGCTTCTCAGGACTCAGATTGTCCGTCATAACACAATGGGGGGTTGGGGTGGTTTACAATATATCAATGTTTATCATTTTAAAAACAGATTATTTTTAATTGTGGGTTCCCTACTAAAGTGACTTGTGGTTTGCTGAAGATATTGCATAAATGATTCAATTTATTTCGAAACAAATTTGCACGCATATTGCAAATTGTAATGCAATGCAATCATTAAAAATACAGCAATTTAGTTTGAAGTTTTTCTAATCGTTTACAGGGAAGTAAAAAAAACGTTTTTAATTTAAATTTAAATTTTACAAATTTTATAAATTAATAAAATAAAAATATTGGAAAGAGCAATCTTAAGACTCAACGTAATTTCTAGTCCGAAACACGGGTAGCTAAATTTATAGTCCGAACCACGAGTAGCTAAATTTCTAGTCCGAAACACGGGTAGCTAATGGCGGTCACAGTGATTCAGAGGTTGCAAGCTCTCTCTCACAAATCAATGAAAATTTTGCCAATTATATATGTACATAATATGAAGCTCAAAGTTTGTGAGGTAACATTAAAGGCAAAGATGTTTTGCGACACTTAAAGGTCAACACAGTCTTAAAGATTTCTGCAAATTCACGTGTCAAATAATATAAAATTTATCTTTTGAAACAATGCAATAGTTAAACACAAGTTTAAGAATTTGTAAAATTGAGAAAACTAAAATAAAAGTCTTAATCTCAAATAAAGTGTTCTTTTTAATACAAATTGTTTATGCATCATTAAAAACTTAAAAAAGAAAAGAGTTCTGGACATAGAGACAGAATAGGGGGCGTAGCAAGAGGCATAAAGATAGTTTTTGAGGGGCTCGGAGGTCATTCCGCCAATCATGAGGCTCCGGAGGTCATTCGTGGGGCTCATGGTGGCTCTGTTATACCTCACCCTCTGTGTACCATTGTGAATCGGGCATAGTAATGCTTTAATTTAAGAGCCACTTGAAAAAGAGTCAATTGAAAAAAAGGCACTTGAAAAACAGAATTAACAGAATTCATAAAGAACAAAACAAATACATTCCCCAAAACAAAGTAAATTATTAAACCTAGTAATCATTTTGTTTCGTGATAATGTTGATTTCTACAGAATTTTAATTAGCTAGAGCAAGTATCGTTTAGAGGCTCATTAATATATACTGATAAGGTTTTAATGTACAAAAGTTGATTTCAGGATTTTATTATTAATTGCTATTTTGTGTTTCATTCGGAATTTAAATTTACTTAAAACGTAATTTCAAGTGAACTAGCTTCCATCTTGCATTTTAAGTGATTATAACAATTAGAACTTTGTCTGATATTAGTAATGAAAAAGATAAACATGTTTTGTGTTAGTAATTTGAAAACTACGCATTTCTAATAAATGAAAAAGGAAGGAAAATAGAGGCTTTTTATCAAATATAGATAACAATGGTTTGAGGGCTCTCCATGGGCACAGTTTGTTAAATCTACGTTAGTTCTATAACCACTTATAAGCAAATAGATTATTAAGTAAAATTGGTGGCAACAGAGAAACGGACCAATCATACACGACGTCACAAGTGTCAAATATTGCAAGGAAGAACTGAATTGACACTTGTGGCGTCAGAGTGTACAAGTTATTTGTTGCCATCTATTGTATTAAATCTATTTGACTCAAAGCGCCTATCTCAATTGTCCAAAAATCTAATATGAAAATGTTAAAATATGATTTTATGAATACAACTTAAATAATTCAAATTTATTTCACTAATGTACAAATATATTTCGTCAATATAGTTGAAACAGAATTTAATTATTGCATAAACTTCGAACAATGATACATTGAAAAGATTTGGAAGACCATCTTAATTCAAGTCTGATTTATAAAAAAACTTCAACAAAAAGTTACATAAGTAAAATTTACACACATATTAAATAATTAGGACTGCAGTTCACAGAATAATATATCTATAAGCGGAGGAAATAAATTCCAAAATACAACTTTGCAGTTTACCTTATTTTCTTACTTGGATTGTCAGAGTAATATAAAGACTTAATTTTCATTGCTGATTCACAACGGAACCCTTTACAACACTGAACAATATTGAGGAAAATATTTTACTTTTTGTACCATAAATATAAAAATAAATTGTATTCAGTTTATTTTTGTTAAACTTTCATAGAAAACCCACAATTAAATATGATCAATTCTCAGAGATTTTTTTTTTTTTTTTTAAAGGGAGTGACCGGCTATGTTAGGTAGTTGAAATGAGTATGCAGTGTTGCGGAAAACTTCTTTAGGATTCATTTGAGACATATTAAACCTTTTAAAGATCTGTAAATCCTGAGTTAAAGCGCAAATTCGACGTTCAAAACTCCTACTTTGGGGGTGGATACGTTTTCAGAATCAGTTTTTATTCAATTATTAAATAACGACAACGAAGAATAAAGTAAAAATTATAGAGCAATCTAATTAGATGGTTAGGAACATATTTCTCAAAAGAAATTTGTTAATAAATCAATGCTAAAATCGATTATTTAGTTTTCATTATTATATTGAATTTCTTTTCTTCTCTGAATTTATTTGCAGATTTTTTCAAATTCTTAAAATGTCGTCTTTTCAATAATAATTCTAGAAAATCTGCAAATATCTTTGTAAATAATGAGAAACCAGAATAGAAACTAATAATTGAACATGATTAGTTATTTTCGATGATAAGATTAATTTTTATTTTCTCAACATGTTCCTATACATAACGTCTGTAGTTTTTTGTAGAACTTTTTTACATTTTATGTCGTCGTTATTTAATAGTTTAAAAAACTAATTCTGTAAACGTATCCACCCCCAAAGTAGGAGTTTTGAACGTCGAATTTGCGCTCAACCTCAGGATTCACAGACCTTTAAAAAGTTTAATATGTCTCAAATGAATCCGAAAGAAGTTTTCCACAACACTGCATACTCAGTTCAACTACCTTACAAAGCCGGTCACTCCCTTTAAAATGTACCATTGTGATTCGAGCATATCAATCTTTTAATGAAGAATAGCATCGTCTGACAATTTAAGAAAAATATGACAATTCATCTTGATTAATACAAGAATGATAATTAATTATTGACCAAAAAAAATATTCCAAATAATAATAACAATTTTCATAATTTAGTTTAAACCTATAGGCTTGTTGAAACTATACAGCTGATGAATGAAATGAATGAAATCTCCATTACCAATGGATGCTGTCGCTGAATATATTATTTTAAACCTATAGGCTTGTTGAAACTATACAGCTGATGAATGAAATGAATGAAATCTCCATTCTATATTTACTTTAATTATCCCAAAAAGAATTGGATTTGATGTCGTCTTCTCTGGTCATATATTTCACATTTTTCTGTTTAATGTTGTTAGAGTTAACTTTAATTAAGGAATAAAAGAAATATTTGTGATTCTAAACAAATTGCTAAAACGAAGGTATTAATAGTTAATCCACAACCATTAAACATTAAACTCCCTGAATCCTCATAAGATTGGAAGCTTTAAAAGACATGCATGTAAATGTTTAACAACCAAAAACCATTTGCCTTTTAACTCTATTTTATTCATAAAAACTCTTAATTCCCTTCTTTAAAACATTATTGCTTCCGACATTTTTTATCCAGGTCTTGTCACAGGAGAGGATTCCCTAAATCTGACATCTCGAATAGATTTCCTGAAATATAAAACCTGAGCTGAAAACTTTAGAATGGATATCCACAATCCCAATTACTTAATCTGAGTATTTTGATTTTATTCTTAAACCGTTCTTTCTTGGATATAGCGGAGAAAAATAAAAAAATTTAGAAAATCCCTCCCGCTTCTGTATATGATATTAAATGGCGCGCAAAATTTCAAATTTACCGGCTACTTATATGCGACTCTGATTGGTTGAATTTTATACACTTTTCAGGATACAAGTAACAAGATTAAGTTAAAGTCTCGATATTGAAAAAAGTGAGGATTAAGTATTAATCTCGATATCCACCATTCTAAAGTTTTCAGCTCTGATTCATCAAACTTCAATGTAAAATAAAAAGATATTGAGCACATATATTGTGATCTCTCCATAGAATGTTCGTCTGCAGTTGCACTACGGCTACAACTAGGCGTTAGCTCGTTTTTCATTCGTTTTTTCACATATTTTCTTTCAGGCTCAAAATTTGGCATTGTGGAAGGAGAAAACATTTTTTTGAATTGTTAATGCTAAATAAACATTTGCTTTTCAAATTTAGACCCTGGCAGAAGATATGTGCAGAAAACGACCAAAAACGATCGTAAAAAGCTGGCAAAATTATTTTTTTGGGGGGCTAAATATTTTTTTGGGTTAAAGATATTGTAAAATTTAATTAAAGCAAACTTTTAAATTTTGGAAGTTTTATAAATTTTTATTTGAAAATGATCCGAGATGCTTAAAAAATATTTTTAAAATCTGGAAAAGAGTTTTTGGCAGAAAATCCTAAAAGTGTCAACTTCCCCTCCAAGTTGTTACCTAATCTCCGACTGGAAGAAGTTGGGTACATCCAGGAAGCTGTTGATTTTGTATTGATTGCTGTGGTGGGCAGCATGGAAGGTTGCATAGGGCTAAATCACAGGTTTAACATAACAAATATAAATATGGGACAGTTCGCAAAAATGTGAAAAAGATGTCGGAAAAGCAGAATGATTTATAAAATTCTTGGTAGCAGTTCTAAGCCCAAAAAAGACGACAATAATTTCGTTTTTAATTGAATACCACGCTAGAAAATAAATATGAATTCTAAAGGAAACTCGCGCAAGGCAAAATTAATTCTGACGTCCTTCTTTATCTTATCTTTTCTTCTTCTAAGATGTAACCTACATGCGCTAGATGCCAATTTCTGTACGTTTGCGTATTAACATGATATAACATTATCCATTAATTGATAAATTTTTGTTATATTCTTATTACACTTTTTTAGCCTTTCTTCTCAAACTTATTTAAAATTCTAGAATTGTAATTGTCATTTCTAAAAGTTTACAAGGTTCGACGAAATGTTAGCGTTTTAACAGATTCTATAATTAAATCGATATTTAAATCTAAAAATTACATTTGACTTTTACCTTTTCTAAAAAATGGCTTCACAGGGATTTCTAATTTATGGTGTCTTATCTTCTATTATCCTAGTAAAGATGCCTGAATTGACGGAAGTAAAAAAAAACGTGAAATTGCTCCAAGTTAAAAGTGAACCTCAATGGAGTTTTGGTCTCCTCTGACAAGACGAACACGGATTTCCTCTATTACAAAAATGAAAAGTACATCTGTGATTTCCTGGTAGGTTTCTCTAGTAGAGCGCTTTATCAGACTCAGTCCTGAATAATTACCAGGTGCCCACATTTGACTCTGATCTAAAAAATCAATCATTCAATCTTTGAATCAATTAAAATCAAAATCTAATCCTAAAATCTAGTCCTAAAAAGTGGCAGGATCGGATTGAAAGAATTGAACATTATCATCCCATTCGGCAGCTCCTGGCTTATCATGGCTCACAACTGGCTCATCAACAACAAAGAAACATTAAAACCTTTGTCTCCAAAACTCTCCAATACTTCCAGTTAAAGGATTATCTTCTCTAATACACCACACAATATCTTGATTAATGAAATTAATGTGTGCAGTGAAACGACAAAACAAACTGAACATGACAAACAGCAGTGAGAACTATTGTATTGGGAATCTCGGGATCAAGCATTGATTTCCATTTTAATCCATACCACGTGGTGATCAAACCATGCAGAGAAAACATTAATTAAGGAATAAAGCATTTATCCTCAATCCTAAAAGTGCCCGCATTGGTTATCAAGATCAATGTTCAAGCTTTACGATAAGAAGTTCCGATCTCTGGTTGTAATTGACCCATTATTGATATAATACATTAATACCAATGGATGCTGTCGCTGAATATATTAATACCAATGGATGCTGTCGCTGAATATATTAATACCATGGATGCTGTCGCTGAATATATTAATACCATGGATGCTGTCGCTGAATATATTAATACCAATGGATGCTGTCGCTGAATATATTAATACCAATGGATGCTGTCGCTGAATATATTAATACCAATGGATGCTGTCGCTGAATATATTATTACCAATGGATGCTGTCGCCGAATATATTAATACCATGGATGCTGTCGCTGAATATATTATTATAAATGGATGCTGTCGCTGAATATATTAATACCAATGGATGCTGTCGCTGAATATATTATTAACAATGGATGCTGTCGCTGAATATATTATTAACAATGAATGCTGCCGCTGAATATATTATTAGCAATGAATGCTGTCGCTGAATATATTATTAACAATGGATGCTGTCGCTGAATATATAATTACCAATGGATGCTGTCGCTGAATATATAATTACCAATGGATGCCATCTCTGAATATATTGATACCAATGGATGCTATCGCTGAATATATTATTACCAATGGATGCTGTCGCTGAATTAAGATCGTAGTCTCTGCATTTGTTCCACGTCTGATCTAAATAAAGATTTCAATTCATCTCTGTTTTACTGATAATCTTGATTAATAAGAAATTAGCATAATTGTAAAAACAAATCATCATTTTTTGAAGGAAAATTTTTTCTATGGTCTGTTAGTGTTCAAATTGCTAAGTTTTTGACAAAATACTGACATTAGAAAAAAAATAAGTCGTATTTTGAGATTTATCCTCCTGAAGGTTTAAGATCTGGGAGAAAAAAACGAAAAATCTAAAGACAAGTTTAATCACACTTTTTAAACGCATTTATTTCCCCTTAAAAGCATTTATTTCCCCCTTTAAAGTATTTATTTCCCCCTTAAAAGCATTTATTTCCCCCTTAAAAGCATTTATTTTCCCATTAAAAGCATTTATTTCCCCATAAAAGCAAACATTTCCCCCTTAAAAGCATTTATTTCCCCCTTAAAAGCATTTATTTCCCCCTTAAAAGCATTTATTTCCCCTTAAAAGCATCCATTTCCCCCTTAAAAGCATTTATTTCCCTTTTAAAAGCTTTTTTTCCTCTTAAAAGCATTTATTTCCCCTTAAAAGCATTTATTTCCCCTTAAAAGCATTCATTTCCCCCTTAAAAGCATTTATTTCCCCCTTAAAAGCATTTATTTCCCCTTTAAAAACATTTATTTCTCCCTTAAAAGCATTTATTTTCCCCTTAAAGCATTTATTTCCCCTTAAAAGCATTCATTTCCCCCTTAAAAGCATTTATTTCCCCCTTAAAAGCATTCATTTCCCCTTAAAAGCATCCATTTCCCCCTTAAAAGCATTTATTTCCCTCTTAAAAGCATTTATTTCCCTCTTATAAGCTTTTATTTTCCTCTTAAAAGCATTTATTTTCCCCTTAAAAGCATTCATTTCCCCTTAAAAGCATCCATTTCCCCCTTAAAAGCATTTATTTCCCTCTTAAAAGCTTTTATTTTCCTCTTAAAAGCATTTATTTCTCTTTAAAAGCATTCATTTCCCCTTAAAAGCATCCATTTCCCCCTTAAAAGCATTTATTTTCCTCTAAAAAGCTTTTATTTTCCTCTTAAAAGAATTTATTTTCCCCTTAAAAGCATTCATTTCCCCTTAAAAGCATCCATTTCCCCCTTAAAAGCATTTATTTTCCCCTTAAAAGCATTTATTTCCTCTTAAAAGCATTCATTTCCCCCTTAAAAGCATTTATTTCCCCCTTAAAAGCATTCATTTCCCCTTAAAAGCATTCATTTCCCCCTTAAAAGCATTCATTTCCCCTTACATTTCCCCTTAAAAGCATTCATTTCCCCTTAAAAAAGATTTCCCCCTTAAAAGCATTTATTTCCCCCTTAAAAGCATTTATTTTTCCCTTAAAAACATTTATTTTTCTCTTCAAAGCATTAATTTCCCCCCTTTAAAAAAAATCATATTTAAAGTAAATCCATGACAACTTACTTCTTCCTGAATGACTGTGGTGGAAGTGTGGATGGGGGAAGTGCGACCCATTCTCTAATATTTAATAAATCTGAATCCTGAGCAGCTCGTTCAAACATATTCTGCAGGAAGGTTCCCTCCAGACCCTCGTCGGTCCGTTGCTAAAAAAAATAAAACAATTTAAAATTATAAATATGAGCGAAAATAAATCCAAAAACAAATTTAATTCAGGTATTGAATTTTTATATATTTTAAATAACGCTAAAAGTAAACTAATCTAGTTGTATGTAGTTAATCAAAGTCTCAAAGAAAATTTCAAAATAATTTCTGTTTCTTTTTGAACAATATAAAATAATTCATATATTTTTAGTTTGAGTTTTAATCTTAGTCTTTCCAATTTCCAGAAACGTTAATCATATCTTCAAATAAGGATTTTTTTCTAGAAATTTTGGATTATAAAAATAAAAAAAACTATAATGCGCCTTAAGCGAACATTTTAAAAAAACTAAAGATTTAAAAAGTTTTTTCATTTTTCTTGAAATTTCATACAACTTTTGAGGTATATATGGTTACTAAAGTCGACCCACTTAACTTACAATCTTAAAACCGAGCTAAGAACGTTCCCGTGGTCCTATCGGATCCACAATAACAATTTGAGGTAAATCGGTCCCAGGGTTCCTCAGTTATGATTGGACAAAAAAACAGACAGAGAGACAAACAGAGATTACGATTTTATATATATAGAAACATTTATCTAATAAAGAAACACGGATGTTCTCAAATAAAAAAGTTTCTGCACGAAAAGAATTTGCAGGTGAAATCACCTCTGCGCAAACTTACCTTAGCAATGCCCATTGCCTGAAGTTCATTTAGAAGTTTCTGATTGTCGTCTTTGGTCAGTGTTTTGTAATAGTTCCTTCATTAATTACAATTACAATTACAACAGGTTGCTAAGATATACGGATTAGAAACTAAAGTGAAAGGAAAATACTCAATTTCTTTACAAAAAAACCCCGAAATTTCTAACAAAAACTAAATGTTTTCTTTAACAGAGTCTGCAGTACCGTTCATTTTTGTCTTCATCTAAAGTGCGTAAGACAGGAATTGTTCTTGCTTCTAATTTCAAGAAAATTAAAAACAATGAATATTTAACAATCCTGCTTATATGATATGTACCTGTGCGCTTTAATATCTTTTCTCCAAAAATTTGAAAATTTTTGAGGAATTTTCTCTGGAGTCACTTCCTTCAGAAAACTTTTCATTCAAACCTTCTTTAAGGAGGAGAGGGGGGGGGGCCAGAGATGCTGTTTACTGATACAAATTTTTAGAATTTAGAATTTTTTTTATGAAAATGCATTTTCATTTGATAACTTGAGTAATGCTTTTTCAAAAGAAATAAAATATCGGAAATCCGGTTCCTTTAAAATCAATAATGTCGATCACGAAAATCTGACTTCATAAACATTATTGTTTAAAGATAGTGAAGGAAACGGAAAGTTTCCTTGAGACGAAGAATAAAAACCCCGGTTAGGATTATGCACAGGATATTGATCAGTGTCAGAGTCAAACTAAAAAAATAAATATATTTTTAAGAGCCAAGTAATAACAAAGTTTCAATATATATCTTTGCCAGAAGTTAAATAAAATCAATCTTAGAACTTGAATACATCTTTTTAACAAAATTTTGTTGAGCCTTGTGAAAGCTTAAAAAACAGTAAATTTGAAAAAATAAAACACGAGTCCAACACGCTCTGAGCTAATATTTTAAAATATTTTTAGATAAAAAAGAGACACCTTGTTAGTCCGAGAAGAAATGCTTCTAAAGCTTGATTTTCTGAATATCTGAATTCATACAGTGATACTGTCAGGTTACTCACAGGATCAACAGCTGTTCCGAATCCAAAGAACGCCATGTTGGATTCATCTTCTAAAATTATGCGTCAAAAATTTTAAATCATCATAATCCACCAAAAAAGCTTAAGATTATGACACGACACTTTTTCTATAATTATTTAAAATCACAGGTCTTTATATCGGGACTGTAAGCGTAATTTAAAGGGACCCTCCATGCAAAATGTAATGCCAGATTCATAACGGTACCATTCAATTAAAGCTTTGTCTGATCAAGTATGAATTAGGTATCAATGTTTATAATTTAGAAAACTGATTATTTTCAACAGTGGTTTCTCTTCGTAAGTGACTTGCGCATTTCTACTTCAAAAAACATATATAAGACTAAACATCATCAGATTTTGAAACTTTTCAGACTAGAATGGAAGGTCACTTGGAATTATTCATTTTGTCCCTTCAAAAAATATTTTTAAAATCTACCTGCTAGAGCAATTACAATCGATAATGCCCAAAAAAGCCCACAGTTTACTGCTGGAGGGAGGAGAGAGGCAGATATTGCCACACCCACCAGAGATCCAGCATTCCCGCCCAGTACAGACAGTGCCACCCCTGCTCCACTGGGCGTGGCAATTAAAACCCCGACCCACAGGGATCGAAGTTCACCACGTGAAAGCATCTCTAAAACCCCGGTTTTTATTCGTAAAAAGATATCAATAATAGCAAGAATTTGACCAAATTTTTTCATAAACCAAATTAGGAAATGTATATTTTTAAACAATGATGAAAATTAGTCAGAAATGAAAATAAAATACTTTCTGACTAACAAGCTTTAGAAAATTGTATAATTAACATCGGGATTTTGAATAATGTTTCTAATTTTTCTTACAATAGACATTCCTTTGTAAAGAGCTGGTTTTAACATGAACCTTCATTTATAAGTTTTTAGATTAGAGGGATTCAATGAAAAATTAAAAAAAAGGTTTTTATGAAGAAGTGATTATTTATTCTATCTAAATATTTTAAAGTTTCATCAAGATAATTTTTTACGAACACTTAAGTTTAGATTAAACTAAATGAATAGATTATGTCTGACAATTTTATGTTTGTTGTATTTAATAAAAAGTGCTTTCCAAAAGAAGTTTAGAATTGATAATTGTCAATGTTTTGAATAAACCAGTTCCTGGTGTTGGCCACTGTATTAACCCATAGCTCCTGGAGATGGGAGCTATAATAAGTCCTAGGATTAGACCGAGTAAGATACAGATCAGCAAGGCTAAACACTCATACCGGATACCTTTACGGATCAAACTTGAATCCTGGACTACTCCACCAAAAATTCCTAGATTAAGATTAAGTTTTGATTTGTGTTTGTGTCCCTATCTGTACCTGTACCTGTACCTGCCTGTACCTGTACCTGTACCTGTACCTGTACCCGTACCCGTACCCGTACCCGTACCCGTACCCGTACCCGTACCCGTACCCGTACCCGTATCCGTATCTATACCTGCATAGAAGCTACTAGAACTATACTAGAGTTCTCAACTAAACCCATGAAATATATCTATACCTGCTAGAATAGGTCCCATGAGAGGAGATACAAGCATAGAAGCTACTAGAACCACACTAGAGTTCTCAACTAAACCCATGAAAGATATCTATACCTGCTAGAATAGGTCCCATGAGAGGAGATACAAGCATAGAAGCAACTAGAACCATACTAGAGTTCTCAACTAAACCCATGAAAGATATCTATACCTGCTAGAATAGGTCCCATGAGAGGAGATACAAGCATAGAAGCAACTAGAACCACGCTAGAGTTCTCAACTAAACCCATGAACGCTATGGCTCCAGCCAGCACTAGTAGAAGTAGGAAATCAAACGAAAATTCTGCTCCTGCCTAAATAGTTTTAGAGTATTTGTAAAAAAAATGTTCTTTATTATTTTAAGTAGACATAAAAAGAAATCAGTCTGAGAGGTTCACGAGTATAATCGGACAGACAAACAGCGATTACTGTTTTATATGAATATATAAATTGTATAATGGTATTACCTGAATTCTGGCAATAACTTCAGCAACTAAGAGTCGGGATTTTACGCTTGAATAAAATTTATCCATTTTCACAACCTTCGCAAAATAATCATTATTTTTTATCATATTGTGTTTAGTATATCAATAGAAAATTCTATTGCAATTTAGAATCCAGATCTGAATAGCCAACAAAGTACATATCCAGAATCTGAAACCAACAAAGTACGAATCCAGAAGAAACCCAACAAATTTAGGTTCTAAACCTAGCAAAGTTTGTCCCGGATTCTATGTATACTCAACAAAGTTCAAATCCGGATTCCGAACCAGGCCAACTAAGGTAGGATCTGGCTCTTAATATTTAGCAAATAAAGTAAGTGGATTCTTATTCTTGTCTTTTAGTCTTCAAAGGTCAGATCCTGATCCTAGGTACCTCTGATTCTCTTTTCAATAGATCCTGGTTCTCCTGTGTAGAGAAATGAATACCAGATGGAACAACACTAATGGTAGATTCTCCAGTACCCCCAACACCCTGGGAACAAATATTTGTTTTGAAATTCAAATAAGTTATAGTTAATTAATAATTGTCAATTTAAAGGGACCGATAGGCGTAATTTCAAGTGATCCTCCATTTAAAGAGAGGCAAGTTTTAAAAACTGTTCATTTTCAATAATGCAGTTTCTCTACAGAGGTGACATACACAATTATGCTGTTCAGATAATGGTTTCAAGGTGAAGGGTGTATATCGAGCATGCTCATATTTGAACTGAGAGTCCCTTCAAATTACAATGACAGTCCCTTTAAAATGTAGAAGACTTAAGAGTAATTTGTTTTAATTGTTCAATTTCAACTCTGTCGACATCATGAGAAATTCAAATCCGAAATTTAAAACAAAAATACGTTCAAAATAAGCCAAGATTGTTGTAAAAAAACGACTGTAAACCCCGACTCCGGAAAGGTAATACCAAAACTTGGCAATGCTGGGAGCTAAAAGCAGTTAAATCTGAGCAATTTTTGACATTTCTGTAAGGAAATCTCACTTTTTGAGATTCAGCTCAATTCCAAATATAATTTGGAAACTTGAATTGTTCAATAGTTCACAAAACTTCATGCTGTTAAATAAAAATGAAATTGTTAAACTTTTAGGAAAAATCTCTGAAAAAAATCAAGAGAGGATAAATCAGTGAATCATCTACCTGGTTTTGAAACTCCAGTAAAACTCCTTCCACCATGTCATAGGGAACACAAAATGTAAACAAAACCTGAATTTATAATCCTACTTAGGTTAAATCAGTATCTATATATTTTTAATATGTACTATGCTTGTCTGTCTGTCCGTTTGCAATAAACGTCAAAACGACACAACCGATCGGGCCCAAATTTTGTGTGGGACCTCAAATATCCCCAGGGTTAAGGTTTAAGGGTGCTGAAAATTACAAAAATTTGTGTCCAAAAGTTTTGGAATATTGTTAAATTTTGAAAATTCGCGAAAATACAAACATGATTTGATTTTTTGTATCTCAGTAACAATTAGGAGTAATTGGGGTTTTCTATCTGTAAAAATGTTCAATTATATTCATTTCCTAAATTATCTCTGAAGCATCAGCGTGCAAGTCTCTTTTATAATTGAAAAAAAATCAATATTCAACAAGACAATCAAGTATCTCAATCATCCTTAATCAGTCAAATGTTTAAAGGGGACAGAGTTGTGAATCGGACCTGACCACTACAAATGTAGGATCAGTGGAAATTACGAATTCAAGGTCACTTTAGATTAGGACAGTAAGCGTAATTTCAACTCCAGATTCCCGATTGGTACATTTCAGAGCTTTGTCTGATCAAATATGAATTAGTTATAAATGCTTTTAATTTGGAGAAGTGATTTTTTTCAATTGTTGTTTCTCTACAAAAGTTACTTGCACAGCGCGTATTTCTACTGCAGGAAAACATGATTGAATGATCAGACTTAGAACACTTTCAAACCTAGAGAAACGACTATATCTTCCACATTATCTATCAGATAAAAGTTTCAAGGGTACTGTTGTGGATCAGGCATTGTCATCTTTGCATGGAGGCTGGAGGGTCAATTTAAATTATGATTTTTCTCCGATTAAGCACGTTTTTCTTTCCTGATATATATTTTATTACTTTATTTCAAAAGTTTTACGCTACCTGTTTATCGTCAATACTGGGTTGGACTGTAACAGGAGTTATTCGAAGACGATCCAATAATCTCTCACACATATCCTGAATGATAGGTGTAACTAGAGTTTGTAAACAGGGGAGGAGGGGGGGGGGAAGGTTACATATTCTCTCACACATATCCTGAATAATAGGCGCAACTAGCGCTTTTGCGAAGGGGGGGGGGGTACAATAATCTCTCACACAACTCCTGAATAATAGGCACAACTAGCGTTTCGGTGAAGGGGATCAGTAATATAAGTAAATTAGTTTTTTGTTATAAATATTCGCTTCATAATTTTATTTTAAGGGGGAAAAAGAGAAAATCAGCGAGTGGGGGCAAATTTCTTAAGCCCCCCCCCCTGTCTGGCTGTGTCTCAATATGGAAAAGAAATTTACCTGCATGGGTTCCCATTCAAGGAAGGACATACAAGATTTCTCTCCATGAAGCAAACTCTCCCTAATTTCAGCTGTTTTCTGGGATGGTATTTAAAAAATATTGCCGCCAAAACTGATTTATTTAAGATCAGAAGGAAATTATATGGATCATAAAAACCTTGCAAATAAAATAATCAAAAAATGGTTTTCAAGTGGATTTTGTAAGAATTAAGAAAAAACTTCTTGTTGTGTTTTTGGCTTTTATTTTATGGATCATCATGAAAAAAAGCTGATTCCTGTCTTCTTTTTGGATTGTATTCTGAGGGGTGTAGGGGCTAGAATGATTAAATTTTGGATCAGTGTCTTGCATTCCCCTCTTCATTGATACATTGTCAGTTTCTTCCAACCCACCCTAAGGGGACACATAACACATTACAAAAAGTCAAAAATACATAATTGTGAAAATCGTAAAAAGTCGTTAAATAGAAGTAAATATGGCATATTGTTATAGTTCTTCATTATGTTCAGGAGTTTTTGAATTATGTAAATTGTTTTGAAATCAATTACTAATTTAAAATCGCATTTGAAAAAGTGCCAAGAAAAGAAAAAAATACAATTTTGTTGCTTTTCTTTTTATTTTGAGCTGTACAATATGCTTTAGGCAAATATGCAGAAATATTGAAATAAAGTATGCTTATTAAAGTCCCCTGTTTTTAGTAATTTCATTTCAATAAATAAAATAAATATAAATATAGGAAAACTGCAATCAACGGTTTAAGGGTTGAACGCGATTATTATAATGTTAAAAAATTTAAATCTTGACCTCTTCATCTCCTTGTGTCGGATTTTCTTCCACCGATTCTATTGGAGCACAATCTGCTGAACATGTTGAAGGTGTTCTTGAACCTGAACATGAAGCAGTTGTACCTGTCAGAGAAGCTTCTGCTTCTAGAACTGTTGAAGACGATACTTTGGTTGCAGTTAAAGCAGAAGCAGTTGATAATGGGGTTGAAAAAGCTGTTGAAAGTGCTATTGGAGTTGATGGGAGAGCAGATGGTGATAATGGCAATTCTAAAGTTGAAATACTTGCTTTTGGGGAGATTGGAGCATGCGGGAATAAAGCTTGTGGTTTTATATCAATAATGGATAGATTTGTGGTTGATTTATCCTGACTGGGCTTTGATTGCACAGGATCAGTTTCAGAAACAACAGCAGAGCACGCAGAAGTAGTTACAGCTGATTCTGCATCAGTAGATGGGTTAGTATCAGGAGCAGGAGCAGGATTTAATCTCTCCTCTTGGCAAAATAAAAATAAAATTAGTTTAAGCAAAAAAAGCGTTAAATTAACAATACACATGCATGCATAGAGTGAAAATAAGATAAAAACAGGTGTTTTAACAGGTAGGATTATCAAAGCACTAAGTGGACACTAGGCCATGCAGAAAAATTCTTTTATAAAGTCAGTCAAATTTCAGAACTGAAAAACTTGTTTATTCAAAAATTATGAAAAAAACTACAATAATGCACTTAATATCCTGAAATTTTCTTCTTCAAGTGCCAAATGTGGGAGTGTGGGTGCAGTTTGCTTGGTCTTTTATCATTGGCTCAATTTTTTTCTTTCTTCAACTAATCAGAATTGATGAAAAAATAATCCATTGGGCGAATTTAAAGAATTTGAGCGGCGGTTTAAATTTAAGCCGCGGCTTAAATATGGTTTGTTCCACTTAAAATTGTATCAAATGTTTAAAGATTTAAGTCGGCGCTTAATTTAAACCGGGTTTTGGCAGATTTAAACCACGGCTCAAATTCTTTAAATTCCATCTCAAGAAATAAGAATAGTTTAAATGAAATGGGTCAGTGCTGTTAAGCAAAAAAAAAGTGAAAAACAAACACATTGAAACTTCCGACACTCAATAGTTTGTTTTGTTTTTGAATGATTAGTATCCGCTATCAAGGCTCGAAGAACAAAATTGGGCTTATCATTTCAAAATATGTCAAACGTTACATATTTTTGTGAAGCCACTGAAAAAAAAATGAAATTTGTAAAACGAACCAAAATTGGTGTCAACGCTATTTCTACCTGGTACAATAGTAACCGTATAGGAACCCCTCCGTTTCCCATTTCCATTGATAACTGAAACCTGGAGGAGATCAGATTTCTTTATGGTGTCCTCGGAGCCATCTTTAGTAGCAATTTCTTTAGAGGATAGTCTTCGTACCACTTTAGTAGTAGTTTCATCTGTTACGCTTTCTACAAAGTTTAGAGAAAATACGAATTAAACAAACAATTCTGAATAATTTAACATTTTTGTTGTTTCTCATTATTTTTAATAGGATTGTTAGGATCTGTCCAAAAAAAATGATTATTTCGTTTTTCTTACATTCCAAGAATTTTTTTCTTGAAGACTGGGTTCCGAGAAATCTGAGAGAAAAATTGAGGACTTGGGTCCCGATTTTTTGGTCCTTAGAATATATACAGAAATGATTTTAGAGAATTTCCTAGGAGTTCCCCAAAAGATGTTTACTGGGAAAAATGGAATAAAAGGCATACAAGGGCCTGTGTATGTAAGATGTAGTTGTTATATGGCATGTCCAATTTACGACAGTACCTTTAATACTTTTGCCTGGCTGAGAATGAATTAGTGGTTTTCTCTGGGAAAATGGATTATATTCAAATATGTTTTTTTTAGTGACTCACGGATTTTTGCTGCAGAAACAATGCAGAATTAAACCTTTTTCAGTTAGAAAAACGACGATTTCTAAAATTTGATAGATAGTTTGAGAGTCATTTAAAGGGACAGACCGGCTATGTAAGGTATTTGAACTGAGTATGCAGTGTTGTGGACAAATTCTTTAGGATGACTTATTTGAGACATATATAACTTTTTAAAGATCTGTAAATCCTGAGTTTTAGCTCAAAGTCAGCGTTCAAAATCGTACTTTTGGATGGATACGTTTTTAGAATTGTTTTTTTAAATAATTAAATAACGAAGACAAAAAATGTTAACAAAATTCTACAGTAAACTAATTAGTTGTTTAGGAACAGGTTGAGAAAATAAAAATTAATCTTTTCATCGAAAAAAAGTAATCTTGTTCAATTATTAGTTTCTATTTTCTCATTATTCACAAAGTATTTCTGCAGATTTTCTGGAATTATTCTTGAAAAGACAACTACTGAAGAATTTGTAGAAATCTGTGAACAAATTCATAGAAAATAAGAAATTCAATATAATGATGAAAACGAAAGAATTGATTCTAGCATTGATTTTTTGACAAATTTCTTTTGAGAAATATGTTCCTAACCATCTAATTAGTTTAATGTATAATTTTGACTTTATTTTTCGTCGTCTTTATTTAATAATTTTAAAAAAAACCGATTCTCAAAACGTATCCACCCAAAAGTTCGATTTTGAACGCCGACTTTGCGCTCAAACTCAGGATTTACAGATCCTTAAAAAGTTTAATATGTCTTAAATGAATCCGAAAGAAGTTTTCCACAACACTGTATACTCAGTTCAACTACCTTACATAGCCGGTCACTCCCTTTAAGTAAAAAGACATTATACTAATATTCTATTTTTCACCTTGTCTGTTCAAGGATCCATCCGACCCTGTCATCTGGGAGTCAACATCCTCCTAAAATATATTGTATATTTTACTTGGATGGCAGGTGGTGAGTTGACCCATATATATTGTATATTTTACTTGGATGGCAGGTGGTGAGTTGACCCATATATATTGTATATTTTACTTGGATGGCAGGTGGTGAGTTGACCCATATATATTGTATATTTGACATGGATGGCAGGTGGTGAGTTGACCCATGGCAGTTATTTACTTGACCACTATATATCGTATATTTGACCTGGATGGCAGTTGTTTACTTGACCCATATATGTCGTATATTTGACCTGGATGGCAGGTAATGAGTTGACCCATATATATTGTATATTTGACATGGATGGCAGGTGGTGAGTTGACCCATATATATCGTATATTTGACCTGGATGGTAGTTATTTACTTGACCACTATATATCGTATATTTGACCTGGATGGCGGGTAGTGAGTTGACCCCTGTTCGCTCCTCACTACTTCTACAATACATTTTATTAGAATAAAAACCAAACAAAGTTAGAAGTAGAAATCACTGAAATTCGTAAAATATTTCTAACCCTAATCTAACAATAAAATGATATTTTGAGGAAAACACAAAATATTAAATATTTTTTTTTTGTTATTATTAGGTAATTATAAATCTTACAAAAAATATCATTCGTTTAGAAGTATCAAACATACTATATTTATGATAAATACCTTGGGATTATACCTGAAAGTTGGAATTGATGCTTCATCGACCCCTATTCTGAGATCTTTATCGTCAATAGGATCTAGAAACGATCTTTCAACCGATCCTTGCTTGCTACTAAAATCCTCTGCAGATCGTCCTTGTGAGTATGATCCTTCTCTAGACGATCTTCCGTTGTAATACGATCCATCTTTTGATTTTCCATTATTAAATGATCCATCTCTTGATCTTCCATTACTAAAAGACCCATTCCTAGAGAAGGATCCATTTCTTGATCTTCCATTGTAAAAATGTCCATCTTGAGAGAGTCTGGAACTGTTTCGTTCTTGTTCTGCAATACTGTTCCTTGACAAAAATGTTCATATAAATGTATTGTTTGATGATTGTTCATTTTATAAAATATCTACCATCTTTTAGAATGATCTAAAATTCTTTCAATTGTAAATTTTTTACTTGTAAAACTGGTAAATACTAGAGCAACTGATATAGTTTAAAACTGGTAAATAATAGAGTAACTGATATAGTTTAAAACTGGAAATAAATAAAGCAGCTGATATAGTTTATAACTGGTAAATAAAAGAGCAACTGATGTAGTTTAAAACTGGTAAATAATAGAGCAACTGATATAGTTTTAAATTGGTAAATAATAGAGTAACTGATATAGTTTAAAACTGGTAAATAATAGAGCAACTGATATAGTTTAAAACTGGTAAATAATAGAGCAACTGATATAGTTTAAAACTGGTAAATAATAGAGCAACTGATATAGTTTAAAACTGGTAAATAAAAGAGTAACTGATGTCTTGCTTGATGTCGTAATAACATGAATTTACAATTTTAAAGAAAGATGCCAAAACTATAAAGTTTAAGAAATGTATTTTAACGTATTATTATAAAGTTAATTACCTTTGTTTTGAGTTCTTTTCTCTCTCATAACTTCTGGAGGGAACCCAGAGGAAGAACCAGGAACTATTCCCGCTCATTTTATCCTACAAAAAGAAAAACGAATTGAAATGAATATCAAAAAACAATTTCATTGTTTTTCTCTTTTTTTTCAGTATAAAAATTCAATAGTTCCTTTCGTGTATATCTTGATTTTAAAGTTTTGATTCATAACAATCTTTAACCAGAAAAAGAAAAAAGAATTAAAAGATAGTTGCGTTGAATTGAAAATTTAAAATATTTTGAAAATATTTAACTGTATACACTACACTATACAGTGGATATAATTTACACAATCAGAATTGTACTTTTTTAAACATACAACTAAATACGAAGTAAGTCGATAAAAATGGTTGTACACTCAGGCAAGCTGTGAAGGTTAAGCCGATATAACATTCGTGTACTCTTTTGTACTCTTGTGTTAGATGTATACACTAAAACACGAAAAACATTTTTCAATCCAGAAAAACAACATCTTCCACGTTTTTGATTAGATAACGGGTTAACGGGCATGCTTATTTTTTTAAATAAAGGGGTCACATAAAACTACGTATACAGTCCCTTTAAGTTTAATATTCTGTGTTGTAAAACTACGTATACAGTTCCTTTAAGTTTAATATTCTGTGTTTTAAAACTACGTATACAGTCCCAGTCTGTGTTTTAAAATTATAATTATTAGTGTATCAGCAATCAGCATGGTTTAAATAAAGGGGGGTTGCTTCTCGACTGAAACACTGAATCACCAGGTAAATAACCAATTAGTCAAACGCACACAATAACCTTTGGGTTAGACTTTTAAAAAAACTCTTATTAGTTTTACAAGAAATTCAATGCTTTTAAGCAGAACATTGCAGTAAAGCATCTAGTACCATTGTGAATTTACGTGTTGTTCTTTGTAAATTTGTAATTACGTGTACTGCGTACTTTAGGGAACTGAATGTACTGCAATATGTACTCCGTCACACTAAATGTATTGTAAACACTGAGCCCAAGACGTAAGACAGGGTATCGTTATGAAAACCAGTTTTAAAACCCGGGTTTCACGAATGGGGTTTTGTGAATATCAATATTTTTGTCATGAAATGTTATTTTTCAGTTTGTTTATATTCTCCATTTTTTCGAATCTCATAAATCAAAATGTACACAAATGTTAAGACCCGAAAAGGAAACTCGGGAGTTTCGTTCAACGATACTCTTTTAAATTTTGGGCTCTGAACGTCTCACTAAATATTTTGTGAACATTGTGTTCTGTATCATTTTATATACTGTATACTTTATAAAAATAATGTACTGTGCACTACGTAATCTAAAAAAATTTCTCTGAATTATCACTTTGTAGTAATTAATCGGCATAACACTTAATGTAGTGTGTACAATGTACTCTGTACTCAATATCACTTAATGTATTGTGTCCTGTGTACTCTGTACTTTATGTCACTCAATGTACTTTTGTACAATGTACTCTGTACTTTTGTACTTTATATCACTAAGTGTACTGTGTACAATGTAAGCTGTAACACTGACCTGAATATACCGGTGAACAAAGTGAACTACAAACTATCCCGCATATTTTCTAACCAATATGATTTGCTTTTCTGAACATTAAACAAGGAATTTGTCATGGAATAAAAATAAAATTCAATTGTAATATTCGATCTTAAGAACACAATTTTTAAGATATGACGATTTTTAGTATTCAAAAATTAAAATATAAGTCGTTTTAAGGACTCATCATTTGAAAAATTTACAAAAAATTAGGCGAACAAACTTATTAAAACATTTTATTTTACGATGGAATTATTAAATGTTTTTGATGAGGTGATGAAAATTCCAAAACATTTTAATATTTTCTTCCTGTAAAATCTAAATTCATCACGCCGAGAACAACAAAAAAAATTGGCTGGGACACTGCAGTTGAACTCGGTTTTCAGAGAAAATCCATTCCGAGATGATTATTATAAAAAACTTTTTGAATAGAACATAAAGGGGGAAATTTAGGCAAATTTAATTTTAAAAAATTGGAAACTATGAATTTCTGAACTAAACTTCAAACGAAATTATTTCAATAAATGCCTTTCCATAATATTTTTATGAAGCCACAGGACGTATACTTATAGTTTAAAAATACAAAGTTTTAAATAGAAAAACCAGATTTTTAACTGCAACAACATTTTTGCCAACATTTCATATTCTAACTTTAATTCTGACCCAGCAAATTATTTAAAACATAGATTTAAATTTTACTTTAACTTGAATGCTAAATTTGATTTTAAATCATAATAATATCACTTTTCAATTTTCTTCAACCTTTAACACTTCCTGTCTATAAATGATAAGAAATTCCAGAACTGATTATAGAAATTTATAAAAAAAAACTGGATTAAAATGCTTATTTCGATTATATGTTAACATTCTTTGAGACCTTTTAAATAGAAGGTTTAATTTTTAACTCATTCCGGTATGGTTACCAAACTCCTTAACTTATGAAAAGTTTACATACTTAGGGATTTTGGTTGATGGAAGATACGTTATTCTCCCTTTTAATAAAAATAAATTTACTCTTACTTTCTTATAAAAAAGTTCACAGATCCAATTTGTGTATTTTATAAAAGTTAGTGTAAAGCTTTCTATGCAAACAATGTAAGCGTACTATTGGCCATTGTACGACTACGTACTCAAACATTGTAAATTGTACAGTGCACAATGTACATACGTGTTTAGAGTACTTCATACACAGTTAAGGAGGAAACTGATAACATAGAGCTAACCAGAGAAGCTACAGAGTAATGATTATATAGGGTTGAGAGACGACTTAAACATTGTCTTTGATTTTCATTATTTAAAATGATCAAAAAATGTATTATTTAAAGATAGTATGTCTCATCTGCAAGCTCTTTTAAATATGGTCTGCCTTCTTTATATCTTTAAAAAAAATTGATATTAAATGAATTGAAATCTGGGCAGATGTCTCGATAAGACATTCAAAAATGGTAGACTACATTTTGGAATTCCCGAGACTATAGCAGTTTCAGATGTTAATTGTTAATTGTTTGGGATACTACTCAAATTGTTTTGGCGGTTTAATGACGCACGGAACAAAGACAATATTACTTAACTTCCATGTTTATTGGGATATTTAGGAAAAGAAAATAATAAGATAATTTTGTAATAACCATCTATATCTATAATTTGGCTTATCTGTTTGTCTGGGTGTCTGTATATACATACGTGTATATATATATTTATATATACATATATGTCTGGGTGTCTGGATATACATACTTGTATATATATTTATATATACATATATGTCTGGGTGTCTGTATATACATACGTGTATATATATTTATAAATACATATATTTCTGGATATACATACTTGTATATATATTTATATATACATATATGTCTGGGTGTCTGGATATACATACTTGTATATATATTTATATATACATATATGTCTGGGTGTCTGGATATCCAATAAACGCCTCAAAACGTAGGAACCAATCAGGCCTAAAAATTTTTGTGGCAATTCCCCTGCTTGACCCCATGGTGAAGGGTTATTGTCCATTAAACAGTGAAGGTTTATGGATTGTCAAAGCTAAAAAATTTCATTAATTTTTCCCAAGAAAAATCTGTATTAATGGTAAAAGCGGCCTTAAAGTCAAAGTTTGTCTAAATTGCTTGGAATTTAATTAATTTTCAGACTTATGTTATACTTTTTTTTTATCAATTTGATGCTTTACGTTTGATACTTTTGTTTTTTAGAACTGTGTACATTTTTGTATTTCTTCAAATATACGAACAGTACCAACAAAATTTGCAAAATCCACTTAGTTTTCTGGATTATCTTTTGACGGAGATTTTTTAACGTTCATCCTTCCAGATTGGGACATCTTTCAGTGGGAGGATACGGAGGATTTTAGCGTAAATTAATTTTTTTTGCTTTTTTCCCCGTTGTTAACTTAATTTGGCTAGGTATAAAAATTTCTGTGAAAATTATAAGTAATATTTTAAAGTTTTGTATAATCATAATATCAAAGAATAATTTAAATCTAAATAAAGTTCACCTAAAATGTTCAAGAGTATGTTGGGGTCAACTCAACCTATTAAACCAAACCGTTTATTTATTCTGAACCAGCCAACCCTTTACTCTCCAATCTTCACCTGCGAAAGTCGCGCAAGGCATAACTGGAAATGTCCGGTTAGCGCGCATGATAACAACCAAAACCTAGTCTCATCGTCTTAAATACTTAATTTCCTTGTTTACTACACGACAGTATCTTTATAACTGAATACTGATTTCTCATCAAATAGTAATTTTTCATTGTCTATCTATCTATCTATATATCTGCTCTGTCTGTCCTTGTCCGTCTGTCTGTCTGTCTGTATGTCCGTGTCTGTCTGTCTTGGTAGTTGTCAGTCTGTCTGGGTTTCTGTCTGCGTGTCTGTATGACTGTCTGTCTTTCTGTCTTGTCTTTCTGTCTGTCTTGGTGTCTGTCTGTTTGTCTGTTTATCTATCACTAGATTAATGAGTAAACCCAGACCAGTTATACCTTTCATTAGATTTGGAAACTAACTTTGAAGGAAACCAGGAAAAAATGATAATTCTAAATCGTTATCTCTCTTAAGGAGTTATACAACACAGACAACAAAAGACAGAATTTATCTCATAAGGAATCTGAATATATATAGCTACTCAGATAAATGTTTAAAGGGCACCATTGTGAATCGCGTATGTAACTATTTAGATGCAGAGTCTCTTCAAAATACGTCCCTTTAATTAAAAACATTATTTGGGAATTTTCTTCCCATAAACAATCCTTTTCTTGGAACGAAAATGACTTTTAGCTCTAAAAACACCTGATATATCAAAATATAATTAAATGAGCATTATTCAGCATTTGGAAACAAACGATATTTTGATTAATTTTTTTTTTAATCGTCTTAATAATTTCACTAATTCCCATAATTGAAACATTTTCACTTTCCCAGTTTCTACCCCAAATTTGTAATTAATAATAAATAATGTTCACTGTTTATGGTGTTTGAAATTTCAAAAATAATTTCTAAGGTTAAAATTTTTAGTTGACAAATGCAAAAAAACCTTCCAACCATCAAAACAAAGCAAAACAAATACAACATATAATATACACAATATATATATATAAATATTATAATGATATAACTTTCTGACTTTCTCCCCCCCCCCTCCCACACCCTTTCTTTCCCGCTGCCTCCTTTAGACTGTTGAATAAATTCAGAGTTTGGGTGGGGGGGGGGGGGGGAGGAAAGCTTAAGTCTAATCCCAACTTTAATCTACTATTCTCTAACAGTTACAGCTGGGTCAACTTCAAAACTGGATTTTATCTGATTAAACGGATTTTTATAAATATAAAATAAAGAAAATGGCTATGAAAGCTATTTTGAGTGTGTGTGTCCTCATTTTATTTTTATTGCGCCATGAAAAAACTATTTTGACCGGTTGAAACGATTAATGTGTATGAATAATTTGCAAAACTTGCCGCATTTTTAGTGACTGACTCATTTATTTATTGCTCATTTTTAGCTCATAATAATAATAAGGTTTTAACTTTCGTATTGTGTTTTAAACAATATTTACCAGGTTTGTATATTTTTAGTAAAAAATTATTTTGCAAAATTTTGCAACACTTCCTTAAAAGTGTGACTTTCTTGTTAGTGTACATATACTTTTCAAATTAAAGAATAAACTATTTGGTAGCCAAAACTTTTGATAAAATTAGATTACCAAATAGGAGAATGAATACCCACGATCCAACCAAGTTTTTACTTCGGTCTTGGAGAGAATTTAGTTCCTCAATGTTCCTTTTGTATCTAACAGCTAGTGTTTGCAAAATGTACACTTGTTAAAGTTATTGATCAGTAACTGCATATTGTCTCCAATAAATACAGGATTTCCCACAAATAAGAAGACTTCAAAGTGAAAGTGCAGATGCTAAGTGAGGTAAATATAAAATTTCTGGAACCTTTTGATACAATCTTAATTCAGTCTTATTTTATGAGTGACAAAGTTTAATTTAGTACAGAAGACAAAATCTAGCCTCAGATAGAACCAACGAAGGTCGTCATTAAGTGTTAAGTATTTTTCCAAACCCATTTTCCCAAGGGCGACTTCCCAAGTGTCAACTTCCCAAATGTGCAGTTTCCCAAAGGTTCGGCTAGGCTAGGCTTTCTGAGGCGCTGCGACAAGTTGCTGCTTGGAAAATTTGAGAAGCTGCCATTTGGGAAAACACTCTTAAGAAGCTGCCATTTGGGAAAACACCCTTAAGAAGTTACCGTTTGGGAAAATGCCATTGGGAAAGTACCTAAAATCGTGATTAAACTCACGTACTTTATGGTGAACCCTGTATAAATATCTAGACATTATGATACTAGTTCACATCTCTCACAAAAAAAAGATTATTATTCTTAAATATATATTTTATCTAAGTAAATATGTAATTTAACATCAATAATTTCTAATTTCTGTACTCTAATCAAATCTAGCTTGTTAAGGTTAAAATTGAGCAAAATTTCAGGCCTTTACATTATTTAAAAAGTGTAAATATGCTATTTCATCTTAAATCTAAATATAAATGTCTTAACTGAACAACTTTAAAGTGTGCTAAAAACATGTTATACACTGTACACTATACTTAAAATATGGAATATATCTTTAAAACAAGCAGATTTTTAAATTGTTTAAATTATTTGAATATAATGGGACCTAAACGATAATTATTCTGCAAAAGTTCGTGTCAAAATTATGCGAGAAAAAAGCGTTTATACATGTATGTAGTTTTTGCTCTAGTTTTTATGAAAAATTTACATATCTGCCCCCCTCCCCCACCCTCACAGGCATTGTTTTAAATACATGCAAAACATTCGTGCTCAAGTTTCAAATATTGTAAGACAAAATTACATCAATTTCTGGGATTAGAAATCAAGATAAGAGGAAAAATTCCTACTGTTGTTATAATCCAGTACAGCCCTTAAATTAACTTAATAACAACAGATTTAATGATAAAATTTTAAAAAATCAGCTATTTACTAAACCCTTAATATACCCTTATTTCATAAAAGAACAGTCCTATCCGTAGCGATAGGTCCAGGCTAATCTGTATCCTCAGATTTCATTCTGTCCATTCAAGGATTTCAAAATCATAAAGACCTCCTTCTCAGTTTCCTATAAAAAAACTTACAATAAAAACGAAGAACTGAAAAGTTTTTTTTCTCGATATAAAGAAATTAAGTCTTTGTCACAAACTTAAATTTTCAAATCTCAAAATCTTTGCAACCTGATGGTGTAAATCTTTGATATTTAAAACTTAGACTTTTTCTACCAGAATTCAAAGGAATTGAGTTTTTATCACAAACTAAAATCTTCTGATTCCAATATCTTGGTAATTTTATGGTTCAAACCTTTGATATTTCAAACTTAGATTACTTTATCTATAAGTATTAATAGTTTGAAATATCTATGGTCTACGACATTGGTTTACAAAGATATAGAGATTAGAAAATCAGAGTTTGTGGCAAAAACTCAACTCCTTTGAAATATCTAAAGCCTACGACATTAGGTTGCAAAGATATAGGGATTAAATAATCAGAGTTTGTAGTAACTGATTCAATTCCTTTGTAAGGAATTCAATTCAAAGAAAAAAATGTTTAAAATTTGTTACATATTACAAATTTTAGTGAATATTTTTATTTGTTAACCTTGCTTAGTAATAGGTTTGATATGGAATGAACAACACCGTTAGAAGCTGTTACATCTGTTAAACTACTCTCAGCTCCATTAAATCTAAACAGTTAGCAGCTGTTACATCTGTCAAACTACTCTCAGCTCCAGTAAATCTGAACAGTTAGCAGCTGTTACATCTGTCAAACTACTCTCAGCTCCAGTAAATCTGAACAATTAGCAGCTGTTACATCTGTCAAACTACTCTCAGCTCCAGTAAATCTGAACAGTTAGCAGCTGTTACATCTGTCAAACTACTCTCAGCTCCAGTAAATCTGAATGCGATGCGATAAATTAGTATTTTGTTGAAAGACAAAAAAATATGTTTAAAAGACCTATACTTTTACTACAGACGTTTGGGGCACTTTGCCCCCATCTTTTTGATAAATGTATTAGTTCTTAACACTGATTTGATTTGATCTATCTGCAAAATTTTCTGCTCATTATTAAAATTAAAGGGAGTGTTCGCGAAAAATGATAGGGGATATAGGCTTACGGCGATAAATAATCGCTTCTGATCGCTACTAATCTTACTTCTATCTTTTGCGTCTATATGGAGAAAACTGTTAAAAACGTCTCATACCGAAGATCGAAGCGTTCATAAAAATTGAGGAAGTTGGAACATACGACTTGGATCGTAAAAAATCAATATATCAATTAAATAATTTAGATATTAAATCCTATAGTCATCGAATATTTTTCGACGCATTCGTATATAGTTAATATTTCATAATATTTTTTACTTGCTATGATCCGAGAGTGACTTTTGAAAACATTCATTCCTGATTCGAGGATTTTGATAATTAAGACGACATTTTCCATAGTTTCCGGGAATGCGCCAGTCGTGAAAACAAGTTGTAAGCGAAATATTAATTTTTAAAAACACAAAATGAAAAATATTGGAAAATGTCGTCTTCATTATCAAAATCCTCGAATCAGGAATGAATGTTTTCAAAAGTCACTCTCGGATCATAGCAAGTAAAAAATATCATGAAATATAAACTATATACAAATGCGTCGAAAAATAATCGATGACTATAAGTTGTAATATCTGAATGATTTATTTGGAATTAAATTGATTCTGTTACGATCCGAGTCGTATGTTGCAACTTTCTGAATTTGTAAGGAATCTACGTTCTTCGGTATGAGACGTTTTTAACAATTTTCTCATTATAGACGCAACAGATAGAAGAAAGATTAGTAGCGAACAAAAGCGATTAGTTATCGCCGTAAGCCTATACCCTCTTTCATTTTTCGTGAACACTCCCCTTAATTATAAGGATTAAAAATGTTCTTTAGCGGATTTTCATAAAACGAAAAGCGAAACTATTTTAAGCAGATTTTTTAAATTCTGCTATAAACATTTCTTGGTGGCATGAAATTACAAAAATTAATTAATGGCCTAATTGGGGTTGTCGACATTAAGATATAAATTATAGAACAACATATATATTCAATAGAAATCACACGGTGGTGGAAGACATTGTACTAGAAAACACTTGTCTTATCTAATGCATATATATTTTTACAAACTGCTTAAAATAGAAAAAGAACTTTTTAGTGTGTATATTTTATGATTTACAAACCCCTCTTTAATCCATAGCTCCGACACCTATGTAAGTTTTCGAATTTGTTTTAAACCTGATTTCTCCATTTTGATTCTTGTCTACAGTGATGAAATCTCCATTCCAATTCTTTAGTTTATCTCCAGTAAATAATCCAGCTGTATACCAGGATCCAGGAATCACGTGACCAGCGAGAACCTGCAGATATAGAATCAGTTCAACTAGAACCTGCCGATATAGAAACAGTTCAACTAGAACCTGCAGATATAGAATCAGTTCAACTAGAACCTACAGATAAAGAATCAGTTCAACTAGAACCTGCAGATATAGAATCAGTTCAACTAGAACCTGCATATATAGAATCAGTTCAACTAGAACCTGCAGATATAGAATCAGTTCAACTAGAACCTGCAGATATAGAATCAGTTCAACTAGAACCTGCAGATATAGAATCAGTTCAACTCAGTCTTTTATCGAATCAACTTTAAAGCAGTTTGACCAATGAAAAACCACTTAAGGGGACTTAAGTGTAATTTCAAGCGACCCTCCATGCAAAGATGACATTATCTGATTAACAGCGGTACCCTTATAACCTTTGCCTAATCAATATTGTGCAAAAAATATAATCACAATTAATTTGTTTTCAAAATTATAAACATTGATATGTAATTCATACTTGATCAGAAAAAGCTTTTAGTGTTTAAGATATATCGTTGTGAACCGGAGTGTGGGAACATATTATCTTAATCATACTACAGAGAATTCCACTAAACATGACAGTTGATAATGATTTTCGTTTCAAAGGTCGTCTCTGACATTTGAAAGCTATCGGATGACAAAAGATAATTAAGTCTTTGTCAAAAGCCCAAACTTTCAAATTCTTTTATTCTGGCAATCTGATGGTGTAAACCTTTTTATATTTCAATCTTATAATATTTGATCTGACAGAATTCATAACTTATAACTTGAAATATCTAAGGTCTACGTTATTGGGTTGCAAATACAAAAGGATTAGAAAATATTTAGAGTTTGTGGCTAGAACTCAATTTCTTTGTCTCAAAAAACTTTACATATTATGGTCTGTCTCCTGAAAACTTTACATATTGTGGTCTGTCTCCTGAAAACTTTACATATTGTGGCCTGTCTCCTGAAAACGTTACATATTGTGGTCTGTCTCCTGAAAACGTTACATATTGTGGTCTGTCTCCAGAAAACTTTACATATTGTGGTCTGACTCCTGAAAACGTTACATATTGTGATCTGTCTCCTGAAAACTTTACATATTGTGGTCTGTCTCCTGAAAACTTTACATATTGTGGTCTGTCTCCTGAAAACTTTACATATTGTGGTCTGTCTCCAGAAAACTTCACATATTGTGGTCTGACTCCTGAAAACGTTACATATTGTGGTCTGTCTCCTGAAAACTTTACATATCGTGGTCTGTCTCCCGAAAGCTATACATTTTGTGGTCTGTCTCCTGAAAACTATACATATTGGGGTCTGTCTCCTGAAAACTTTACATATTGTGGTTTGTCTCCTGAAAACGTTACATATTACGATACTCGCACTAAACTAAGATAGTGGGGTAAGTCAAATAGGTATATGAAAGCCGGGTACTGTAAAAAGTCTGGCCGCGCCATCAAAATTGGAACCAAGCCAGAATAATATAAAGTTGGGCCGGTACTTGCTGAGCGTCAAAAGTGGTTGGTTCGGTTCGAATTAAAATTGACCCCAGTCCACCGTGACATACTTTGTCCTCAGATAAAGATTTCAAAGATCAAAGACGACCTCTTGTTCATGTATCATGTTTAGTGGGAAACCCTGTATAATATATCTAACCAAATGTCCTGAGTTTAAATCACAATATGTCTCTTTCTCTGCATCCTTTCTATATTCTAACAAACAACATGATTCAAAACCAATATTTGATTAAGGTTCAGCAACCTTCATTCTTCAAATACATTTTCAAAGGCTTTAACGGACTGTGTACGTAATTTCAAGTGACCTTCCTGTTAAAGGAGGACAACCCTGATTCACAATTGTACCTTTTACGCTGTCAATAGGATACAAATATTTTATCTTCTAACTATTTCCGAATGAACCGAATCAAATCCGGAATTTATGAACTGTAATATTCAAATGATTAGTTAAATATATTAAATTACGGTTTGTGTACAGTGGTAACCTGGAATAGAAAGTCGACTTTTAAACTCAAGATATGACTTTAAAATGTGCGATGAACATGGGGCACAGTTTTTTTTGCGTTGTTTACTAGTAAAGCTATTCGCTTTAAACAACATCAAATGCACTTCGCTTTAATATTGCTTTAATTTCGCCTTTCTATTCAACAGTTTTCTAGTTATCACTGTAGTATAATGCAACTTATTAAATTTACATAGACTCTGTGCTCTTGGGCATTAAGCTTTTTCAGCCAATTTCGTTTTTTGCGAACTCTTCCTTTAAATGAAAACTTTTAAATAAACAGATCTAATTGGAGAGGGAAAGACTTAAACATTTTTAAATCGATTTAGATTAGATCCATTCATTGACAATATTGAGCTCATTTTTTCAAATTAGTGCATCCTTTCAGAAAAAAATCTGGTTTGGTTCAGCCTTCCACAAAACTATATGTTTGTCAACCATTAACCATAAGACCCCCCGCCCATCCATGTAATGTCGCCTTTAACTTGAAATCCCCTCTCGGAGACACCAAACCAAACCAATTTTAGCCCCGTTTTCTTTGTTCTCCGGTAACGGAGTCTAAACACTTTTATTATTGTGAACAGAATATTTTCATATAAAGAATTAGTGACTTTTGTTAATAATTAATTGTCATTCTTTTCAGAAGTTTTAATATATAAAAAACGTCTTAGGACTCCCCGACGGGTTTGACCTACATATCATTTAATAGATCGTAAGAATCTTTTCATTATAAAAATTATAAAACATTGTAATAATTTATATGTCATTATCCATTTCATTTTTTAGGAAATAAAGAGTTTCTCTGCATTATCGGTTTTGATTTGAGGGTTATCCCGTTGTCTATCTGTTCATTATTGAGAATCTTGCAGCTATCCGACCACAATGATACATTATAGTTTTATATTTCGGGTTTAAAAGATACTCTTTTTATTTCTCAAATTTTGTTTATTTCTTAAAGTGTTATTAAAATGCGAATAAAAAAGTTTGAAATCCATTAATTAAAAATATTTAGCTCACTATCTTAAACATCTAAAGTATGCTAAAAATTACATATTTGTTTTTTGATTTTAATTTTTGAAAATTTTCCAATTTTTTTCTTCAAGATTTGTTTTAATCATTGAAAATATTTAGCTTAATTTCTTAAATATCTAAAGTACCCCTTCAGAAAAAGCATCGATATAAAATCCTTCCAATATTGATTCCAAAGATTGGAAAAAAAATAATCTTAAGATGAAAATAGAAATGAATGACCTTCTTTAAAAGTGGTTTATTCTTCTTGAGTTCCTTCAGGAAGTCTGGATGAATCCTAAAAAACAAATCAATTTTATCAAAAATATTTGGCATGCATTTTCTTCTATAATTTAAATTTACTAGAGGCATTTAGAAATTAGGAATCTAAAGTACGAGAAGAATTTTAGAGATTTAAAAGTTTGTGTGATATTCCTATCATTCTGGTTCAAAATGTTTTCGCGATAGTTCGATATTTCGAATAGCATGTTAAAGATTTCTTTTAGAGTGTACTATGAGCTCTTTCTTTTTATTATCATACATATATCAAGGTTTGGTTAACACCCTTACCCACTTAGGATGATCAATTTTGGACTTTTTTGAATTAGCAAACCGCCCTCCAGAGGTCCATGGTAAACATTTTGAATAGCCATTATGACAAATTTTAGCCTTTAAAGTTGGAAAAAAATTTTAATAGACCAAAAGAAAAATTAAAAAATTGTATTCAGATTAAAAAAACCATTAAAAGAATTATTCAAAATTTAAGTTATAGGTTTTCGTCCTCTAGCGTGATACCTTTTTCTGTAAAAACTCGTTTTTTAGAGAATACTGGAGAGACAAATTCTCGGGTGAAAAATATAATTTTGGGGACGAGAACGATTTGACCTTGACCGCGACCATGATTTGACCTTGACCGCGACCATGATTTGACCTTGACCGTGACCATGAGTTGACCTTGACCGTGACCATAATTTGACCTTGACCGTCACCATGACTTGGCAGTGACCATGACTTGACCGTGACCATGACTTGACTGTGACCATGACTTGACCGTGACCATGACTTGACCGTTATTATGACTTAACCTTTACCGTGACCATGACTATATTTGACCTGTCAAAAGCAGCATTGACCGGTGCAAGGAAGGTGACAGGGTCAGCCTGATGAACAGCGTCATATATTCCTATTAAATATAAATGTTCATTTATTCATAAATATATATTTGTTCAAATATTCATATTTCTGATAGACAATGGTTAGACAAACAATTTTTTCTACTATTGGAGAAAAATCATATTCAGTTCATAATTGATATTTATTTACATATTTACAGCTTTTCAGAAAAGCAAACAGTTTTAAATATCTAACATGCAACCAAATAAAGTTGAAGGGCGTAAAATCAAAGCTAGAGGAGCAAAGAGGTAATTAGCTCGTATGTATTAGTAATTTCGTATCATTTTGAAATTTTTTTGAGTTGAGGGTTACAAGTTGCTTGGCGATCTTCCTACGTTTAATGGTTTCATTTTTTAGCTTCTATCTTAGGCCTTTTCATCTTCCTTCGGTTATATACATTACTAGCTGGAGGGCCCGGCGTTGCCCGTGGAATTTTTTTTTTAAATCTAGAAAAAAATAAATTAGAATTTTTTAAGCCTATAATACTGACNCCTGCCCAATCGGTCCAGCCGTTTTACCGACTATGCACAACATATGAATGTCTTGTTTTATCATATCGAAGAAGATAGGTTATAAAAATTATATGGGCTTGGATTCAAAAAATGACATTAAACCATGTCTTCGGTTACGATAGAAGGATTTCTTCCTCACAACATAACTGAAACTTCTGAAATCAAAAGTAGCAAGAATTTAATATTTACCTGCACGTTGAAAGAGTTCAATAAGATATGAATGTTGAGGACAGCACATGTCTATTTCAGATATCACAGATCCACTACGATCATAGACAGAGGACATGACCTAAACACCAGAAATAAATATCAAATATAAGAACAACGTGCCATTTCCTGATAAACAAATTATTTAAATTCTAGATTTTAAAAAAACATTTCGTATTTACTACGGCCAGAGTGCTTGCCACTTGGCCACCAGACCTTGTTTTTGCTGTGTGTCTCCGCCGGGCAGGAATGAATTACGACATTTTGTTTTGTAATTCTCAGGATCAAGTATTGATCTTCATATTATGCAGCTCTACGGAATAGATTTATTCCTTGCTGATTTCCCATGATGGTTATAATTTTAATTGAGGAATCAATTTAAATGTTCCCACATTGGATATCGAGATGAAGCGTTAAAGATTAACAATTATACAGACAAAAGTTCCAATCTCAAGGAGGTTAAATTTTTAAGATTTTCTCTTTCTGGAGACGGTCCTTTCAGAGTTTGATTAAGAAATATGGGTTTCAAGATTTTGTCAGGTTGCCAAGGAAAAAGAGGAACTTTTGAAATCTTTCTAGGGCCATTTACTTGGTATGTGAAACATATTTTGAATGAAAATGCCCCAAAATATAATTTCTAACTCAGTTCCTTTGAAATAATAATTAATAATGATAATAATGATAATAATAATAATAATAATAATAATAATAATAATAATAATGATAATATAGTTTTCTTTTAGAGGTGCATGGTAAGATCATTCAGTCTTTAAAACATATTTCTATGAAAAGTTCAATGCTGTTGAGAGATATTTCCTTCATCTATTTTTAAAATAAATTTATTTAATTGTTTAAGTGAAATCTTACCTCAGATAAAACATGGATCATACCATTCCTAGCCTTGTAATCTGTACTAAACACAGGACGTCCGTTAGCAGTGGTCAGAGGTGCCTGGGTAATGATAAACGGAATTAGATGGATTAGAGTTAGATGGATTTATTAAGATAAATTAGTTATGCTACAGCCTTATCCATATTGGAGGACACTTAAAATGGGTTTTTGCATTCAAGCATCAAATGTCATAATAGGATCATTAGAAGATAAAATAGTTTTATCTTACTAGTGCGCTTATACAAGCAGTCAAGCGTAATCTGCATAGATAAAGATAGATTGCGCATAAGACGACATCTTGAAAGATATAAATGTACAGAGATGTTTTAAAAGTTCCATTCCCGGAGTTATTTTACACTCTATTCTATAAAATCCATTAAAACACCAAACCACCCCGCTTATCATTGAAGTACACTTTGACCCCTAGAAGTATGAGTTCGCGGACTGTACAATTCTTGGTGATTTTGCGTACATAAGCTATCTATGTTTATTTATTTATCTATGGTAATCTGGTTCCAATCCAGAATAAAATCCTCCACAGAAGAAAATCCACAATTTATCTGCTCTACGGAAAAATTATTTAACGATTTTCCCGTAATAAATACCCCTCAGTAATTTTTGATTTTGTATTTTTCAATGCTCAACACTCGATAGTTACAGATCTTTTGAAAGAAGTAAATCATCACTATTTATTGTAATAAACCGGTCATCTTGTATGCCTCACGTTTGACACTCCATACTTAATTATGCTTTATAAGTAACCCACGGAACCAATCAAAACTTTATAGCACAAGTGCTATAATAATGTACAGCTAATTTAACTTTATAGCAAGATGATTACTTTATAGCACGTTCATTATGAAATTCACGATGAAGTGAGTAATAATGATAAAGTACACTATAGTTTCATGAAAAATAATAAAAAATCAATCCGTAAACACAAAGTTCTCGCAATCTCAGTACAATTTACAATGTAAATACAAAAATGTTAATACAAAGTTCTAACAATCCCTGTACAGTTTACAATACAGATATATAAAAATGCTATAAATGTAAAACAGCATGTAATTAAATTGTCAACTTTTTTAGAAACGGAAATATAAATATTTAGATTCAAAACTATGTCAGAAACTTTTAAATGAACTAAGACTATTACTAACTCTTGGTGCAAGAGAGTTAGTTTAACTTATTCCGCCAAATTCAAATCTAATTCAATCTCGGGGGCTTCAAATATTTGCTGATATTTTTAGTTGGTTTTAAAAGAATATGCTTTTCCAGATAATTTTTAAAACGATGAAACTTTAAGTTTTTAAAACTATTTATATATTTACATTGTCTCCCTTGGTGGAGTAAACGTTGATTCTAATATCCCGTTTACTAAGAAGAGATTTGTAGGTAACTTCATTCTTAAACTCAGAACTGTTAAACCATCCTTTAACAATCAGAAATTATCAATTGAGTTTTTGCAATAAACTTAAATTTTCTAATCTTAAAATCTTTTCAACCTGAAGGTGTAAACCTTTGATAATTCAAACTTAAACTATTTTATCTAACAAAATTCATAGTTTGAAATATCTAAGGTCTACGACATAGGGTTAAAAGGAAAAAGGAATTAGAAAATCACAGTGGCAAGCCTCCAGTCCTTTTCAGAACAATAAGGAAAAATATCAGAATTAAAACTTTTTCAAAACGACGATATCTCCCACATGTCAAGAATCGGAAATGCCCTTTTCTAAATGAAAGATCTTCAAGTATGTAACTTACTAAGAATTCTATGGCATCTTTTTCAACCAGATCAATAAGGGCTGGCGGAAGAATGGGTTCATAATGATTTAGAAGGAAAGAACAAATCAACAATAAACGTGAAAATTAAATTTCTCAAAAGCTATTTGATATCTTGAAGATTTAAAGATTTGGGAAAAACTCGATTTTTGACAATATCTTGCCCAATTTTCTATATTTTTTAATTCTGGACATTTTTTTAAAACTCCGATTGTCACGCCGCGATTCTATTTATAAGTGTGCTTTTAAATTTTTTTTTCACTTTTACTGTTTTTTTTTCGCATTTTATAAATTTATAAAAACCTATTTGCGAAAACCATTTCTGATTTTGTAAAAATGTTTTCATATCTGCACAACCACATGCCTTACATCTAATTTATAGAATAGATACAATTTTGATTCTGTAAAATAATTTCAGACAAATCTTACATCCCTTGTAAACAAACATTGTTTCTGAATTACCTCTTGCAACATGGAGCCTCATTTTATCCACAAGAGTATCCTCCCCAGGGTAGAATTTCTCATATTTAAATGCTTCGTTGGTTGGACAAAACAAAGTGAACCACCCTAAACAGTCATCAGGGGGCTTCTATTTATTTATAGAAAGTAGTAGCCTCATATTCATATTCTCTTTAAACTTGACCTCTCAAAAATGTGTTCCTTTTTTTGTCATTTGCTCTATATTCAATCTGCTCTATACCTCATTTGCTCTATGACTAAACACGTAATTTGCTCTATAACCTTAAAATATACTATAAAATAGCTTTTATTGGAATTCCTAAGCGTAACTTGACTATGAAATGCGGGAACTATTGTGTGTTCTAAAAAAGATTCCATCTATTTTTAAGAAAAAAAAACAAGGTAAAATCTTAATTTTTTCAAGAAAAAAAGTTTCTTGTGAACATAACTTTTAAAAATGGAGGGTCTTACTCTCTAGAAATCCTGTCGACAGTTCCTTTAACACGTGTAAAGTTTCAAATCAATTACCTTCATGATTTAGAACTCTGTCAATACCAACTTCAGTCAACTTCTCTACACAAGTAGTCAGGTTCAAGCTAGTAGCTAGCTCTAGTAGATGAGGTTTACCTTCTCCAGCCTAGGATTATTAGAATATTAGATAGTTAGGTTCAAGCTAGTAGCTAGCTCTAGTAGATGAGGTTTACCTTCTCCAGCCTAGGATTATTAGAATATTAGATAGTTAGGTTCAAGCTAGTAGCTAGCTCTAGTAGATGAGGTTTACTTTATCCAGCCTAGGATTATTAGAATATTAGATAGTTAGATGCACGCTAGAAGCTAACTCACATAGATCAGGTTCAGACTAGTAGCTAGCTCACATAGATCAGGTTTAAGCTAGTCGCTAGTTCACATAGATTAGGTTCAAGGTAGTAGCTAGCTCACATAGATCAGGTTTAAGCTAATAGCTAGCTCACATAGATTAGATTCAAGCAAGTAGCTAGCTCAATTAAATCAGGTTCAGGCTTGTAGCTAGCTCAAAAAGATCATGTTTAAGTTAGTAGCTAGCTCACATAGATCAGGTTTAAACAGGTAGCTACCTCACATAGATCAGGTTTAAACTAGTAGCTAGCTCACATAGATCAGGTTTAAACTAGTATCTAGCTCACATAGATCAGATTTAAACTAGCATCTAGCTCACATAGATCAGATTTAAGCTAGTAGCTAGCTCACATGATCAGATTTTAGCCAGTAGCTAGCTCACATAGATCAGATTTAAGCTAGTACCTAGCTCACATAGATGAGGTTTAAGCTAGTAGCTAGCTCACATAGATCAGGTTTAAGCTAGTAGATAGCTCACATAGATCAGATTTAAGCTAGTAGCTAGCTCACATAGATCAGGTTTAAGCTAGTAGCTAGCTCACATTAATCATGAAGACTATGTTGTTTAACCTACCTGGAGTTTTGGATGTTGTTGAGCCCGTACTAAATCATGAAGTCTCCATGGGTTAATGGCTGTAAAGATATCAGACCAAGTCCAAGCAGCGGCTGATCCAATCAACAGCATGTATTTTAAAAACAACATTATTTCTTTAAAATATAATTTTGAATTCAAATTTGAAACTTATTGAGTTTAAGGTATGTAAGATGTAAGATTCGTCCACTAATTGAATAATTCTTTAATTGGAATTCAATTGGAGACTATGAGGGTTTCCAATTTTACGGGAAAGATACCAGTATGGAAATAGAAGAAGTTCCAGTTCCGGATTTAATAAATAGCGAGACCCGTTTGAACCGAGTACAATTCAATCGCAACTTTTTTGTGTTAGATACTCATAAACCCGATCTTGATATCTACAGTGGGCAGTTCTAATTTGAGGATCAATGACTAATCTCTTCATTTCTGTTATCCTCTCAGGGTATAATTACATCGCGGGATATCGAATAAGGATTTAATTAATCTACAGATTAAGAAAAGATGGAGATCAAGAACTTATCTCTATATCCACTATACATGAGTAATTCCACCTGAGATTGAACCGATGAACTACGTCTGTCAATATGCAGTTGGTGCAGTTCAACTACTTCTTGCTATTCATTAAATCCGACCACTGAGTTATTTAATCCGAGCAAATTTAAAACCATAATTTAAAGTTTCAGCAGATCAACTTTTTTGTAAATATTTATAATGTTAATGTATAATATTTTTAACTTTTTCCAGTTTAAATATACATTTTAGGTGTTTAAATATATATGTCTTCCAATGTTAGTGTATACATTAAACTTTTTGTAAAATTATCTAAACATTTGGTTTCTTCGAGTCAAAAAAAGGCAAAATCATCTTTAAAAAATGATCAAATTACTAAGCTGGGTTATAGCACACTATTGACTGATGATAAATCTAGCTAAATAATAGAAATAAAAGTAAAATTTTAAATATCTGCGAAATCAGCAAACTCTTTGTTTGCTTAATCACCACATTCTTATAAAATGATATTATCCATATAAACAAAATAAACTTGTCTTTATGGAAAATTTTGCTGTTGAAACAAAATTGAAGGGATTGCTGCTATAATTTCAATTTTTATTTAGAACAATTGTTATTTTAAATTGTGGGTTCTCTATGACTGGCGGATTAAAAAATTATGATAGTGATAACTTTGTTGATAAGTATGTTGATAACTATGTTGATAACTATGTTGATAACTATGTTGATAACTATTACACAAAGTAATGATTGTTTCTTTGTTAATTAGAAAAAGCACCAAAATATTTGCATCTTTAACAGGAAGTGTTAATTAAAGGACGTATACAGGATTTTTTTCTTGGAGGGGGACTTGACCTTTTTTTCCAGGTAGGCTCAGCACCTGTTGAGGCCTCTAAAAATGCCTGGAAACCATATATTTCCCAGATCCAGGATGGGGGGGGGGGCTGAATTCCAATAGACCCTCCTTTAAACCCCCCTGAGTGTATTGCTGGCCACACAGCTTGACCAATTTGGCTTATCCTATTTGTACTCTGGGGACTCTGGGGGTAACATAGGTTAAACAGTGGATTTTTTTTTCTTATTCTTTCTAATCTTTTTCCCAAAGTGTTTTTTTAAAATTCCACAAGCAACACCGAGCACTTCAGCTAGTAACTCATTTAATAACTTAGAATCTCCGCAAACCTTCAATACCACAGCTTTGCTCAGCATCCGTTCAGTGTTATTCTAGGGTCTTTCTAGTCTCTAGGGGAGTAAAAAAAAACGGGATTAGCTTATTTTAACAAAACACGGTTAATTGTTTGCAGGGTTCATTTCCGAGGAATAAAATGATTAAAATAAAGTGAACCAAATTAAAAAATCTTTTTTTTGGTACTGAAAAAAAGCAATGTTATTTTTTTGTAGATAATTTTTTTATTTCATGACACCGTTTCAGAAATGTTTCATTTATTATATTCCAAAATTTCACGAAAATCTAATAAGATAATTAAATAAAAAATACGTGAGAGATATCAGCACAAATTTACTCCAATGTTTCCAAAAATTGGAAAAATGGAACTTTATCATTCCTCTTCAAAATGTATTCATATTTGGGAGAATTTGTGAAAGTAAATACATTTTTGATGTTTGATTTCTTTAAGATTTGAAAAAATTTGCTGTGTTGCAAGTAAATACATTTTTGATGTTTGATTTCTTAAAGATTTGAAAAGATTTGCTGTGTTGCAAGTAAATACATTTTTGATGTTTGATTTCTTAAAGATTTGAAAAGATTTGCTGTGTTGCAAGTAAATAGATTTTTGATGTTTGATTTCTTTAATGATTTGATGATATTTGCTGTGTTGCACTAAAAATTTTTCGTTTCTTTTGTGATATCTCTTTTGTTTATCAACAGATATTAACAAAAATTTTGGAGCATAATAGCAATAAATATCTTCCATATAATTTCTGAAGAATGCTTCGGTTACTTTTTAATCATTTTTTACATTAAAATTGTCTCTTTGTTTCAGACTGTTGAGTGTTTACAGTGAACAGATTAACACATGTATTTTCTACCACAAACACCAGATTAACAAAGAACAAAGCATCGTGAAAACATTAATCGTTTTCCTGCCAGGGGGGGGGCGGCGTCACTTTAACCCTTCT